GTCCCAAAATTATTTCCCAATTTGAGATTTCACATTTAATATACTTTGAACTAAAAATGAAAACTCAAACTGGACAATAATTATAGGACGGAGGGAGTACTATAGTTTATTTTTGCTAACCGTTGTTGGAGAAAAAACGAATGATAGAGTCCACGCAAAACAACAATTAGCCGAAAAGGTTTACGAAATGTGCGATTATTTCTTTTTGATTGCATTATTATTATTATTATTATTTTTTTGGAAATTTCAAACGTAGAATTTGTGATGACTTATAAATAAAATCAACTATCTCGTTGATAAACAGAAGGATCGTGAATTCATGATTGTAAAGATTTTGATGAGGAGAGCTTTTACCCTTTTATTCCAATTATACGTTTACTGCCCTGAATCTGTGATGTTCATGAAGTTTTGACTTAGGCTTACTTACATTTTATTGAAAACACATTAAGGATATAACACCATGCAAAATGGTTTTGAGAGAAGATGATCAGGATAAGGATCTAATACGACAGATTTTCTTTCTTTTGAACAAAAGAAATAAAAAATATTTCAGACTTTCTAAGCATTGGGACACAAATTTTTTTTTTTAATGAACTTACTGGAGAATGCGAGATCTATGTTTTTCAAAGAAATTAGTAAGTGTAAAACTGTAGCTACTTCTATGAATATTGGATCTTGTTCATGGTCTTGTGAGAACGCTACTTTAGTTAACTCTCAAACAATTGGCAGTTTGAATAAATCTGATTACACAAATTGGCACTTGGAAGAATTAACTCGGTTATTGATGATTATAGACCCGTGCTTAGCCCGATTTCCACCCATGGGCTAAGGACGACTTCTTGGCTAATCAGATGGGCCGGTTGGAGTCTTTGTCAGGTATCGGGGACGATTATGGAATTAGTGGAATTCTGGTAGCCGGAACTGTGATCGGAGAGAAGTGAGGTAAAAAACAGAAGAAAATTGGGCACGAAAAGAGAAGCAAGCGAGGCAAAGAGAGAACTAACTATTACATCATTATTATCCAGCATTTAATACTGGATCTCCACTGGAATTTGGGAAAGGCAGCGATAATGACTATACTATTTCACTGCTAACCCTAAACTTGTGTAAATGGCATTAATGACTATACTATTTCTATTCATAAGTTTGCCTATTTTGCAATTGAACCCCTGAATATGACAATCCCTCCTCCTTAACAGCAATCTTATCCTCAAGGTTTGAATCCGGAGAATTGCTTGACAACAACTCCTTGATCTTCCCAGGATGCATCAACTACATCCAAACCTCTCCACTTCACCACCCTTACTTGCTTTCCATTTCTGACAATGAACCTCCTCTGCAGTATGCTTTCTGGCTGCAAGGTGCTTTCTTCAACCAAGGAAAGATCAGGAGGAGGACTGGTGACAAAATGATTGCCATGGTGTTTCTTAAGCTGAGATACATGGAATGCAGGATGCACACGTACTTGTGGAGGCATTTCTAACTGATAAGCTACCTCTCCAATCTCGTAACTTCCGCATTTCGCCTTCATCAGCTATTGAGGCAATAGCATTTTCATATGGGTGTTTTACTTTATATGATGATCAAATCACTGGTGAACAACTCTTTGGATTTGAAATGTGCACAAATGTTAGCCCTCACTTGTGCTTCAGGAGACTACCCAATTTCTTTGTAAACCCTTAACTCTTTCAACCAAGGAACATATTGGTTTTTGAATTTCTTCGAAGGTCTTGATTTGATTACTTAATATATGGTGAGCTGAGTTTGAATATTAGAAAGACACAACTCCAGTAGGTTTTAAATCAGGGGTTGTGCAACATTCAAAGGAGATAGGGTGACACTTCTTCTTTTCCAGCAGTAATAGAAGTATTTTTTTCCCATTTTCTTTTCTTTGAGTAATCGTGCATAATTAGTCTTCATTTTGAATAAAATAGTCCTCGGGACAAGACTTAAATTTACAGGAGGGAGTTGTCATGAAGAGGACTAGAATAGATATTAATCAATGTAGGAGGACTAAATTCCTTTACACTTCATGAAAGTAAAAGACATTTAGGACACGTGTCAGTTTCACAAAATTTTTTTTCTCGCAAAAAATATACATCTTTTTCAAAAGTAGAACGCCACGTGTACTGTGTTCATCCCGAAAAAACAAAAAACAATGCCCAAAATTGTGCAAATATAAATGTTCACGTTAAACACTCCCCAATTTAAAGAATTTACATTCTGCAAATATAAAAGTTCACATTAAACACTCCCAATTTAAGGGCTTTACATTTTTTAAACTGTTACATTTGAGATCAAATGAAAAACTACCATTATCATTCTAATTCTGATCAATGAATCAAGCATGCGAATTATCGGTCGCTGATTCAAATCCCTACAAAAAAGGGTAAATTTTACACTTACCATCAGTAAGTATTAATGAATCAAAATCTGTTGATGTCCAGATGCATCCTTCACCATAAGCATCAGTAAGTAAAATTCAGCAGATGTATAATACTTCCATCTATCAATCTGTTGATGTCCAGATGCATCCTTCACCATAAGCATCAGTAAGTAAAATTCAGCAGATGTATAATACTTCCATCTATCTATCTATTTTTATCCTTAAATCAGACTGAGGAATCAATCAACATTTATTTTAAAAAATAGTCAGAATCAGAATTCAAATTTCACCCAATATTATGCATATATATCCAACTATTCTCAATGCATATCCCATCATATTTTCAAAATCAAAACAGATTTACTTACCATTGATCATCAAACAACCATGCTTATCAAGGCTATCAAATACCTGTATAAATATATGTATACGGCCCGAGGAAAAACCACCAGTGAACCACCATCAAATCACGCAAAAACACCCCTTTCAGAATTTAGTACCTCCCCTGTTCTTCATTACCAATCAATGGCTGCTGCTCAGAGGTATATAGCAGACACTAACGGTTAAGATTTGTAACCCTGACGGTTCATGATCAAATCGCACGATGAATGTTGTATACAAGAAAAGTCTACATAATATAATGTAAAGCAGGTTATGATTCCAGATGTATCAGTTTTAAACATTTTCAATTCTCTTAACTTTATATTGTTAAGTTATTAATTCATCTATGATACAATTCCTCAGCATTATGTTTTATTTCAGGTATATGTTTTACATTTTCTATAGAATACATAAAGAACTTAAATTTACAGTTATTCATTTAAAACACGAAAACAGTACATCATCAAACACATATGGTTAACAGATAGTCACAATATGGATTGGAATATTACCTGGTAATTCTAATCAAGATTAACTGTTCCCCAATACATGCCATGTATTCATCCTCCCTGTTTTATAATCGAAGGATAGAAATGTATATTTCAATAAAACGATTTTACAAATTAAATACATATCCATTTGAAATCGTATTAACCAGAGATTTGGTATGAAGAAACTCGCTCACCGTAACTAGATGCTTGGATTTTATACTTCCGTTGACCGTCCCAATAATAGATAAAATACAGTTTCAGGAAGGGTAGCAGCTCGATTCCCAGCTCCAACACCAGAATTTTGACGAATCCAAAACAAAAATAAAACAAAAGGCAAATTACATTTCTATAGATTGAAAGATAGTTACATGTATAATATTCAAACAGATTTGAAGCAAATTAATAAATAATACCAACTGGAATAAGCTACATTACCTTATAGATCTCAAACTCATTGAAGGCACATGCATTCGAATGAAAAATCCAGATTTGTTGATGTCGAAACTCAGAGTTTAGCTCAAACATAGATTTGCCTCTGACATAAACAACCTAAGCATACTTATCATTAATCGAGATTGGAAATCAAACTGACCCCATTGGATGAAGAATATGGAATTTCCTCCGATTTCAAACCCATTTTGTGTTTTTTTTTAAAAATTTAATTGGACACAAGGCCCGGTTTATGGGTTAATTCTGGGCTTACAAATTGACATATTATTTAAAGTCTGGGCCTGCATAAAGAATGACCATTATATACTGTCAAATTTTAAAATTTTTGGACTGGGTTATTTTGAACATTTTTATCTAGAATTTAACAAAGTAAATTCAACAAATTATTATAAAAATTAAATTTTAATATATAATTCTATGTCTCCAGAATTGTCATATATATTTCATTACAATAATAATCGGGACATAAAATTTTTTGATATATTGAAAATTCCAATAACATATAATAACTATTGAATTCTTAAATATTAATAATTAGTATTATAGCGATAAAAAATTAATTGCTTACAAATTTTCATAACATATATATAATTTTAATTCAAATTACATAACAAAATTAAGAAACGGGACCGCCCGGGCAGATCATCTAATTATATTTATGGTACTTTTTAGGGTAAGTGTATCAGTATAAACTGCCAGTTTTGTGTTCTTGAGAGGCAAACATGAAAAAATTAACTCTGTTTGGTTCATTATTTTGATTTTTTAAATATATTTTTAATTAATAATTTCCCAATCTAAATATAATTTTTTATTATTTTTTTAAAATTTTATATTTATAATATATTTGTTACATTCTCAATAAAAAACACTTAAAAACAGACACTAAAAAAACAATCCAAATAAATTATCTTTCTTCCCTAAATCTCTTCTCCTTCTCAGATCAGGAATGCCCTACCTCTAGGGCCTGACATACTCTTCATGGATCAGCCCCAACTCACCGTTTGATCAAGCCTTTGAATAAATTTTCAATCGTATTGTTTGATTTATGGCCCAATAACAACAAGGCCTAACAACGTCAACCTCTCGCGCTCAATAAATAAGCTACGGTCCTTTCCTAAATAGTCCCATAGCCTACGAACTTCCTCAATGAAAACCAACGAACCACAAAAAGAACCAGAAACCAAGCTCCGGTGACGACGCCGGTGGGAATTCCAGTTTCCGGCGTTCTCCTTATTGGACGAAAATCTCAAAAGAATACACGATTGTTCAAAGACGAGTGAGAATATTTCACTATGAAGTTCCAAATAGAAGACGTGACGGTTTATTTCCCCTACGACAACATATACCCTGAACAGTATTCCTACATGGTGGAACTCAAGCGTGCTCTAGATGCCAAGGGCCATTGCCTCCTTGAAATGCCCACCGGCACCGGAAAAACCATTGCCTTGCTTTCACTCATCACCAGCTACTCGCTGTCCAAGAAAACTAATCCGATCAAGTTGATCTACTGCACCCGCACCGTGCACGAGATGGAGAAAACATTGGGAGAGCTTAAATTGCTCCATAATTACCAATTACAACACTTGGGCCCCGAAGCCAAGATGCTTGCCCTAGGCTTGTCTTCCAGAAAGAACTTGTGTGTTAATCCGACTGTGGTTTCTGCTGAGAATAGAGATTCTGTGGATGCCGCTTGCCGGAAGCTTACTGCCAGTTGGGTTCGGGAGCTTGCTGCTGCAAACCCTAATGTTCCCACATGTTCTTTCTTTGAGAACTATGAGAAGTCTGCTTCTGAAGCTCTTCTCCCTCCAGGGGTTTACTCTTTGCAGGTTTTTTAACCTTACCTTTTTTCTCTTGTTTTTCTGTACTGATGAAAATCTCCCATTACTAGCGTAGAAAAATTTAAATGGATTATTTTAGAAGCTGCTCAAAGTTTCTATAGGATTAATCCATTTGGGATGATGGGCAATGAAGACGCTAAGCTTCATGATTTGTATGTTGAATTGCTGATTTGATTATTTGTAGTTGTACAAGTAAAAGAGGGCTAGGGATAGAACTAAATAAACTTGGAAAGAAACTATGAACGACTTGAAACACGATGGTGACATATGATTCATATAGCATACGCACATAGGGGGAAAGGCTTGCTGTTGTTGTAAGTGAAAAGTTTTTAACTTGGTTGCTCTAAGCTAAGAATTTTGGATTTATTGACATTTCGTACTCTTTATTGTGTTTAGTATAATGGGTTTTGTATTGTCACGGATTCATGCAGGATCTTAGGAGTTTTGGAAAAGCAAAAGGATGGTGTCCATACTTCTTAGCAAGACATATGGTTCAATTTGCGAATGTGGTTGTTTATAGCTATCAATACCTACTTGATCCAAAAGTTGCTGGTATCATATCAAAGGAGATGCAGAGAGAATCTGTTGTGGTTTTTGATGAGGCCCACAATATTGATAATGTATGTATTGAGGCTCTGAGTGTTAGTGTGAGGAAGCAGACACTGGAAGGGGCTACCCGAAATATTGAGAGGATGGATCGGGAGATAAAAAGGTGCGTGGGAGTTGGTCAAGTTTCAGTTGGATTGTTATCTGAGTACTGGCTGACTTATAATATATATCTTAAATGTAGCTTCTGATTTGACACTCACCTATGTTGTTCCTTAAGTATTTCATGTGAACTGGTAACTGTTAGCATGACGTTTTGTTTCGCTGATTGCTTGTCAATGTGAATTTATTTTTGGAATATGTGCTCTTTAACCAACTTACTTGGCGTCTTTCTTATATCATTATTTATTCCTCTAGCTGTTCTTCTGTTCATATAAAATGTTTATTCGATTAAGGTTTCCTGTGGTTGTTTGAGATTATACACTGTAAAAACTTGTATATCTAGGTTGAAAATTCTATGATTTGATTGGTTTGGCATGGTAGGAAGGCTTGAGGCCACGGATGCTAATCGACTTCAGTCAGAATACAAAAGACTCGTTGATGGTTTGGCAGTAAGGGGAAATCTGCCTGGTAAGATATGAAGACATGAAGTTTTATCAGATGAAATGCTTACTTTTGAGTTTTGACTGTAAGATGAGTTCGATTTTGTTCTTCTTATTTTCAGCTTCAGATGCATGGCTTGCAAACCCTGTCTTGCCTGATGATATACTCAAAGAAGCTGTTCCTGGGAATGTAAGGCGTGCAAAGCACTTTGTGTCTCTTCTCAAAAGATTAGTCCAGTATATTAGAGTACGTTTAGATACTGAGAATGTTGAAAAGGTGGAACCTGTGAGCTTTGTTCAATCTCTTGATCAGCAAGCTGCTATCAACTCTAAAATGTTGAAGTTTTGTTACGATAGGCTTCACTCGTTATTGTTAACTTTAGAGATATCAGATACTGATGAATTCTTACACATCCAAACTATCTGCGACTTTGCAACCCTTGTGGGGACTTATGCTCGGGGATTCTCCATAATTATTGAACCTTATGATGAAAGAATGCCACATATTCCTGACCCTGTTCTGCAGGTATGGTCATTTGTGCCTTGCCACATGCCTTCACTCCTTATTCAGTTCCTCGTTTTGAATTCAGATACCTTTTTATCCTTAATCATCTTGCTTTTAGAAGTAATGCCTTGTTGATAGCTAATCGGTAATCACTGGATTTTCTGTAACTCATTTTCTCGTGCTTCCAATTTTATGCATTACTTGGATACTTTTAGCTCATTTTAAATGGCTTTCCCTTCCAATAATATTTTCTTGTGATTGACTTATTGAGGAATCTTCTTTGTATTTCAGCTATGCTGCCATGATGCTTCTCTTGCCATAAAGCCTGTCTTCGAACGGTTTCAGTCAGTTGTTATAACCTCCGGGACTCTCAGTCCGATTGATCTCTATCCTCGCCTTCTAAATTTTAATCCTGTGGTTAGCCGGAGCTTCACAATGTCCTTGACTAGGGAATGTATATGCCCGATGGTCCTCACTCGGGGAAGGTAACTGATTTTACTGTTGTGTGTACATTACCTACCATTGTGCTTCACACAAGTTTTTTCTGGTGTATAATGAATAAATCCTTTTCCTATATTTTTCGTGCAGTGATCAGCTTCCCGTGAGTACAAAATATGATCTGAGGAGTGATCCTGGGGTTGAAAAAAATTATGGGAAACTCTTGCTGGAGATGGTCTCTGTTGTCCCAGATGGGATTGTTTGTTTTTTTGTTAGCTATTCATACATGGATGGGATAGTAAATAGTTGGCACGAAACAGGACTCCTTAAGGTGATTTGCCACTCTGATGTTTTTCCAGATTTTAAAGAATTCCTTTTAGTTCCAAGATTCATTGAACCTCTTTTTTGTTTCCAAAGTTGAAAGAGGAAATGTTTTAGTATTTTTCTTTGTTTTTGTTTTCAGTTTCTCTGTAAAAATTTTTGTGATTGCTGGTTGATTTCATTGCTTTTCTGCTGAACGTAGCTTTCGTTGTCTGACATGCTTGCTGTAGGAAATAATGCAACATAAACTAGTCTTCATTGAGACACAAGATGTTGTTGAAACTACACTGGCTTTGGATAACTATCGCAAGGCTTGTGATTGTGGAAGGGGCGCCGTTTTCTTTTCTGTTGCTAGGTAAAGAGTCACCAGACTTCTACCTTCTTCTCCCCTCTCCGCCTTTTGCTTATATATTCAGAAGGATCAACCATTTTTCTGCTGTTCAGGGGTAAGGTTGCTGAGGGCATAGACTTTGACAGGCACTATGGTCGACTTGTTATCATGTTTGGTGTTCCATTTCAATATACTCTGAGCAGGTATCTACTATAGGTTGGAAATCTTTAGTGGAAGACATGCTTAAAAAATATTTTTGGATTTCACTAACATTGACATTGTGACTTGCAGAACATTGCTTGCAAGATTGGAGTACCTACGTGACACTTTCCAGATAAAAGAGGGCGACTTTCTCACATTTGATGCTCTGGTATATTTAGATTGATATTGAATCAGTTTTAAAATTTTTGGATCTGTAGTTTTTTACTAACATTTTCCCATGTCCAGAGACAAGCTGCTCAGTGTGTTGGGCGAGTGATCCGGTCTAAGGCAGATTATGGCATGATGATATTTGCTGACAAAAGGTTTGTATTTGAGAAAACACATACAGCTTGACGTTCTTGTTTGCATAGAAGTAAAGCACATACATTACCGTTATGTTTGCTTTGCAGTTACCCTTGATTGTGCGCAAATCAGATACTTATTTTTTTTTGATGATGTGTTTCTTCCAGTTGTTGACATTACATATATTTCTGAATTTTGTCAAACTCAGGTACACCCGCCATGACAAGCGTTCAAAGTTGCCGCGTTGGATTTTGTTGCAGTTACGTGATGCACATCTGAACTTAAGCACTGACATGGCTGTACATATAGCAAAAGAGGTTGAGTTCTTCTCATTTCCTATGTGTATTTCTATTCGAATCATTGTCGCTCTTGTAGTGCCTGTCATTTGCTTACCTTTAATTTGGACAAGAAGCATTTCTTGATGAAAATTTAATGGCATGGATATCTTTCTTCCAAGTGCATGCTGGTAACTAGGAATAATGTATGGGATCTCCTCTCCTTGGATGATGGGTTTGCATTATGTTTGACTTAGTGTTGGCCATTTAGCTGCTTAAAATTGATGATTAGAGCATTCTGTATTTAAGTCTTTCTTATTGAAGTGCTTTTCAGTTTTACTTTTGTTTTGTAAATATTTTGTGGATAAAAATTTTAAGATGACCTTCTTAATGCAGTTTTTAAGGAAGATGGCTCAACCCTATGATAAGACTGGTGCCTTGGGGAAGAAAACCCTTCTTTCGGAGGCAGACTTGGAGAAGATGGGTGATGGCATTCTCAAGGATGTGTTGTTTTAGCGCTACTGGTATGTAGGATGCTCTTGTCGTTTTGTGTAATTGTTTGTTTCTTTTTCTTTTTGATGTATGGAGTATATTCTTCTGCCTTGCTGAAAAGTACTGCCAAAGGCAGCACAAATTTTGTTTCCATATTAATTTAAGCTGCGAAAGTGAGGAAAAGGGGTGCAATTGGGAAACCTGATCTCAGTTGTGTGATTGGCCTAATGTGATATCACATAGTAATGTCAACTGACATTAGTAATTTTGTTAATGTGAGATGTTGTAGTATAGGTAGCCCCTACATTTTACTACTACACATTGAATTTTCAAATTTGTACTAAAAATAGTACAGAATTCAAAACTCGATGTGGACTATTTTTTTGGGTACGGAAGGAGTAGTCGGAGTGTAAAGTTTGCAGGAGACAGGACAGAATGTAACTCATGAACGTTTTACATCTGTGATTTCCTAAAGTATAATGCATATTGGCCGTCCGCAATCTAGCTAGCATAATTCTTTTCCCTTGTTTGGTCTTAAGTTTTTGAGCGTCATGGGGATGATCTGGTGGATTGCTCTTTTGACTTCCATAATAGTGGCCTTTTTGCCATTCAAGTTCTCTTTCACCTGCAAGAAAAAAAAGTGACAAAGTCAACGGATGAAACAGTTTCAGAAAAACGTCAGAACTCTCCTAATGAACAAATAAAAACACCTCCAGATGGATTTTAGACTAAGCTTATCAACGTACAAAAAAATGGAAGGAAAAGGCAGGTTTTATGATGTAAAATGACCTTAGCCCTGAGCTCAGCAACAAAAATCCCATCATTAGCAGAAGATTGCACCAAAGTAGTCTCCACCTTGAGCTCCCTAAGCACTTGCATGACATCCAGTAACAACCCTTCCCTACATGGACACTGCAGCTCCACCAGTGCATCATTTTCTATTATAGAAACCTCCACCTGTACCTCTGTTCCCTCCACTGCCGACGGTGCCGTGGGCTTCCCTCCACCACTACCTGTGTCCTCCGTTAGCTTCATCTTCTTGACTCTCCCAGCATTTGTATACCCCTTGATCTTGGACGGATCATGATTTTCCTCCTCCAGCTGACGTGTTCGGGCCTCAAGCTCGGTTATCTTCGTCCGCAGCTGTTTCACGTATTCTATAGCATCTCCAAGTATGGACGCCTTGTCCATTTTGGTGATGAAAGGCACCAGAGACCTCAATATAATAAAACGCTCATTCAGCTTCTCCCTACGCCGTCGTTCACAGAGTATGTGGTTTGCACTGAGCTCTTCCGGTGGGGTTGGTTTCCGCAACTTCCCTGAGGCAGACTCCGAAATGCTTTCTTCCCGAGACTTGACCAAAACCGGGGAGCCAGAGGTGGAGTCGCACTGGCCGGATTTGGAGTGCAGGAGCGGAACTGTAAAGAGAATGTACTTGAGGGCTGACTGGGAACGGGAGGAGGCTGACCGGGAAGTGATTGGCGACGGCGACCAGTTGCGGAAGGCTGAGTGAGCGGAGATAAATAGTGTGTGAATGTAGGAAGGGAAGTTGGATAAGGAATCGGAGAAATTAGAGCGGGTGGATTGGTGGTGAAGGATGGTGGATACTGTTTGTGAGTAATGGTCGGGAACCTCCTCTGATTCTTCGTCTTGTTTCGCGAATTCAACATCACCTGATCCCACCATTAATGAAGGAACTCCTGCTAACAAAATCAATCAGGCCGGATTTATAGATAAAACTCTGCACAATGCAGTATTCAACATTTCAACTCACTAACTTACCTGAGGAAGATTGATGTGGAGGCACTTCAGGAATTCCGATTCCTTCTCCTGATGGTGCATTCGGTTTGGTCTCTGTAAGTGGCCATCGTCGGCATCCTGAATCCGATCCGATAGAATGGTCAGCCACTAGGGCAGTTGTTTGGCAGTTGGTGACCGGAATCATCAGACCTTGATTTCGATAATGATCCTCAGGCGAACTGAACCTTATATTCTCCGGAATGTCACGATCAAATTGCACATCCACTTCCATTAATCCCGCTATGCCGGACCTAATACCAACACTTTGAACCAATGCCTCTGAATCATCGGCAACTTCTTCGTCCTCTTCTTCTTCTACGTCATCTACTACATTAGCCATATGATTATGATCTTGGGTGTCTACTATGCCTATGAGTCTATTACTAGTACTACTTGGAGTTGTGGATGGACCGGCCGGCGGCACAACATTTACTGAAAATGGTGGCGGGGAATTATTGTTACTAAGAATCCTCCTTTGTCGCATTAACATTGGTAGGGCTCCTGAATTGTTGTAATTATTACAAGTTGTGCTGGAATGCTCCGATAAGGCTGGCTTTGGCACTTCTTGTTGTTGCATCAGCTTATTACCATCACCACCATCATCATCATGGTCAATGTTATTGATGTCGAAAATAGTCCTGATTTTATGGATTATTCCCATGTTTTCTTCAACCTAGTTAATTACAATTATGGCGCGAACAACCGAGCTGCGTTAATTCAACTAGAATGTGCCATTTTTCTTTCTTTTTATTAGGTCTTCTAGACATAAATTAAATCAAACAATTAAAACTACCAAGTTTTACTCATAACTATCATACATCATGGACTTTGAATGCAGACCTCTAATTTTACTGTTACAATTTTTTTCACTAATGAAACATGAATAATATACAAAAGTAAGGCAAAAGATCCATTTTGAACAAATGAGAACATTGTTATGAGCTAGGTTAGTACCTTTTCTATAGTTCCAAGTTCGACTACGCCATCTAGCAGAGGAATGCAGACAACAGTCCGAACGCGAGCACTCTAATTAATGTTGTTCACCAGCAAAGGCAAGATTAACCCAAAAAAAAAAAAAAAAAAGAAAAAGAAAAAAGAAAAGGTTCAAATCGTTAGTCCTTTCAACTTCTTTTTCAAGGAATATATTCATCAAGTATGAATTCATTTCACTCGTTTCTTTAGGGAAAAATTAAGTGATTTAAGTCAAAAGCTTTAATAAGGGGAGCAGATAAATGAGGTTTACGTACGTACCTTAGCCAGAATTGCCCTTGTGAACACTTTGCTGTCTACTTCATTTGCCCCGGTTAGCCATATATGTTGCCTCGTCGCATAGGCCTTTCCTGGCAATCTATGATTTCCACAAAACATCAATTAACCTTCCATCCCAAAAAAATTGTCCAACAAACACGACAATTATTCATATATATAACTTATATAATTTAAAGACTGAGGATGATTATATTAATTTATTTAAGATGCTCCATCATTTTAATTAAAAAAAATAAGAAAACAAATTTACAGTTGAGTTATTTCATGATTCAAATAGTCAGTTTGCCATTTGTTCAATTTTTTTTGTGTCACATTATATGGTGCTATGTAAATTAATTGCACTTAACAAGTCAAGTATGATACTGTATACAGGACCACTAACTCTCTCCTCATGTATTTATTTAGGGTGGATCATTAAAATCCGCAACAGCATTAGGCCTTAACTTTATGTTGTGCAGCTATCAGTACAACTTATGGTTAAGAATCAAACTGGCAAATTTAGATATGCAAAAATATAACCTCAGCTAAACTGGAATAGCTAGCCCTTAAGGAAATTTCATCACCCCATGGAAAGAGGTCATGATCATCATATTTATCCATACATCGTGAGACAAAATGCAAGCTACAGCTACTTCTCTAAAGTTCTTCCACAACTTTCCTCTTTAATTCATCCACATTAACTTTCCAAATTAGCTAGCAATATCAATATTCACTAATTCGCCTTCAAAATATATATATATATATATATATATATATATATGAATCAATGTAGTTGAATCCTCATTGGTTTTCATATCAGAGTTTTAATCATCCAGCCAACCCCCCGATGATATCGACAGAAAGTGGAGATCCTAGAGGATGAGTGGATGACAAATTCAAGTCTGAAAAATTGTCTAGTGTTATTCAATGTCTCACTCCCCCAAAATGCACAAAAAAGTGCAATAAATTCCATGCAAATGCGCAATCTTCAAGCTGTAATTTCGAGCCATTTCTTAAAACTTGATAGGGACAATTTAGCAATGATGATGATGATGATATTGTAGTAATTAATGCTTTAGAGAGAGTTCATTATCATGAACATACGTCATCATCTTAATGCTTCTTTGTCATCATTTTCATGGATCATTGTTTCATTAATCAACTTCTTACAGTAATTGACTGTAAAAATATCAAGCCATCTTCCAAACAACATTAATATTGAGGGGAAAGAATTTACTTACCCTACTCCGGGAGGGAAAGAGAAGGAGATGCACATCAAATAGAACCACTCAGACTCGGTCAAATCCTCCGGTGACAAGGCAGCAGACGGTCTTCTAGCTTGCTGATTTTCTGTCTCTCCGGCGGAAAGCGTATCATATAATTCTCTAAGCTGTTGACTTCTCTGAAGGGATGCCTCCTCATCCGTCACTTCCATTGGCTGCACTGTCTTCCTTGTCTTTATGGCTCCATTGTAATATCCATCTCTCCACACCAGAATCCTATACCAAATAGAAAAAAAAAAAAAAGAAAAGAAAAAAAGAAAAAGATGCAAGTGATCAGATCATGCCTCACAATTTTAAAAATATGACTGATGCATATATATATATATATATATATATATATATATGTATTATATAGCCAAATGTAGACAAAAATCACCTTTCTTGGGAAGAAAGTTGCCAGAAAAGACTGTAAGTCCAGTCAACTTTTTGAACAGCCCTTTGTAGCATGCTTTGTAACTGACTGTTTGATGGAGTTGCCATTTTCTCTTTTTACTATCTCCTTTCAACAAATCTTCTTCTTCTTTTTCCTCTTCCTCTATCACATATTGATTTGTAACAGTAAATGAAATTTTAAGAAAAGATGAATAAGGAAAGGAGCGAGGGAAAGAAAAGGTGAAGTTGTTTTGGCTTATTGAAATTTATGGAAGGAAGAAAGGAGAGAAAAAAAGACGATGTTGACTGAAAATCAAGCTAGAAGTTAACGCCATGATCATGATGGAATCCTTGGGATTTAGCTGCTGCAGGCTCACCAGGCTGACCTGTGAATATTCTTCTATGTGACTTGCAGGTGAGAATGTTGAGTTAGGTACATATGTAAACTTGGTGGCTGGTGCATACTGAAATAAAAATCTGAGGAAGAAGTACTTTGTGGGGTTATAAACAATTGAAATGATGAACTCAATTGTTGTCCAAAAATCCCAGTAGCTGAGAATGGTTGTTAGCGCCAAATTATCTGGTACACCCGGGGGCACCGTGTACCCCCATGCGCGTGTAATTTACTCTCTTAGAATAGTGTGAGTTTGCTAGATAATTCATCCTTTTTTTTTTTTTTAAACGCGTGTGGATAACCAGTGTTCACCATATGGATAACCAGTGTTGGCACTATGAATAACCAGTTACACACAACTGGATAACCATTATTAACCTGTTGGATAACCAGTATGGACATAGTGGATAACTAGTGTGCACATTATGGATAACTAGTTACACACAGCTGGATAACCAGTTGCCAAATTTTATTTTTTTTCTTTTATATTTTTCTTGGATATCCTTGTCCGTATTTTTTACACTGGTTATCCAGCTGCCCCTCATTCATTTTTTGTTCTCCATCATTTGGCAAACTTCCCCTCATTCAATTAAATACTATTTATGAAATTTGTCATGTTTGGCATGGGGGCGGCACAGCCGCGAAAGGCGGCGCAACCGCGGGCATCGACACAGCCGGGTCGTTTAGTTTATCACGGGGGGATTTATACAAGTAATTTATGTCCCCTCTAAACGCAATAACACACTCTCCTTACACACACACGAAAAAAGGATTACCTTAGCTATATTGGCGTGTTCGGCGGGGTGGCGCAGCCAGAGCGGGTTGGTGACCTACAATTCCGGTAGCCGCGGGAGTCGTTTAGTTTATTATGGGGGCGAATCCGCCCAATGAACATGCCGTTTGGATAGTCATTTTCTTATGGATATGCAGGATAACATCATAGGATAAACAATTTAATAAAGAAGTAGAAAGACCAAGAAATTGGGACACTCAATTTTTGTTGTTTGGGAATTGTGGATAATCAGTTTACACTTCTGGATAACCAGTTTACAACTTGTGGATAACCAGTTTACACCTTGTGGATAACCAGTTTACAATTGTGGATAATCAGTTTACATCTTCTGGATAACCAGTTTACAACTTATGGATAACCAATATGAAATGGGTGGATAACCAGCATTTAATGTAAATGTGAAAAATGTTAAGCGCGTGTAACGCGTGTGTTTGGTGGGGGTATACGGTATACCCGGGTGCACTGGATACGGACTCGTTGTTAGCTTCTGGAAATGGAATGAGCTCAGTATGAACTATTTGGGTTGACTTGGTTTGGTTTCGGTTCTAAATTAAGTGCAGAATTTAGTGAGGTGTTATTACCTCGATTTAGAGTTGAAATCACATAGGGGCAATCCAATTCAGAGGAGAAAAAAAAAAAAGAGAAGAAAATTTTCATCTTTGCACTTTTGGGAAGTGTTTGACTGGTTGGTGCCTACCTGACAGTTCAATGAGAGAGCGTCCCGAAAAAGTATTACGGACACATATATGCAACAATCAAGCTCTACAGCACACATTTTGTTTCTTCAGTCCTTATATCTCTCATGATAGAAAATGTCTACCAGTTAGGAGCCTGAGTGTTCATCGTAAATCACACATAAAGAGAACGATTCATGACTAGTTAACATTGAAATTAGACACACAATAACTAAATAATACATAACAGTAAATTGATTAATTATTTACAGGGAGTTGCAAAAGAACAGAATGTTTCGGCTAAAACAAATTGATGATCCATCACTCACAATTAATAGCCATTCCTTCTGATGATCATGCATGTATGGCCATACTGAGTGGACAGCAAATCTAAGCCTCTGCGAGTTTTAACCGAGGTACAATGTTCATTGACTGCAGTTCCTGGATTAAGAGCTTGCAAGAATATGGCAGGTTCATAGTTGACATATTATTTCCATTCTTACATGTTGAACAAACAGCAATCTTCAGCTTTTTGTTGTAGTATCCGAGCAGACCGCATTCTCGACACACATGAGCCTCGAAAGGATCGCTGGAAATCATCATTCTCTCATGTAACAACATACTAGCACCATAAGCAATCATACAATCCCGTTCCATTTCTCCTATTCGAAGCCCTCCATTTTTACTCCTCCCTTCTGTTGGCTGCCTTGTAAGCATTTGACGAGGACCAACACCTCGTGCGTGCATTTTATCCAACACCTTGTGCTTCAGTTTCTGGTAATAAATTGGACCCATGAAAATGTATGCTTGCAGTGGTAAACCAGTTATGCCTGAATAGATAAAGTCTTTGCCATTGTAACTGAAGCCACGATTCAGTAGTGTTTCACTTATAGTTTCAACTTTGTCTGCGTGACCACTTGGTTCTCCAAATGCACTTCCATAATGAAACTTGCCAATGGAAACTCCAGCTTTACTACCAAGAAGCTCTAACATCTTCCCAACCGTCATACGACTTGGAAATCCATGAGGATTCATGATGAGATCAGGACATATACCTTGTTCTGAAAATGGGAAATCTTCCTGTTCAATAATGGTCCCAATAACACCCTTTTGCCCATGCCTACTACTGAACTTGTCTCCAACCTCTGGTCTCCGAGTTTGACGAAGCATCAATTTAACACACAAACTGCTGCTGTTTTTAGGATCAGGATAAAGAGCAACTCTATCTATAACTGCCGCCTCCCCTCCCTCGCCTTTGTAAGTCTGCCTGCACGGCTTGTATACACTATCATTCTGATTATTAATCCAGGTATCATGGGGTCTAAGTATTTCTCCAGGAGCAACTATTCCATAATCATCCAAAGTCTGTATCCTATCTGCTTTATGTTCTTGGTGTTGAAGTCCAAATTTCTCACCAGATGCATGGCGACCATTCTCATATTTCTGAAGCATGGCAGCCATCCTTTTCCTGGCAATACAACGCCCAAATCCGCGATCAAGAGATGATTTGTTCATGACTATAGCATCCTCTATGTCATATCCACTATAACTCATGACCGCTACAGTGGCATTCTGCCCGGCACCGAGTTTATCATATCCAACCAACTCTATAGTTCTGGTTGTTAACAGTGGTTTCTGGGGATATACCAAAAGGTACATCAATGTATCCATCCGAGTTAACTGGTTATAGGCGATGTTGCCCATGGCTTGCTTTCCCATGGCACATTGATAAGTGTTTCTTGGGGATTGGTTATGATGTGGATAAGGAATCAGCCCGGCACAAACCCCTAAGATGGTAAAAGGCTCTATTTCAATATGTGTCGTTTCTTCCAAGGTGTCTCCTTCATACAAAGCGATCTGTTAAATGCAAAATTCAGCAGTAGTAAATACAATGCTACTAAATCTTTTCAGTTTAAGAAACAAATATCTTAAAGATTCTGATAGAGCTACAAACCAAGGCATTATTCTCCTCATTAACATCAAGGTATTCTATTAAGCCCTCTGTAAGAAAGCTGTCAAAGGAGCGAACACCATCCTGCCAAGCAAACAAATTAGGCTAACAGATGTAACAAATGCTAAGAAAATAGCAAAAGCTGAGAAAACGTACCTTCAACTCTGTCATATGGTGTTCCTTGATTCTAGATACACCTTTATCAGCAATAACAAGGGGACGGCAAACACGACCTCCGTCTGATGCAATGTAAACACAATGTTGTTTCTCATTGACAAAAATGCTTACAAATTCGCCAATCTTACCAGTCCTCCGCAATTTTCTCATTGCAGCTGCAAAACGCTGCGGCTTCCTGTGTGTTCCAAGAATGATCCCATTCATCATGATCAAATATGAGTTAGGCAAGTGAAGTGCTTCTCCTGAAAGCAGTTCCAAGTTTTCAACTCCCAAACAGTAGCACAGGGACATAATTGGACCTTCTTCCTCGTCAGTCGTAACATGAGTCGTCAAGGCCAAATTTTTCACCAACCCACAAGCCTCACCTTCTGGAGTGTCACAAGGGCAAAGCATTCCCCACTGGCTTGGTTGCAAGGCTCTTGGTCCGCTAACTTTCTGAGACTTCTCAAATTGTGGAGATATCTTTGTCATGTAACCCAAAGTCCCAATGTAGGAAAGCCTACACACAACCTGGGTCATTCCTTTACGGTGCATCCTAAATCGCTGGATATTCCAGTTGCCAGTGGAAAGCGCGGTCTCCAGACCAGCAGTAATACTCTTCTGCACTATACAATTAGAAATGTCAAGGCTCCGGTTTTTATCTATTGTCTTTCTCGCTTCATCATTCATTGTCTTAAATAAATCCTCAAAAAGTAAAGATAAAAGCTGGCCAGATAGCTCTAGTCGTTTGTTCCCCACATAATCCTTGTCATCCATCGCATCCTTATTCAGAATTGCCTCCATCATTCGTCTAAGCATTACAGCAACATATATGCATTTTGTGCGGAAATTATTATTATGCACGGGGATGTGAGCAATAAATATGTCCCGAAGAATGCTGAAAGCCCTTTGTTCATCAACCCGGGTAAACTGATAATATTGTGTAATGTGGTTCTATAGGTATTCCAAGGCCTGATGTTGTGTATGTACACGCAAGTTTGAACAATGTTTCATAGATGGCAAAAGTAATGCACCAAAACGGGGATCCCTTCCAACCATCTGAACAACCTCCTGATCACTCTCCATTCCCATAGCCTTCAGAACCACCATAATGGGAATCTTGGTCTTAAATTGATTCAGGTGTAGATATATTTTCTCCTTCTCCATTTTAATGACAGTTTTGCTTTTCATTTTTGCCGTACTGCTAGTCACAGATGCCTGCACACAACCCTTCTTATCATCAATGATTATCCTGTTATGCGCGAGCTGCTCTCGTATCAAAATCACCTTCTCTGTTCCTTTGATGACAAAATAACCTCCAGGGTCAAGTGGACACTCACCAAGCCATGCCAACTCCTCCTCGTCTTTTCCATACAAATTGCAACAGCAACTTCTTAACATGACGGGCATCCTCCCAATAACAACATCTCTCTTGTGCTTTACTTCAACATGCTTACCAATTTGGGTAGTGTATTCAACATTCACTAAGATATTAGCAGCATAAGTAAGATCAGAGATCCGACACCTATGAGGATTGAGCACCTCAGTCACACAATCAACCAGTATAGAGGGCTTCCCAACACGAACATCTGTGTATCTCAGGTAAATGCTTGGATCCTCTTTTGATCTGATCTCATTATTAGCAGCCACAATCTTTTTTATACCAGTGGTAACAAAATAATTGAAGGAATCCAGATGCTGCTTCACCAAACCTCTAACTTTTAGAAACTCCGGAAGTAATTGGTACTTGTCCACAGCTGATTTTACAGGGGCGGCAAGAAATTCTTTGTCAACCCCTGACCATTGTGGTTGACCTTCATTCGCTACCATTGTCAGATCTTTCGATTCCCTAAAATTTCACCACTGCAATGAAATTGGGAGTTCCGGATAAGCAATTACTCTCCATAATAAGCTTAAATCTCTCATAACTTCAATGGACAACCTAATCTGACAACAGTTTTCAAATTCTAGAATGTAATTAATTGATGCAGTAAGGGGAGCGATTAAATGAATATGCAACTCGAAAAATGGAGAAAAAAAGAAAAGAAAAGGAAAGCAGAGATAGAAAAGTTGACTGAAAACTAACATGACCGGTCGGTTCAGTTGAAACAAAGCTTCGGGACGGCGGCGGAGCTGCATCCGGCGGTGGTGGAGGGCGGAACACTACATCTCTCAGGTTGGAGATTGCTTGAGCAGAAATTAACGTTTGAATTTTGATGGGTTTTTTTTTAAGGGTTTTGGTGGGGACTGGGGGCGTGGAAAGGAGGGAATTGGAAATTCTGCAGCTTCTATTTTGAGACTGTTGTTGATGGTTTGTTGGATGGGATAAAGGCCGAGAAGCCCAATAATCTTCAACCAAGAAATTGGGCCTAACTTGCTTCTAATAATTTTTTTTTTTTCACACAGGTAACTCTCAAATCTCATCCTGATAATAAATACTTTTCTATGGAATTGACAACTAACACGATACGAATAATTGTTGTGTACCGATAGAGAAAACTTAAAAAATAAATCTACAAAATAAAATTGAAAAAATAAATAGTAAAAAATGAATTCAAATATCACATTTCAATTTGAATGATTTATTTATAAGCATAATGAGTTGTGCATGGAAATTTTAGAGAGAATTTAAACAGGAATGAATCATAACCATTTATTTTGTATTTTGTATATCTTCACAGAGAATTTTAAAGTATAGTTTTGATGATTGATATATCATCCCCTCTAAGTCTTTTTGTAAATTTTGTATCACTACTCTTCTTCTATTGATAAAGAAAGAAAGATGCGTCAAAAGACATAAGAAAAACCGCCATATATAGTACAAAAATAGCCGGCTGTATCACTCAGCATTAATAAAGCACAAATGATCACTACAGAACAATATGCAAGAATTGACGAAACGGACGGCTAAAACCAAGAAATTTTAGTTTGGCTTCTATACCACTCCAGCCCATCAGAATTTTCAAGTACAACAGGAAAAGAGGGGAAGAAATCAAATAATGGGTTGTGTTAATTTTCGTGTTATTGCAACAATATTATTAGTTGGTTTTTATCATCAAACTTGTTTTGTGGAAAGCGTACCAAACACCACAGTCCTAATCACTCAGTGCAACAACGGAGTTTATGCGAATGGCGATCCGTTTGGGATTAGTGTCGCTTATGTTGTTGATGATTTAGAAAGCGCTACGCCTTTTCGGCAAGGCTACGTTTATCGCAACATTTCACCTTATCCTAACGCTTTTGCTTATGGGGAAGCTAATTGCAATCAAAGTCTGAACGGCTTGGATTGTGGCACGTGTTTGGGCGCTGCCAAAAAAGCTATGCTGAGCTCATGTGTTAGCCGGATTGGGGCTCGTTCTGGGCTCGTTGATTGTTCGATGAGGTACGAGCAGTATCCCTTCGGTGATTGATTTATTAGTCCTTTTTACATGATTTATTTATTTATATATTTTTGGTTTATGTTTTGTTGAATTATTAATCAATCAATGTAATGAAAACTTGGGGACATATAAATGTTCGCGAAGTTGGCAAGAAATAATTACATGAAAAACATCTGCCATCTTCTATCTTCATTTTCTCCCCTTTTTGGAATAAGCAGGTTTTCTGTATACAATATTTTGAATGAATGAGATAGAGAATGGAAAATTTCATTGTTCCGTTGATTATACAATGGTTCAATCAATATAATTCACGGAATATATGCATATAAGAATTATACTATCCAAGGAATTGAATTATTAGGGAACCACATGTGTACTGTATATTGTCGGGTCTGCATCATTATCAAAAGTGAATTGGAATATTCGAATCTGAATTAGTCAGAATAATAATTTCGGACATTAGCTGTGTCATACGTAATTTCTTTTCTTTTTTTTTTTTTTTGAAAAATTACCCAATTAGGGGATTGCTGATGTGGTATACGCCCGTTAACAACTTTGTCCCTCCCACCCCGATCAATCAGTGTACCGAAATTTTCAAATTTATTAAGATGATTATTACAAGTAATTTGATTATTATTACAGGTAAAAGAAAAGATTTGATTCTGTAATTAGACGTTAGATAGGTAATATAAGAGTGCCATCAACTCCAAAGCTAGCTTAGTAAATAATTCCCTGTCTCGGAAAAAAAAAATTACTTTTTTTATTAAACTGAAATAATATAATAAGTGAATTAATTTTTTTTGAAATAGAAAGAATATATATTATGAAACACATATATAGGGTCTCTATACAATATTTGCAATTACTTATCATATCATGCATGTTGACCTGTAAGAGACAAAAATAAATAAATAAAGATAATGCGTTTGACTGTGTGTGCTACCGAGATTTAGCGCGTAACATTATCATGTAATGCCTTTTTAATTGACCACTTTCGAAATGTGTGTGTGTGTGTTTTTTTCCTTTTTCTTTTGGATTATATATAAATCCCAAACAAATTATTATTATTTTTTTCAAACTACGTAGCTAGCCTTCATTAGAATTATAAACATTAATTGTCATGCAAAAAAAAGTGATACCTCGATCACTATATACATAGACATACATATATGTAGGTATAATGTTATGCGTTGCCTTCTTAATGTCTAGGAATTCCAGTTTTCAATTAGGACATATCATTTCTGAAAAATTAACATTAAGATTATATACTTAGTCTAAATACTGTCTACCAAGTTAATTGATTAAGTTTATGGTGCGGAAGTCATCATTATGTTGAATAACACCATCAAGCTAGCTACTAATTATCAAGTAGCCGCTAGGTGGGGTGATCCAGATCATTCAGACATCCATTGTTTTGGCCTGAAAAGAAGCAATTTGTCCCAGTTGTTCTACTCGATCAGCTACATCCTCAATTTTGTGGGTTATCTCCATCAACAGAAAAATGAAGCTTGAGGTTCCCAGATGATGAGTTTCGTCCTTGTAGTCTTTTAATCCTTTATTCATTGGCATAGGAAGTAGTGTTAATTTGCTCAGTTCTAGCTTTATGGTTTGAAGCTTCGGTGTTATTGTAGTCTTGGATCGGCATTGCTTCATCGTCAATATACTCTCCCCAAGTTCTCTCAAGATCCATACCATCGACAATCCAGCAAGTTCGCAACCTTCTTTGATCGCATCTCTTTGATCCAGTTCAGGCTGATAACAAAATGGACAGTTAATTATAAAACTAAAGAATAATAAACCCCGTAACTAAATGGTGCATACCGTGTGAAAAATGGTACCATATGATAGATGATTAGTACGTGTACTAATTAATTTAGTGTGAAAGGTGGATTTAATTTATTAAGATGTGACAAGTCATCATCAAACTAATGCTTTATTATATGATTAGTTTAAGTAATTAATTACCTGTTTAGACGACTGGATACAAACTCTGAGTGACAAAATTAGTGCAGCAAGCTCTCGTAGAGTTTCCCCTATCTCTAAATACTTTTCCCATGGGTAAGAAAGTCCAAACTTCCCATGCCAAGGTTCCCATTTCGCAAAATTTGCCTATACCACAAAACAATTTAACTTCATCAGCTGAAATAAATGATAATCTCTATTTTATAATCATATAAATTGTATACCCCACCCGTATCAAATAAGAGTCTTTATCATCTTGACTATAACAAATAAGACTTTTAAGTTAGAACGGAAGGAAGCAGAAGCAATATTATTTTATGCTTGTGTTATAATTAAACCAAGAAAAAGAAAGGAAAATTATTTTAATACCAGAGATTCATCAGTGGACTTGGAGTGGAACACTGCCTTGCAGCCACTAACATCGGCCTTTTTTGGCTTATTTTCTTCTTTGTTGGGAATTGAAAAATACTCCTCCAAACATTCTGCAATTTATAATTAATTTCTAATCAGTTATGAAAATCATAGGTATTCAAATGAAAGACTTTTTCTTCTTCTTTTTTTTCCCCCTTCCCTCTCTTTAATTTACAATTTAAAAAGGTGGGTTCTGTATATAGTTTGACGCCATAATAATTAAATAATCGTCACTGTGTTAAATAGTTTGCGTGACGTCGAACTAATTAATTAAACGTGTACGATTATTCATTAACTAGGATTCATTTACTGTTTTTGTTACTATAGTACTTTTTTTTTGTTAGTGGGATATAGAGTGATGGAGATTAGTAACTAACCTGAAATGCAACTAGCAAGTTTCTCGAACTTAGAAGCCGTGGAATCGTGAAGTTGATCGCTTGCCCAAATCGGGAAAACCAGTAAACTGATGAATATGCACACGGCAAAGCCCATTCCGATAGTTGAGAGGCGGACTTTGGCTAACGCCACCACTTTATCTGCCCTTACGCCGGAAACCGCCACCAGGTTAAAGGTCAAGATGAAGATCATGCACCCGTAGTCATATCTCCTTTTAATTCTTGGTACCAACCTCGAATATGTAGCTGCGGCTCCTATCATATATTTATCAATACAAAAAAATCAGCACCGTTTAACGTAAAAGCTTTTTTTAAAAAATTCATATAAAGAAAAAAAAATGTTATACCTATGATGAAAACTGAAGTGCCGACGATGATAGCATTTCCAGTTCCTTCGAATTTGTCTCCTAAAATTGCAGCCAAGCATCCCAATCCACCGCCTAATATCGTACCAATTGCTCGGTTTATGCCTTTGCTCAGTGTAGCCCCTAAAATTTCAAGAATTTAATGAGCTAAGTTAGTCAATTCTGACTACCTAACCAGATAAGATATTTAATTATCAACGTCTTGTATACTAATCGCGTCTTTATCAATAAAGCTATCTACTTTTGTAACAATAGATACTTGCTCTATCACGTTTCATATTTCGGTATCATAATTTTAAATAAGCACTCACTTATTTACTGGTAGAACACGACTGATATTGCGATACGCCAAAAATCTAAATATGCAACTAGCTAATCTAGACTAGAGTGACAATTGATAAATGGAAATGCATTAAAAGACTTGCGAAAGGTTGGCAAATTTAACCTGCAGTGAACTCGAAGACAACCACAACGGTCATGATAGCCCACATGGCATTTTCTCCAATGTCTTCGAAGAGTGGATCCAGCAGATACAAAAGAGAGACCAACACCAAAGAAATTCCAACCTTAACGCTGTGGATCACTCTGATGCTAGGTTTGCGACATTTATGATAAAACAACATCTTCATGATCGCTTTGTTCTTGTCTCCATGGGGACAATTGTTCTCTCCATGTGGAGGAGAATCAACTGACATGATTTTTGAGCTCATAATCGAAGATAAAATACCCTCAACTTTAATGGCTGATCAAATGTTATTTTCTTTTTCCCTCTCTCTTGTTTTACTAGCTAGCTAGTTGGTGGAGTGAAAATGAGTAATGGCAAATGAACAATCCAAGATATGGAGATCAATTTATAGGGAATGGAATATTTGAGCATACGCATCATCAATTATCATACTGTAGCTAGCTAGAATTAGTACAACGTACGGCTCATTCCCACACCATATATTGGGTTTGATTGGTTAAAGAAGCATGGGACAATATTAGCTTTTTTGTAATTTCGTATGTGGTAGCAACATGGCAACTTTTAACTGATCAGTAGTATTTCAAACGTTAGAGATTTTAGTGATAGTATTACACCTGTTGATTAATTAGTAATAATTTTATTCGTATTATATTTTTTTAAATAGGAAGTGGAACACGATTCCTACACGCACCATCCAGAAAAGACATATTTAGTGCGAACATACAGTAGGGAAACTAAGTACGCGAGCGATTGATCGACCCCCCTTTTTACAGAAAATGGCCAGACTTATTGGTCACATTTTACCATTTCGAATTCATTCATAATTGTTGCTGGGATTTCGAGATGCAATGTGTTGCTGATAAGTGAATTGATTGATTATGCATACCAAAGGGTCGGTACACTTTTCTTTTCAGTTTTAAAGGATTTTATACGCAGATAATGAGGAATGATAAACATAATGATCAAATCGTGACTACTTGTCAATTAATATTTTTTATGATATATAAAAAAAATATATCATGATCATAAAAACCAGTGATTTGTAAATAAATCATACATTAATCTAACGCTCGACACAGTTTCATTGCTGTCTCTATTATTACTATTGGTTAAAATTGCTATACCATGTTTGGTTAGAAGAGATAAAGGCCGACATTACTGGAAGCATGATATATCAATTCAATCTGATCAATATGCCTAGCTCTTTTGGTTTCAAATGTTGGAGGGTTTCAGTTTTTATAGTGCTAAAATGGTTGTAAGGTCAGAGTGCATTACTCTTCCATCTCATCAACTAAATGACTATCTCCTAAAATACCTTGTATTATTTTACATGCCTATTTTTGGTCGTAAAACACATGTTCTATGTGAAGTGTGAACTGACCATATCTTCTTGATGGTTAATTGGTAATCATAGTACATGCACATTAAAAAAAACAAAACAAAACAAAAAATTAGCGCGGGTGGGTTTTTAGTGCCAAAATAATTAGTAGGATGGCTTTGGTGTAAAGGGGTCAAAAGGGTTGATAAGGAGATGTTGAATTTGAGAGGGGTGATGACAGGTGACAACAACAACATTAGGGAGGAGAACTATGGTTCATGATGTAACATGAAAAGTGGCTTTCTGTACCCTGTGATTATAGTGGTCCGACAGGGATCGAATTACGCCACTACTTATTGTTGTCATCTACTAAACTACCTATCAACATAATCAATTAGCATTTCTCCTAATTTTTGCATTTTTCTCTTCTTTGATTAGTACCGATTGTACTTCTGGTTTCTTCTTCGTAATTTGGAGGTTTCAGTATTGCTTTTTACTTTACAATTTTTAAGATGGTTTTGGCTGAAAATTCAGAAGTACAAAAAATCCATAATTTACTATTTGAAAAAACTCGCACATATTTGTAGATTGTTGGATGGATGGCATATACTCTTTCCTTCCTTTTTATTTATTTATTATTTATTATACAATAAAGCACTCAATTTGATCTTAGTTTATAGTAGGAAATACTAACCATACCACTTTCAATCGGTTTTAAAATAGATGGCGACCCATCTAACCAAACCAAAGCAGGCCATTAGGGCGGGTATACATAGTTGCTAATTAAATTAATATTATCTCTGTTCCTACAAAATTTTACAAATCTCCAAATTCAATATGATTTTTTTTTTTAGAAAGAGCTAATATTTTTTTTAAAAGTTACGGAAAATTCAGCAATATATATATATATATATATATATATATATTCACGTTTTTATTAACTTCATAGACCAAGCCCCTCTTTAATAAATGGCCTTTATCACGCCTCCATGTACATCAAAATATTTCCTCCTCCCTCGATCATTTCAACAACACTCCGATTTTCAGAATATGTCAACCTCTGCAGTAATCTTATGCATCTCCAATTTTAAATATTTCTTCTTTCCTCTCATTTTAATAATTCCACTTTGCGTATCACCTATCTAGCTTCTTTTTTTTTTCCTTGAATACCTAATCCCACGTATCAAGCATCAAGTATTCGAGTTACACTACGTCTCTTCCGGATATCTGACTAACAAACTCAGATATCTGCTTCTATATGGTGATGATTAATCCATCAAACTTAATTTCATTTTGTTTTTATGAATTAGGGAGGGGATTAAGGAAATGGACATGAAAAGTCTGAGACCCTTTTTGATAAAGAGTGACAAACGACACACACACACACACAAAGGCGTCACTGAAATTTTAGTCTAAAAATGAGTTAAACAACATACAAATTAATAAAATTGTAGTGTCTATTTAACCTAACATTATAATGGAAGGCAATTCATCACTTCTTTTCAGTATGGACGTATAGTGCTTAGCGGAATTGACGAATTAATCAGCCGCTGCATATGCTATTTGCCTTGTTAGATTAATTTTAACCGCCCAATTTTTTGTTTTATGATTTGCTTTCAATGCATTATAATTTGAAAAGGATAGCCTAAATTTTTAGGACCATCTTAGAAATTATTAAGACACACAGTTAGTTATTATTAGGTATAAAGAGATACGCTTTTGGACCTCTTATATTACTTTTGGTCCCGTTATGCACTTTTTTTTTTTTATTTCCTACATTTTAAAATAAGTGTCATTCTATACTTTGCACATAAGTTAAGAAACTCTTAAATAGGATAATAAAATTATTTGAATATCCTCAATTAATCCCATTATAAAAATGTCCACAATAGTATTAATTCTTTTGAGGGTAATTTTGTAAATTTTAAATAAAAAGTGCATTGAAATGTGAGAACGACATTTATTTTAAATTTCTTCATTTTGCTAAAGCGACACTTATTTTGGAACGGAGGCAGTACATCACAAATGTGTCAAAGCTAAATTTTAGTGGCCTTAATTTTTCTAGCATTCCTAATTTACAATAACTGTCGAACGTAAAAGTAACCTCCGATATAGAGAAGGTTTAACTAGCTTGGGCAAGCCTATAGGTGTGATTGTAAATGTCAATTAACTTTTATTAATGCATGGCACATGACATCATCTACTGCAAATACCGAATTAATGCTAGAAAAACCAAGGCCGCAAATATTTTTAGCTTTGAGAGAAATTTGAATACGAAAAACTATAGTGATGGACCAGAAGTAATATTACAGGTCACTGTGGATTTGTGGCGAGTAATGCACTTTCATCTCAATTTGCGGCCACTAAAATAACCTCTCAAAAACTTCTCTGCATTATGATAATGGAATTTTGAAGCCAAATTTAAATACGCGACTATTATCATGAGGCATAGTCGGGAATGAGAATATTCGTTTAATATAAAAATCCACATTATATATCAGTCTAGGATATTGGGTTTTCTTCCTTTTCTTAATTTTTAATTTTTTTTCTCACTTTTTAGACAAAGAAATTATCAATTTCGTTTAGTGGAGAATGCTGCAAGATCCCTGAATGGTGGGAACTGTGTTACCTCATTAGATGATGACATCGTCCAAATGAGAATGTAATCGTAGAATCGGAAATAAAAGTTTTTTACCCTTTAATATTTTAAATGAAAGAAAAAGAATGCTGTGTTTCCCCGAAATTAACTGTACCAAAAAGGCAGTTTTACATAATTTATCTACCAATGTACGGCTCTACGCCACATTCCAGCAGGAAAAATTGCACCAGTTGCGGCTTATTGTGCTCCAACTTTAAAAGTACGGATATTGTACCACAAAGACCAACCAATAAGCCAAGAACAGCTTTGTAATTTTTATTGCCAAACTATTTTTTTAATGCCCTTTATTCCTTTAATTCAAAGGGGAAAAAATATACATTAATGTGTCTTATTGTCTAGTTTAAATTTTCACTATATTATTTTAGGACTGGAGAAACATATACTTTTTTTTTTTACATTTAATATGACAGTCATTTTAGAACAAAAACTTGTAATCAGTTTGGGACGCTATCGCCAAGTTATTGCGAAAGTGGACAACCAAAATTTAGTAACGATAGTTTTGAGCATTGATGAACCGACAGGCTAGCATTGTGGCTTTGTTTTGAGAATCCGAGAGTTAATACGTAGAGATTGGAGAGTTGAGCTCGGTTTTGTGAAACTAATTCTTCGACGGATTTTATGACATCCATAACTAGTATTTGTCATGGAAGTTTGTAGTGGTTTGACAATTTACTACCTAGAGTTTTACAATAGTTGGAACATCACTTGTTGGTGTTTTCTATCCACGAAATGTATTTAAAAAATTAAGAGAGGATATTTTTGCTAATCTCGCTGCAACTTGACGTGTTCCAATCATTTCCTTCTTTTCTAATCTAATGATGATTTATGAATTTTTCCCAGTTTTCTAACTTTCAACATCCAAAAAAATTAGGATTTTAGGTCAGATGTTGACGGAAACCTATTCGCATGACGTGAGTGAAAATCACGAAACTATTCATAATTTTGAGCGCGGGAAGGATTTCCATTTTAGAGTTATTTGTGAATAACCCCTCTCAAGTTCGTCTGTCTTGCAAAAGCACCCTTCAAACATCAATTGTACTACCATTTTAACCACTTTTGTATCTCTATTTTCTATAATGTGCACCCTTCTCGAAAACCAACTTTTGGCTTTTGCTTAAACGTAAACTTCTCCATTCAACCTTGCACAAATTTGAAAAGTTGATGGTATTTTTTAAAGACTGGTTATGGAATATATGTGCTCGAAATGAAGTTAAGTATACAAAGGCAATTACAAAAAAAATTAGGGGTTAAACAATGAATTTAAACTGCAACAATTTGTACTCCAAAAAAAAAAAAAAAAAAACTTACAAGAATGATCTATTTAATGTTCACGATTTGATATTTGAGGACACTGGGAAATAGGTAAATGTCGCCAAAATTGAACAATGAACATCTAGTGCTACATTTGGTCTCTCCAGTGGATATCTTTTCCAAAATAGGCAAAACTTGATGGCAATAATTTGCAATTGACTCGAATTGCTATTATTAATTTAATCCAACGATTGGGAAATAGGTTTACGCCTTCATAGTGCGTTTCATCTTTTTTGTCCCCAATTTAAAATTTCACTCTCTTATACAGTCATTGGCAATTTTGTCCCTATTCATATCATCTCGTTCCATCGTCCTTTTCATTCCACTTTCTTTGGTTAAACTTTTCAGGTAAAATGTGATTTGATGATTGTGAGCAAGAGTCAGCCACGGCTAACTTGTCAAAGTAAGTATGCTTGCTTTTTAGATTTGCCATCTAGAATTTTCTCCCTTTTTTTTGAGATTAATTCCGACGTGATGTTAATCATCAGATTCATGAAGCAGCCTGTGAATGTATTGCCAAAGATATTTCTCTTCATTTGGTTGACCATTGGAGAAGATATATTTGAACCTTCTTGGGGTTAGTGTTTGAATTTTTACAAGTGTGCAAGATGAGCCATCAATTAAAAGCGGTCGACTGAATTTTAGAGATGTTGTGTCAATGAAACGCATCTTTATGTATTTATTTATATTCTAATGTATAACCTCTGTCATAACAAAAAATTAATAACAATACACATTGAGTTTTGACATTTATACTAAAAAGAAATACATACTCCCTCCGTCCCAAAATTATTGTCCAGTTTATGTTTTCATTTTTAGTTCAAATTGTACTAAAAGTGAAATCTCAAACTGGACAATAATTTTGGAATGCAAGGAGTATATGAAAACTCTGACAAGAGTTTTTTTTTTTTAATTTAACGGAGAGAATATTATTTTAAAAACAAAGAGGGAAAAGAATGGCAAGGATGAGTGAGTATAATAACACTCTTGAGTTCGATGGTTTTTGACTGGTTGCATTGACTGCTCCTAAACCAGTGATATGTAAACGACAAGTATCGGAGGTGATCAATTCTCCAAGTGATAAATATCAAGTCATCCGTATAATAAATTCGAGTCTGAACATTTATTATTCCGACTCGAATTGGAATTAATTATAACAGCGACTTTAGATCACCAGTATGTAATGCAATACAAGGGAGAAAAAAAATATTACGGTTTCATGATGGATGCTAGAAAGACCCTGTGGCTCTACATGTACTGCATTGTGATACTAGCATCATGTACACGTACTTCTCTGAAAAAATTTGCATAAAAAATGTTTAACTCCTGCTTCTAAGAAAGCAAAAGAAAAGTAGAATGTAGTAATAAGTTCAGATATGTGTAGAAGTGAAGTCGTATTTTAAGAAGAGAGCGTAGAGAAGTTCATTCAAGGTGTCAGGGACACCGGGAAGGCACCAATGGCTGCAATCTTGCCGGTGGATCGGGGACCAAGGATTGGACTGATAAATAGAGGAATGACCATCTTTCCTTCGGAACGTCATCTCAGTCGCATTCAGCAGTTTCACGTTGTTTTGTAACCGCGCCTTCTCCACTATTTCCATCAACACATCAGTCGTCATTCTTGCTTCCATGTTCGGTTCATATGCCACTTCTTCTCCCCGTTCTGGTTCTGTGTTAAGATGACACCGACCACCATGCTTCCAGTCCCCACCACTGGTTTTCCGGTTGTCAAACCAAATGTTACATCAGAATACTACGAATTATTCGATTCCTAGATAAAGCATAGGATCAATCATGAAGAAGCAGAGTAAGCTGGACTAATAATCTGCCCAATTGAGTAATGTGAAAAAATAGCCTACTTGGTGATCAATCTGTTTCTGAATTGACATTGGCTCAGTGGCGGAGTCAGGAAATATAGATAAGGGGCGCGGATTTAGAAAAAACAATGAACTATGAAATTAATGTAGGGGGTACGAAAATTATAAAATATGTAATTTTCTTTTAAAAATTTAGGACATCTCTACTAATTACAAAAAATCAAGCAGGTGCGACCGCACTCCTTCGTCCCCCCTAGCTCCGCCACTGGGCTCGAGTTTCACGTGATCTTTTTTCAAGCTCGGTTTAACGAGTTCGGGATTGTGCTAAGTTAGTACTCCCTCCATCCCAAAAAAATAGTGTTCGCTGCTTGTTTAGCAGACTATTTTCTTTCAGACAGAGGGATCTTCAAATGGTTAAACCCTCGCTAGTTCAATGAAATATTGGATGGTATTTAAACTAACCTGTAATGCACAGGAGCGTAGCTTCGAAAGAACACAAGGGTCTTTCTCAAATTAACCTCGCGATTCATCCAACCAATCAACGTCTCAAGCGACTTCCAATATGCAGTCTCCACAGTCATGTTCATCTTACCTCTCCTCCTTCTTCAAAGTAACAGCCCCTGTCATAAAAGTGGAAAATGATCAGCATTAGTCTAGGCCAATAAAACTTGCCATTTCATAAACCAAATTGACACTGAAAAGAAAAAAGGCAAACTCAAAAAGTGTCTTAATTGGTTCACTACCAGAAGACTTGTGTACCAATTATTGATCAAATAATTAGAAGTTATCGTATGACGAATTACCCTTTAATGGTCTTTCCAGTATTCCACCAATGGCCACTGTTGAAAACTAGCACATCGGCGTCTTTCCAATGGGAAGATGTCCAAGAAATTTGATCTAATTTCAGTGTTAATCTGACATTTGATGGAGCTCCAGGGCTCCGTGAGAATAATGTACCCAAATTTTAGTTGGTAGAAAAAATTGTTTTTAGGGTTGGAGGGGTAGAAATTTATATGTTTCTCACATTCGTGGTATGCGAACAAACTGGTATTCGCATTTCCTATATGCGAACATCTTTACGTAAGTAATTAGTTCAACTTAAACAAATAATATCAACAAAAGAGATAACTCAAAGCAAAAGTGTGGGCCATCACACAAATTTCGCATTCGACAAATGCGAACATATTAATATAGGATGAATTAAACCAGACACAGAAAGAAAAGAGAAAAGTATGGGCCATCACAAAACCTTCGCATTTGGCGAATGCGAATGTATTAATATATGAATTATTAAAGCAGACACGGAAGGAAGGAAGAAGGTTGAGTCATCATAATGTTTTCGCATTCAACGAATGCGAACAACAAATTATAGGTAATAAAAAAAACAAAATCTTTTTATCCTATTAAAATCTGATTGGTTTATATCTTATCGACACGTGGCAATTGCTGACAATTTAGATAAAATGTTCGCATTTAGCGAATGCGAATGTGATGCCTAGACTCATAATTTAAAACTCATTACCCCCTTCCCCCCTCCCCCCCCCCTCCCAAATTCGGCAGAACTAAAAACCATCAATTCTTCTTGCATTCAGTTGAAATTTTCATTCGGGTGGAAGAGGCGGAGCAGGAAAGAGGCATTTTTCAGATTAAAGGTTGGATGGTTGGACTGAACGGGAGCAGGACAGAGGCAACCCATTTTGGTAAGTTTTTTTTTCTCTATGAAATTTGTAAAATTTATACATTCTACTGTGATTTGGGGCTATTAATGTTTTTGTGGTGTACGAAATTATTAAATTTAATAATTTCGGTAGTTATTGAGATTTAGTTTTAGAAAATTTGCTTCAATAAATATATATTTGATGTAGAATGAAGAATAAAAATTATTTTTATGATGTGAATTGTTGAATTTTGTTGAATATTATGAGTTATTTTATTAATTTAGAGAATAACACGGTTGATCTCGAATTTTGGTCTTTATACCTCAATTTTGTGAATTTTATATTCTGACCTAATTATTTGTAATGTTATTGATTTGACCCTGTTTTATTTTTTTTATTCTGTTAATTTTATATTTTATCACTAGCGTTGAGTGCTAAATTCATGTATTGTTGAATAAATTTAGTTTTAATTGATCAAATACATTGTGTAAATCTAAATTTATTAGTTTGATCAAAATTTGTTATTCTTTTAATTGAAAACTTTGTTATATAGATGTCGAATTATATTTTTTGAATTATTAAATTATGTTAGAGATTTTTCACTAAAGATAGGACTTATTGTTAGTTTTTGGAGTAAATTACTGCTAGTGAGGTAGAATATTGTTATAACAAGCATGAATTGATGTATTTGTATGTTTAATTGAATAAAAATTAAATGTGCAGGCCCTTAATATGTCTTTTTCGGGTCCCTTCGATCTGAATATATTTTGGTCTAGTGATCGATCTTGTTGGGGATATGGGGAGAAGTTATTTACGCCCGATGCAACAGTTCGTATCGATCGAGTGTGGAGTTTCTCTGAACTTGATAATTATGTACACAGGCTGTTGGAATCTGAGAACCAACAAATACTTCCTCTGCAATATGTTTTAGTCTGCACAAATGAGTACGGCAGAAGGGGGCAAGCGCCCATAAGAGACGACGAGTCAATGTCATGGATTTACCGAGGTGCCCATTTGCGTCCAGCATTGTACGTAGAGGTTGCAGATGAACCTGTTCAAGATGTTGGGGAAGGAACTAGTGGTGGTCAGTATGATGGTGCAGGGAGTAGTGGTGTTGGTGGTACCAATGAAGATGACGATGACACAGAAGATGACGTACATGGGAATAGTGACGAGGAGTATGTGCCGTCCGATGAGTCTGATGATGATTACAGTGACCATGACTCATCTTCAGTAGTAATTTCTATTTTTGACAACATCAGTGACATGAACAAGTCTGAACTGGATGAGGATTCTGATGGGATCACAATGTGGGACGGTAATTGGCAGACGGTTAGACATGGTGTACATTTTGCTAACAAGAAAGAGGTACAAACAGCCGTGGGGGAATGGACATTGCGACAGGGTCGGGCATGTCGGGTAAAATATAGCCGTCCCAATACGTGGGCCGCTGAATGCGAGACTAAAGGGCCGAAGTACCCAGAAGAACATCTCCACGGCACTACTTGCTTCTGGAAATGTCGAGCTACCCTGCAAAAAGACACAAATACTTAGAGAATGGTGGTATGGATCGAGAGCCACAACTGTCTTGGTGCAACCACAAGAAACGAAGGTCGTAACTTGACGTCCACAATGATTGTTCGATTGATCACAGCCAATGTCCAAAAAGATCCAGGTTATTCAGTCGCGCAGATCCAAGTAGAAGTAAATAAGAGATACAGGGTCACCCCCAATTACAAAAAGGCATGGCAGATCTTCAGGGGTGTCCCTTGGGCAGGAGGTATGCAAATTAGTTATGGGCTTGGGAGCGGATTTTGACTTTTCGTCCGGAGTTACGTGGGCCCGTACCAGATCTTCAGGGGTGTCCCTTGGGCAGGAGGTAATTAATTTTCAACTATTCAATAATTATCTTAATTAGTTATATTTTTTGATAATTTTTTTCCGTTTTTTCAATCAAAACTATATTTTTTGTAGGTGGAACCGTCCTAGAAAAGTGGGAGACATCACACAATTTAATCTAACCGCCTATCGAGACCAGCTTGCGGTTTTGCAAGAACATAATGTAAGTATTTTTTATTTGAACCATCATAACGTATAAATCAATTTTTTTTTTTCGTATATATTCACATAAATTTTTTGTATTATCTGTCCCTCTACAGTTTGTTTGGATGCCGTATTCTCCTGCTATTCTAGCAGACATTGATCCATCTTGCTCTGCCGGCTCCGCCATATGGATGTCCCAGACTTGGCTGCTTTATTTTGGTATCCGAGAGCCACACATCCCAGGCAGGGTGTTGCGCCAGTTCGGCTTCTTGCAGCGAGTGCCTGACAACACTTTCATCATGGAGAAAAAAGAAATAGAAAAATTGCATAAGGAGACGCGTGGTAAGAAATGTCGAGATGACGTCTTACAGAGGTGGGAGACTCGACACAACACCCTTACAGGTCTTCAGACGGATATGACTCTTGAACCCCAGGCAGCACCGGAATATCTAGTGTGGTATCAAAATCGCACTGTCACTTTGGTCCCCAATCCATCAGACTATCGTCAGCCCCAGGGTTTTCAGGGATCTGTTGATTCACTACATATAATGGTAAGTTACAGTTCTACTATTTCTTTAATCACACCCATATTAATATGATTTTTATACATATAACTTTCTAAAATGTTATTTCCTATTTTTAATTTACCATATATATGTTCATTTATAAAATATATTTATTATATATTTTTAATTTACCATATATTTATTTCCTTTCATAATTTTCAGGCCAATTTAGTACCAAACATGCGGCATATTACTCTAGATGGGCTACAACGTAATCCAGCTGATTCTTGGAATCACAATGCCTTCCTACAGCTGCACGATTTGACACAGCAGGCAATGACTGTCAGCAAGACATCTGTTTGGGCTGATAGTGAGAACCCAAGCCAAGAGTTTGTTCCAGCTGACCTAACCCAGGAGTATATCCCACCTAGGCCTCCCAGGACTGACCGAGACGGCTTCCAGTTAGGGAGTGGGAGAATGAGAAAACTTGTGGCCACCCAGGATACCGGCGGGCAGTCTTCTACCCCGCATGTGTCTCCTTACCGTCCAGCATCGCCACACCACCATCCCTCTCCTCCTTTTGAGCAAATGCATTTTGATTCAGATTTTATTAATCTAGATCCTAATGCTGGGGGTTTCTTTGAGACTAGTTATGAGGGTGGTCATCATAGTCAGTATCTAGGTGGTGACGATATCCATAATGATCAGGAAGATGATCAAGATCATGAGGATATTCGGGATCAGGAGCATGATGATGATGCTGATGATGCTGAGCATTCCTCTCATGATCATGATAAGGGCGCTGATCAGGGACAGGGCCCCAGTGATGGTACCATGCCTTTTACACCGATTGCTTTGGGTAAGGGACAGCGGAACATAAAGAAGAAGAAAAAGTGCTGCATGACAGATTCTCGGGAGAAAAAGCGCAAGATGTAAAAAAATTAGATTGAATTGTACTTTTATTTTATGCTATTTTATGACTTTTGTTATTAGTTTTAAGCAATACCTTTCATTTCTTTTCATTAACAATTTATTTCGGTTTTATTTAATCTTTAAGATAAAAAAAAATTAAAAGGCAAACATTAAAGAACAAAATTTCTCAAAAAGACAATATTATGTACAATTTTTTTAACTCTTACTTTTATACAATACTATCTTTTTCGTCGTGCCAAATTCAAGTTTCCAGGTCGCCAAAAGATCATTGTTAGAAGGAAGTGTGGTTTTATCAAGTTTAGCAGGACTATTATGTTAGATGAAAGCAAGAAAATATGATTGTTCCTGATGGTGTCAATGCCACCGTCAACCTGGAATAGCCTTCTTGGAAGCAGCTCTTCAGAGCGTTTTATTGAAGCACTTTCTTGTTCAATTTTCATTGTGGTACTGTGCAAATGTGATCTGAGGCCATTGACCACATTATATTTTTGCCATTTTCCTTTATATTATGTCAGATTCTAAAAGTTTTAGTTTTTTTCCTTACTTTAAATGAATTGATTCTAAGTTTTATTATGTAAAAAATATTATTATCCTAAAATTAAGAAACTTGATTTTTTGACATTATATTTTTAATGATGGTAAGTTTTTAAATTGAAACCAAATAAAAGTCAATTTTTTTAAAAGCAAACTTGGTTACAAAATGCAAGATTATATTCTAATTTTTCATCGAAATTTTAATTTACTTCTTATTCAAATTTTATTATAAATACATTATACGATTTCTGTTCACCAAATATAATTTTTAGGATTGCAATTCTATTTAAAACTAACATAAATTTACTTAAATCAAATGAATACTTTAAATTTAGAAAATTTAATTTTCAATTAAAATAGCATTTTTTTTGTTGAAATATTACAACATTTTATCAACCAAAATATTTAATTTACAACATTTCATTTTATACCAATTTAAAGTTAGGAAATAATTTTTAAATACAAATTTAAAACATTCGCATATGGCATATGCGAAAAGTTAACTTTCGCATACCCCAAATGCGAACAATTAAAATAATTATAATTATCCGGTTTTAATCCAACGTCTTTAATGCATTGTAATTAATTCAATACATTTTCGCATTTGCCGAATGCGGAAGTTGGTTTTTTCGCATTTGCCAATTGCGAAAAACATATTTCTTTCTACCTCCGAAAACCTAGCCGTAGTCCTGCTTACACCACCACTTGGGAGCATATTTGTGTCATTTTTTGGGAGCTCCAGCAGGTGGGTGGCCCTGAAACACTATAAATGGAGCGCTGTAATACTCAATAGTGCAGTTGAAATCTTTGAACTTGAAGCTCAAATAGCCTTCGTGCTTTGTGATTGGATTCCCATTGAGTTGGAATATTGAACTCTTATCTGGAACTGCAGAAGGCAACATACACAAAAGAGATTCCCACTGGTTTCTTCCGATTGAGTCCCCGATAAATGCGAGCCGTTGGTTCCTCAGCTTCTCCAACATAATTTTTGCATCAAACCTGTGTTTGAGTTGTGGAAGCATTGCTCTATAAGAAAAGGTCCAATCAAAGTTGATTGGCCCAAGGGAATGACATAATTGGCAACATCAAGATGAACTATGTTGATAGCAAATTCACTAAGCCAGAACAAAATTAGTAATCATTGATTCATGATTTCCGTCAATTCTTTATATTATGCAAAACCAAACCCCCTACCAAACTTCATTTCATCATTTTAGATCACTCCATTTAATTAAAAGATTATAGATTAGCTCCCAATAAGAAGCCAACTACAACAGCAGAATGAACCTGTGTATAATATGTTTGAGCATCAGAACTTCGAAGTGATTAACAACAATTCCAGCTATTTTCAACTCTAATAATTGAATGCATATACTAATTCGAGGTAATACAATAGTTGAAAAAACAAACATGTAAAATTAAAAACAAAGGGTCAGAATGTAACCTGGGCAAGTCGCAATCTCTAGGTTGCCATCGCCATTTAGTACAGTTATGATCAGGCCGACCATTGTCAATGCAACTGAATCCTCCTTCTGCAAACGGACAATCCTTTGTCTGGTAAATCGGATAGCTTTCATCCCACATCCAATTCCCCTGAAATATGTTACATTTACTACCCCTTTCTTCTAAAAAAGCGACTTTTTCGTTATTTACTAGGTTTCCTTTTGCATTCCCTGTCTCTGCCTCTGCTTCTGCCTCTGCCCTGGCAGCAGAACCATTAAAACCAAGTCAGTTTACCACTAACTTTTGACCATGAATCCCAATTCCTTTAGTTATTGTTTCGTGATCCAGGAACAGAACAAAAAAGATTAAGCATAAGCTGAGAAAGAAGAAGCCAAAAACTTCAGGTGATGAGATGTCAAAGTTGAACTCTTTCAAACGCCTGATCAAGTTCAACTGGGATGCTGTATCTGTTTGATCCAAGTTTTTGCGAGGATGAGGAGTGTTTGCATCTTCCTCGCTCAATTTTTTTTTTTTTAATAAAACTTAATTCTCGTAAGAAAAAAGAAAATACCCTGATGAATGGTCTTGCTTCGGAGCTTGTTCATGATCTTCTTGGAAAATTTAGAACTTGAAGATGAATTTCAGAAAATCAAGTTGACTTCTTCTCATAAACGAAGAAAAATAATGGTTCGTAAGTAAATTGTATCTTGTAAGCTAGGAGGAATGAATGTGGGGCATTGAGGAGATTCTGGAATGTTGTTGGTTGATTTAGTCATAAATGTCAAGTTGCATGTTCGACTGAAGTCATCGAATAATTGCACAAACAAGGGGAAAAAAAAAAATTTGTATTCAAAGAGCGGAAGTCCATGAGCAACCGCAGCCGACGACGACGATGATGGTGATGAGGTATGCAAAACCAGAACAAGTTGTCCTTTAGCAATATGAAATTCTCTTGCAATCATTTTTATATTTTTGGCATTTTTTTTTTTGGTTTTCAGAACGGACAAAAAAACACTTGATGAATAATCAATTCATCTAAAATATTATCCAATTTAGAATTTCAATTTTAGTACTATTTATACGTATCAAAAATAAATTGAACCTATACAATCATTTCAAAATAGAGGGAATTAAATATAACTTATATTTTGTTATAGAAAAATCTGATTTGATTGAATGTCCACATTAATATGTATTATTCTATTCACAAGAGATATGATTCTGTAATATTTAGCATTAATGATAGGTGATTCATTTCACATAATTTGATCCCTTACTTCTTGCATAAATGAGAAGTTCATTCATGCTTCAAAACACATCCGAATACAAGTCTTTTATCTTTCTTTACTCTCTTATGTCTCTCTTGTTCTTATGCTTAGTTTTTCTCATGTCTCTCTTGTTCTTATGCTTAGTTTCATATTAGTAGTCTAGCATTAATTTTATAACACGTTATTAGCACGAAACTCTAGCCAAAGAGCTCCTTCCATCTTATGCAATAGAATTTAATCACTAAGACTCACCTAAATCGCTAGTAATTTTCTACATAAACTTATTTTCACTATCAAAGAATGAGGTTGGATTACAGACCAAACAGAAATCAATGGGTTATCTTTGATGTTATTGTCATCATAGTTGTTTTTTAAACAAAAAAACGAAAAATGTGTTAGTTTATAATAAATACAAATACACGGGTAAAAGCTGTGAGAAAAAGCACTGTTTACATCATATTTCAACCACAATTTGACACCGTTATGGCTAAAGATACTAGACAATGTGTCAAAAACTTTACTCTCAGAGACACAAACTCTTTGATTGCCCTTACTACACCATTGTTAACAGCCACATATTCCGAATTTGGCTAATGCTTTCATATTATTCGCTGCAAAACTATTCGCAGGCAAATAATAAGCCAATATTCTCAACTTAGTTCCCCCTTCTCTCTCTATATCTATATATGTATAAAGATGAGGTTTAATTACTATAACTCCTTTAAAATTAACTCATTTGTCTTGACTCCCATGTTATAAAGGAATTGATTGCAGAGTTATTCTAGTAGTATTAATTTCCCTAGTAAATGGCTAAAGGAATTTTACACCAAATGAGAAAGTAACTTTTGCATTAAGACTTGTAACAACAAAGCAGTTTGGCTTAACTTTAATGCTGCCTTCCCTTATAAAAAGAAGTTGGGACATCCATCGAGTCATACACAAAATTCTTTCATCCCCGGCCAGAATCCAATTGGGTAACTTTCCTCCGTTTTTAACACCAGTACACCACCCTTATTTACAAAGCAAGTATTCATTGAGTTCTTTCAATTCAAGTTAAATACTTATTCACGTGTTGGATCTATATATTTTTCATCCACATCCCCTATCTAATTTTTAGAGGAAGACTCCTTTATGTATTTCAAAAGGAGACATTTAAATACACCGAAAGTTATTCACTTTTTTTTCCCCGAAACAGCTCAGTTTGCATGGTTTCAAGTGTTTCTTGTATTTTATTTAGCATTTATATTTAGATTAAATTGCCCGACAAAAGAATTTACTTGATCGATTGGGTTTTGGACAAGGGGCCAATTATATATATACTACTAGTACTATTTATTTCATTTCCAACTGGTTTTAGGAGGCTAATTGCTTAGTTGATTCCGTTAGGGATTTTGATAATTGTAAGGCCGGATTAATCCCCCCTTATAAGAAGAGGCATAACTGATTCTTTTCCAATATAAACACAAATTCAATAGCGCTTGTGTACCCGGTGGTTGTGATGGGACTACTGTTGGAATTGCAAACTGCCCGAGATAGTGCAATCACTAAAGCAGAAGGCCTGGTTGACGAGTTTTGCTCTATCAATGAAGAACTAAATCAGCTGGAAGCCAAAAAAGAGAAGCTCCAACAAAAGCTACATAAAGTCGAAGCCGAGCTCACGGAGCTAGGGCAACGTATTTCTCAATTGGCCATTTCTGCAAAAGGATCTTTTGCTTGTGCGAGAAAGCACATAAAGTATGAACGTATTGCTCATCTGGTAAATGCATTGTTTGGAGAAGCAGAAGACAACGAGTACGGAGGAGGAGAAGCCGTAGTCATAGAATCTTATTCGACTTCCCCTTCCTCGTGTGAATTAGTCTACCCTTTTAATTTCGGGAAAATTCTTATTTAGGGCTTTGTGAGATTCGTTATTTGTAATGAATAAGCGTTTCTCTCATACTACAACATTGGAGTTTCTGATTATTTTCCCCAAGAATTCACTCTTTATTGACAGCTTGCAATTTATGGCAAATCTCTTCCGGATTTGGGGTTTTCACATAAACATCCTAACGTATTTATGGCGCCTAGCAGGAACTTAATTTTCTTCTTAAAAACAAAGCTAGAATTTCCCACTTAATTAAGTTTGGCTTTTGAATCCATTCATGCTCGCAAGTATGTATATATAGTAGATAGCATTTGATCGACAAATATTTCTCAGATTAAACTTGTAAAAATAATTATTACCAAAACTGGTTTTCCTTTAAAATTTTTTCGCGTACAAAAAATTATAAAGTACTTAAGCCAAGCCAATAAGGTCCATATATGTCTTTATTACTTTTTTTCTCTTATTCCTAGCAATTTCTATTCATGCTAGTTTTTTTTTTTTTTTCCTTTTGTTGAAAAATATGAGGAGCTAAAAAAAAGGCATGATTTTTGGTTTTATAAATAGTTATTAGAGTAGAATCCGGATTAGTCGAAGCAATGAAAATTAAAGAAAATTACTTATAATTATGGTACCAAAAAAAAAAACTCACAATGGTATATAAAAAAATAAAAAAAAAAACTCACAATAGAATCCGTAAAGGAGTGATTTGTTACAGCAATATATTCCTTCTTTTATTATACAAATAGGTACAGTATACAATTCTAAAAATATGGCGCATTCTTTTGGTAAGATTTACAGTTATGTTTGTTTTTTAAAGGAAAAAGAAAAGAAAACTCGAGTAAAAACCCTGATTAGACAGGAATTTGACCCCATAAAAATTAAAGACAGATATCACACAGTTCCAAAGTACTCAAACAAAACCAAACCCATTCCCTTGCATAATTCACAACTATCCTTTTCAAAAAAAATATCCAGAACTATGAATAAACTCCCGGTTGTAACGACGTCGATGAATCAAACGTGCGCCCTTTGTTCCATAAAATTAATGAGGTCCAGTTTGACACGACTAACATCTACAATGGGGAACCAACTGATCAAGTCTCACCCTTTGGAAGCACTCAACAAATATGGAACGGATATCACCAAGATGGCCGAGGAGGCAAAAATCATACATACTAGTATAAGAATTTAATGTGCATATATGTATTTTATTTTTTCGGATGTCCAATTGTATGAAATAATTATGTTATTTTTGCAGGGCAATTGGATCCTCTGATTGGACGAGAGCAAGAAATAAAGGAAGTGGCAGAAATTTTATGCAAGAGGAAGAAGAAGAACCCATGCCTAATCGGTAATCCTGGCGTCGGAAAAACTGCCATTGCAGAAGGATTAGCCCAGAAAATTATCAACTCTCACGTCCCAGAATGCCTCGGAAGTAAAAGGGTAACGTTTCCACGTAGTAGCTAGAATACTTATAGTACTTACATACTCTTTTCGTCCCAAAATAATGATAGAATTGACAGAACGAGTGAATAGTATTCATGTTTGGAGTTAAGCTAGAGTGTAGTGTCACTAGTATTTGTCTCATATCGGCAAGTTAATCAACTGAATTTGGGTTTGAGCTGGATGGGTTTTACTATACAGTATTTAGTATTATTAAAGCATGCTTAAGTTTCAGAAATCTCTTAAAAGATTTTCTCCATTTTTGGGCCGTCTGACTGCTGCAGCAACCTATCCTGGAATGTTGGAGGAACGAATCAATTGTATTGTCGATGAAGTCAAACGGAGCAATGGTGAAATTATTCTTTTCATTGATGAGAGGCACAAGCTAATTGGTCAAGCAGCCAACGTTTTGAAACCTCACCTTTCTCAGGGGGGACCTCAAGGTAATCTATGCATAGATACATACTCCCTCCATTCCAAAATAAGTGTCGTCCTACACTTTGCACATAGTTTAAGAAACCCTTAAATAGCGTAATAAAATTACTTGAATATCCTCAACCAACCTCATTATAAAATTGTCCACCAATAACATCAACTCTTTTGAGGGTAATTTTGGAAACTTTTGACAAAAAGTGCATTGAAATATGAGAACGACACTTATTTTGGAATTTCTTCGTTTTGCTAAAACAACATTTATTTTGGAATGGAGGAAATACATTTTTTTATGGTGCAATAAAGAGGCTATTTGTCTTACAACTTCTGAAAGCATATTAAGTGAATATAAGTAACTCCTATTACATCATGTTCAAGTCAATGTCAGGTTTGACTCCTAGTGTGGACTAAAAAGCCATTGTAGTCCTCCTGAGATGGGACGGTTATATCCTATGTGACAGCTTTTTTTTGCCCCTTTTAATTAGTGCATAGGGGCTTCAACACTGAAAGATTATAGAGAGCTCATTATGAAAGATATCGCCTTGAAACAACGATTTGAAGTGGTACAAGTGAATGAGCCATCCATCGATGAAACATTTGAGATACTATCAGGTCTAAAAACGGAAATACGAGGTTTATCATTACGTTTCATACTCATATGATGCTTTGTTCACAGCAGCTAAACTTTCTACACAATGCATTAGGTCAGTTTGATTAGAATTTATGAATTTATCCACCTTCATCAACCCGACAAAGTAATTGAGCCAAGTAACTTATAAGTATCTTTTTTTCTTTTAATCCCATTTTTTTCCAGTGAGTATGAATTTATTTATCTCAAGACCAATTAATAATGAATGAGGTGGCTCAAAATATTTAATGAGGTGGCTCGATATGGGGTCCTTTTCCCAACATGATCCCCTCTGCTCTTGTATCTTAGCTTGTTCTAAAAAGAGATGGACACTTTAATTGAGATGGATTGTATCAATCAATCTATCTATTAAAATCTAAATAGGCAAATAATAATAATAATAATAATAATAATAATAATAATAATAATAATAATAATAATAATAATACCGTCCCATACATCTAGAATAGGATTTTGGTATAGGAAAAAAAAAATTGTTTTGGGGCGAAAAACAACCGACTCAAATAATTGGATTTTAGTTGATTATTGAATTTAGTACCGCCAAATAACTTTTTTGGCGTATTCCGAGTGGCTTTAGGGCAGGGGCAGAGCTACATACAAGGGAAGTGGGGCAATTGCCCCAGCTGGAATTTTTTTTTTTGCTATTAACCCCTTGAAATTTTAGAATTTTCTTTAAAAAAAATCAATTTTTATCCCAGCTGAATTAAAATATTAGGGACAAATATATTAGATTAGAAATTTGGAAAATTTTGCCCCATCATATGTAGGGGGTTTGGCTCCGCCCCTGCTTTAGGGTATTACCAAGTGGTAGTTAATTAGAATCCGTAAAGGATTCCTAATATCAGATTTTTATTTCTTTTAGGTTACAATAAAAGAGGCAATGCCTGATCTAGACATAATTGAGTTTCTAGCAGAGGCGCTCATAAGGTCAGATTCTTGGCTCCATATATAAGAAGAGCTCTATTGCTGGAATATGCTGTAAAGTATGAAAATTAGATAATGACTTAAAGAAGCATAGATTGGTGAAGTCCAGATAAATCTAGTGTTACATTAGGGGCATCCGATCAACCTACATATTTCACTTATCATATAGTTTGAGATAGAGGCGTAGGTGGAGAATCCAACCTATTTCGCTAAACAAATGTGAAACTACAAATGAGGAATATTCAGTGGACTGGTCCCTACATATGGAGTTGTAATGTACAATTACTACTATCAGTAGACTTTTTTTATTTTTAATAAAAAGAAAATACAGAGCGCTAGTTAAGGTCAAATGGTAGAATTAATTTCGGCACTGTACACCCCAAAAAAATAAAATTCTTATTCAAAATTTAGTAAATGATGATGATTTTGGAGTAGGAATTATGTATATATATAATGAACACTCATCCAAAGCATAGTAATAACTAACAAGGTACTTAAAAATTATCAAACACTAAGTAAAATTTGGTTTGAAAAGCAGAGGGTAAAAAAAAAAAAAAAAAAGACCCCGAAGGCTAGTGTTTAGACTGAGTGGAGGTCTCCTATAGCCCGTACAATAGTGGATGCCGGTTTTAATGAATTAAAACCTCCTCCTGTTTGAGAGAGTTGAGAACACAAATCACTGTTGCGCTGTGTGGAGGCTTTAATTTTCCGATGGACTCGCAGCAAACTAAAGAGGCGATGCTTAAAAGTAGAATGGAGAGGCTGCGAAAGTATCAAAAACTTCGAGCCGAAGCCGGACCCGGATCAGAATCCGGAGCCCGAGTCTCAATGGAGCAAACTACAACGGAGAGGCTGCAAAAGTATCAACAAAATCCCGGATTCGGAGTCGGATCCGGAACGAACTGGCCGCAAAAGTATCCATATCTCGGATTCGGAGCCCAAGCCGGAGCCCTCGACAAATATGCCACGGATTTAACCAAGATGGCAAGAGAGGTAAAAAAAAAAAAAAAAAGGCCATTCATTTCAATATTGTACGTGTGTGCTGTTTGTTCGTGGCCTTTTGGATGGCCCCTTGAATATTGTTATGTAATACCCTTCTTGCTATTTTTTTTTTTCAGGGGAAATTGGATCCAGTAATTGGAATAGAGGAAGAAATAGAGCGAGTGACGAGAATTTTATGCATGAGAAAGAACAGCGTCTGCCTTACCGGTGAACCTGGCGTCGGCAAAACCGTCATTGCTGAAGGTTTAGCCCTCAAAATCATCAACTCTGCTGTTCCGCAACAACTCCAAAATAAAAGGGTATATTGTTTTATTATTTTTTTATGTGTTTTTGCGCACCTTAAAGAAATGAACTCCAGCATTAATATTATCAGTTGAAAATATATTATTACTGCATGCAATGTGTGTGTGTGTGTGTGTTAGATTTTATCCATCGACGTGGGCAGCCTAGTTGCCGGAACAACTTTTCGCGGCCAATTCGAGGAACGACTCACTAGTATTGTAAAAGAAGTCCAGCAGAGCAATGGTGAAATTATTCTCTTCATTGATGAGTTGCACACCGTTGTTGGTGCCGGTGCCGTATTACAAGGCCCTCTTGATGCAGCCAACATTCTGAAACCTTCTCTTGCTCGAGGGGAGCTCAAGGTTTTTACATTATCTATATTTGCGCTCACTTTTAAGAAGTTAATCACTAGTGAAAGTTTGACATGTTTTTAAAAAGATATTCTGATATCAGTGCATAGGGGCTACAACACTAAAAGAATACAGGGAGCACATTGAGAAAGATCCTGCCTTGAAAAGGCGTTTTCAAGTAGTACAAGTACCTGAACCTTCCGTTGATAAGACGGTTAAGATTCTGATGGGGCTTAAGAGGAAATTCGAGGATTATTATGGTGTTTCGTACTCGGATGATGCTTTGATCACAGCAGCTAAACTGTCTAAACAGTACATTAGGTCAGTTTTTTTTTCTTTTTTTCTTTAATTAATTTCCATAGGAGGATTAATTCAATGATGAACAGTCCATGATTGAGTATATATGTTTTGTGAATGCATGGGTGACTTTTTAGTGATGCTTTCTTGCCTGATAAGGCCATAAAAATTGTGGAGGAAGCCGGAGCTGGATCAATTTGCAACAATACTAATGATGGACAATATAAGAATGTTGTGATCGGTTGTGAAATGATAAAACAAGTGATTTCTTCTAGGACTGGGATTCCTGTTGAAAAAGTAACCGGAGATGAATCCGTTCGGCTTCTCGACATGGAGAATGTTTTCGGAAAGTATATGGCCGGACAGGATGAAGCGGTGCGAGCAGTTGCTCAAGCGGTTCGCAGAGCTAGGGTTGGCTTCGGTGATCCTGATCGCCCCATTGCCACTTTCCTGTTCACGGGCCCAACTGGGGTCGGGAAAACTCAATTGGCAAAGTTACTTGCGAGGGAATATTATGGATCCAAAGAATCAATGGTCAGGTTGGACATGCGCGAGTATATGGAAAAACATTCGGTTGCTAGACTCTTCGAATCTTCTCCAGGTTATCATGGCTATCATGAAGGCGGGCAATTAACAGAACCAATCCGGAGGAATCCTCACAGGTTGATTCTGTTGGATGAAATTGAGAAGGCTCATGTGGATGTTTTTAATGCGTTGCTTCAAGTTCTTGATGATGGGAGATTAACAGATGGGAAAGGGCAGGTTACTGATTTTAAGAGCACCATCATTATAATGACATCCAATATCGGATTCAAGTCCAATACTTCTGCTGAAGATCATGTAGCGAAAGAAGATGATGTAAGCGCAGAACTGAATAGAATTTTCAGGCCAGAGTTCCTCAACAGGCTTGATGAGATCATTGTATTCAAAAGGCTTGGAAAGGTTGAGCTGATGAAAATTGCGGACATAATGTTGAAGGAAGTTTGTGATAGAATTTTGCAGAAAAAGAATCTAAATGTTGAAATCAAAACGAAGTTTAAGGACAAGTTGATTTCTGAGAGTTGCAATGATGTCGACAATTATGGAGCGAGGCCACTAAAGAGGGCTATAACAAGAAATCTGGTAAATAAGTTGGCAGAGAGCATTTTGAATGGTAACATCAAGGAAGGCGATTCCGTGTCCGTCAATGTCAGTTCAAAGGGTGATGTGCTTCTTTCTCCAGGGAAAAAGACCATTAGGAAAAAATAATTAATCGGAATGAGTTGGTTTCAAGACTCTGATTCTTGAGTGTATTATACTCCCCAGTTCACATGTGTTTGGCCGATATTACAAATGGAGTGAGAACAGGATTTTTAAGTTGCTTATTTTATTTTATTTCTTTTTTGCTTGCAAAGAAAAATTTCAGTAACTTCGGCCTTTTAAGACCAAGACATAATGCTTTCTGCTTCCGCTTTAGTGTATGGTGAATGACCGCACAGTTTCCAACCTTTGGAAATTTGTTAGATTTGTATAGAGATGAACACTTTTTCCAATTTTCCCTCAACATTTGAAATGTCGTTTTTTCTCATGAGGATTAGCTCTTTATTTCTTTTTTTTTTTTTCCCCTCTGTTAGCAATTACGATTGCTTAAAAATACAAACTAAATTGATTCTTGTCTTTTGTTTTTTTTTTGGTCAAACTTTTTATTGATGCTAATACTCGGGAAACCATATTGTCAACGTTATGAATCCAATGAAAACTAGTACTAGTAATTTAAACGAGCCCTAGGTAAGGTGTTGCATGAAAACGAAACCCTAACCCGTGCTGCTACAGTTTTGGTGGCTGACAATATTCGTAAAAGCTTCCTTGATGCTAACACATGGCCTCAAAGAGTATCCCCGTTACTTCAAAACCATTCCTTGGAGACGCTCCAACTGGACCAAAAGTCTAGTTTGATGGAGGTATCTCTTGCCTTCATAGATGCGCCGGTGTGGGGATTTGGTATGAAGATGGGAATGGCATTTTTTGTAACAGGCAGATCTAGAAAGTTTCCTGGTATTCAAGAGTCGGACAATGCAAAGTCCCTCGCATTGAGGGAAGCTTTTTTTTTTTTTCTTGTGAGTCATGAAGCACAACTTGTCAAATTTTATCAATCATTGGAGATGTAAGTCACACTATTCTGGCAGCTCAGGAAGTTGTCATATATCCTAACAATTTGGACCCGGTCTTGAAATCTATTTGTTCATTGTTCCATTCAACCTGTCCTTTAGGGATTTCTTGAGTCTGACGTTATGATAATACAATAACACATGAATTTACAACTTTAGCTAAGAATAGTGAGCATTCTTTTTTTCTTTTTTTTTTTTGGTTACAATGAAAGAGGCAAAACGCCTAGAATCACATCAATACATTCAAGAATAGTGAGCATTCTTGAATGTACGAATTGGTCACATATACCTACGACCTTCAATCAATCACAACTAAAGGTCGATTCAAAGGGTAATGTTCTTCTTTCTCCAAGGAGAAAAACCATTAGGAGAAAATAATTGGGATGAATTAGTCGCAAGATTTTGATTGTTGAGTATGTTGTTATTACAAATAGAGTAAGGACGGGATTTTGGTTAATCATCTTTAAAAAAAAAAAGAAGAAGAAGAAGAAGAACTTCATCTACTTCGTGAACCAAGACATATTGACGCTAACACACGGGAACCTATGAAGTTCCCTAAAAAACAAGAAAATAGGATGGAATTCTCTTAGGCTCCGTTTGGTTAGATTGAATTGTAATTGAATTAGAATTATAATACTATTGAATTGAAAATGAAATATTAATATTGCAATTCAATCTTAATTCTTTTGTTTGGAAGATCATAAGAATTGACTAGAATTAAGGTTCTAATACTAATTCTTGTGTTTGGATCCTTATAAATTTATAAAATCTAGAATTAGAATTAGTTTTTTATTATCTAACTATAATTTAGTATTTTATTTCATTGAATAAAATAAATACTTAATTTTATATATCAAAACAATTTATTACTTACATATATAAGATAACAAAAATAAATTTATCATATACATTTATATTAGAACTTTTGTTGTTTGAGTAATATATATCAATTTTATAATTTATAGATACATACATATTTGTGAAAAATCTTTTTTTATTATTACGTAAGTATGAATGTGATGATCGGAATTCTCACAAGTAACATGTATAATTTTTATATATTTAAAAGTAAAGACCATTCATTTATGTATAAATTAACATTAATACAAGGTACTAATTAATTAATTTTTATTTTTAGTATATAATTACATATGGAATAATATATATTTCGACTTCTTGAAAGCTTACATAATTTTTAGTGAAAAAAATTTCAAGTATAGTTCAAAATACATTTGATAAAAAAATGTTAACCAATAGTTAATACCATCCATTTTTAAAATAAATTACAGGTGTCGTTATACATTTGATAGTTTTTGTTAAAAGAATACTAATTTTAATATATAGATCTCATTAATAATTATTAATATGATTTACACCTCGTTTGTACCATAAATAAAAACATATGTTAATTTAACAAAATACAAAAAAGGAAAAAAAGAAAAAAACCCCAACGGAGCAACGCTAAAAGAAAAAGGGGGAAAAAACGAAAATGAAAAAGGAAAAAAAAGCGCATGTGCAGCGCTACCCAAAAAAAAAAAAACCTCAAACTTAAAAGGACCCGTTTTGTTATAACCCGGAAAATGACCCGTATGTGACCCGCGTTTTTTCTAAAGCCCCTAGAGTTCGAATTGCAATTATTTGCTCCCACAAAAGAATTGAAAATAAAGAATTGAGCCTCATCTTGAATTATAATTCTAATTCTGGAACCCCTATTTTTTCAGCCAAACACAATAATTAGAATTGAGGGCCTCCAATTCCAATTCTTGGGTCCAATTCAATCCAACCAAACAGAGCCTTAACGTAATCTTAGTGGCAAGAGGAGATCTAAATGGCACATTTTTAACTTTGCCAATAATACAAGAGATCAAGATGTTATGTGTCCCCCTCAAATCAGACAAAGAAAGAAGGGAATCTTGCCGTCGAGTTCTTATACAACTTTCACGTCTTGAACTCAATTCAATTACTATGGAAATTAACCCAATCTGAAATATGAACCATAAAAGAAAACAGCTATTACCCCTCACAAGAATATCAGTTACGGTCCATATTATATATCCAAAAAGAGGAATTCTTTTAGTAGTTTCGGCTATTTATCTCGCTACATTTTATATTTAATCAAGTGTTTGCAGACATAAATAACTAAGGATAGTTATTAGTGGGAAACTTCCGAATCCGCTAAGAGAATACCTAGCATTTTTATTGGATTCTCTCTCGTTTTCTTAATTGAAAAATAAAACTGCAAGTATAAAAATAAATAATAACTCCACCCGATATAAATTGGTACGATTCAATTCAACATTTTTTTTCTTCAAGTTTGTTTGTGTAATAGTTAAGTTATAAAATTCGGATATATAGATCTAAAAGAAGAAGGAGGCAGGAATCACCAGTGCATGAACAATCAACCATCGTACTACAAAAATTGGATAGGTTCAATCTATATTAATTAGGTCCTCCTAGGAAGATATACTAAATTTAAAAAGTACCAAGGAATCAATATGCCTATCTATTAATGGAGTATTGGAGTTCTCTGTTGCTTTTATGTGAATACTCGTTTGCCTCCAAATAGATGTGCTAAACCCATTCTGACCTATGTTTTGAAAATCAGTGAAAATTGGCTCTAAAAAATGTTTAAAAATAAAAAATTTTCAATATTTCAAAAATCCAGTTTAACTTATATTGGTTTTCGGTCGAACCACTATTTTACCCGGATTTGACTAAGTTTGACCAATTTTTTAGTTAACCGGTTATTTTAGCAAAATCGGACCAGAAAGACCTCTGATTATTGGTCGAATTGATTCAACTGCCCAGATCCTGTTTTCAAAACATAGGTTCTAACTAATAGCCAGCCCGTAACGAAAACAGAAGGTATAGTAATGCTATGAATGACCTAGTATCGCATATTGATGATAATATCCGGAAAAAAATATTCTCTTGTGCTTTTAGAACACTAGATATTTTTGTCTATGACTAATATCCTACCCACAATAAAAAGAGAAGGTATAGTAATGCTATGAATGACCCTTTTAGAACTCTAGATATTATTGTCTATGACTAATATCCTACCCAAAATGAAAAGAGAAGGTATAGTAATGCTATGAATGATCATGTATCGGATACGGTAATAATACTGTATCCGCAAAAGAATATTCTCATGTGCTTTTAGACAGGAAACGGTAATCATACTGTATCCGCAAAAGAATATTCTCATGTGCTTTTAGACAGGAAAATATTCTTGTACAGTAAAATGGGATTGATATTTATTTCGTAAAATAGCAAATCGTAAGTCCCTTCTCAAGATTACCCTTATTAACCACAATTAGATGTGTTTGGTCAATTTCAAAAGTTTAAAACTGAAATCAGCTGCAATTTGATAAAACTGAAATCAACACAAATTGTTTAGTGAAATCAACACATTGTGAGTCAGCTACAAATTGTTTAGCTGGAGTGTATCATCAAGATAAAAAGTCATGAAAAGGCATCCTAAGAAGAAAACACCCTCACAATTTACAAATTAAAGAAGAGGGAACAAATCATATATAGGACCACAATTTACAATTTATACAAAAGATGGATTCCACCCCGAAGAATTCGTCTTTTGGTAAACTTTTGCACTAGCTAGCTACTTAACAAATAAGTCATGAAGTATTTTAATTTCAATGATTACTCCAACCCAAGCAGTTACATCCCAAAAATTCTGGAATATAAATCGCCAGAGTTGGCCGTCTGATGATACTTTGAATCTCCATATCCAGGATAGTAATTGCTCATTAGTCTCTCCTTTCTTTGAAGTTCTGCCATGGCAGCTTCATTCTTCCTCTGGACCTCAGCAAAACTGAAAGGATACCGGTTGGAAATGTGCCCATTCCCGATCATCTGCTGCGACAGGTTTCCATAAGAAGACTGTCCATACCGTTGAGATTGATCCATCATCGGTCTTGATTGATAACCGTAGCCATCACTCAAAGACGATACCCGGTCATATCCAGGATATGGCGCCATTGGTGCTTGAGGGAAAGGTGTCTGAGGCATGAAATTTCGGGAATATTTCGAGGCCAGATTCGCAGTCGCCTGATCTCGCATAAGAAGCCAGAGTCTAGTCTCATCATCCAGTCCTCCCATCTGTTGATTAGAAGAAGCTAGACTTGTAGTATTCATGCTGGGGATATGAAATCCGTTTGATGGTTTGCCTTCAACACAGCTTAAGATTGCAGGGTCACGAAAGCCAGTATCATAACTACTACCATTATTTCTTATTATAGCAGGCATTTGATTATTCAAATTGCTTGGATATGGTAAGCTGCAGGTATTAACAAGACTTCCAGAAGAAGAATTAGGCCACCTATCGCCCGGCTTATCGTATGCAGAGAAACCAGGAGGTGCTTCAGTGGAGGGTAAAGAAAAACCTGAAGGAGCCAAACTAGTAGGAGGAGGAGGCCTGAATATTGCTTGATGTTGAGGATTAGACAAGTAATAATGGTCTTTGAAAGAAGTAGTAGTATTTGACATCTGACCAAAGTTATTGCGATTAGCAGCACCTGCTACACCATTTCGTCTTGGAAAGGAGAACCCGGATTCACGAGGCAAGGTAAAGGAATCGTCGTCGACTGAATCAAGATCAAGTGACAATAGAGTCTTCTCAACAGCTTCAAGTGCGCCTTTTTCATCAGCATCGGTTGAGTGCTCATAACCATATATCCTCCGTAAATGTTCAGCGATTTCTTCCTTGGAAAAAGTGTTAGAACTTGGCTGAATCCCATCTGATTTAGTATAAGGCTGAAATTTCAACTCATTCCCTTGGTCATTTAATACACTATTTACGGTGGTAATTGGTACAGAAGCCTCGTCTTTGAGGCTGTGTACAGAACTCTGTCTCTGGTCAACAATGCTGAAACTACTAGAATCCTCTGAAATCCTTGCAGGATAAGATGATTGGCTAATCACAGCCTCCTCCCTAAATAATTCGACATGCGACGGTCCATTATCGCTTGGTAGTCTACTAACAAGGTGATCATCAGGAGATGGCACTTTAACTACAGAAGATTGATCAGAAGAACGCATCAAATCAGCTGATATTCTTCTATCTTCTGCTCTAATCTCATCTTTTTCTGGAACAGAACTACCAGGAGGACTACTAATTCCGACAACATCTACAGAAGCCGTCGTCTCGCAGACTGAATCATTCGAGGTACTTGTCGCAGTAAGGTTTTCCAATGCAGAGTCACTGTTATTATTATCATTAGGCAATCCATCAACAGGAGGAGGTAACACCTTCCCTGAACGCTTTAACATACAATTCGAAACGCCGGTAACCACTTTCACTCGATTCCTAGTATCAACCGCGGCAACCTCATCTTTCCCAAAACAACAATCTTCATCAGCCCCAATGGCATGTAAAAACAGACAATTAGGATTACTGCAAGGTACATTCCTCAACCAAGCATGGCAATACTTTGCAGTTCCAAAAGAAGCCTTCAAGCTTTTACCATCCAATACAAATCCATGTACTGATTTAATACAACGTAAGGCCTCATCCTCGCTCGAATAAGTCACATAAGCGCTACAAGTACCATTAACAAACCTCTGAACAGCTCCGCCTGCGGTCCGAGACAGAGAAACCTTTGAAACGTTCCCGTATTGACCGAAATATTCTTTCCTCTGTAAGACTTCCTCGTCGGAGAGACTAAAAGGGAGACCAATTACATAAGCTATGTTTCTCTGAATCACCCTGACGTCGGCGAGATTAGGTTTTCCCTTTGACGACGTCACCTGAGGTTTGATTTCCCGATTATGCCTGGACGCCGCCGCAACGGCGGCACTACTACACCGGTCAAAATCTACTTGCATCGAGATAATTTGGTCCTTGTGGTAGATCGTCCGGCAGCCGGGACACCGGCCGTCGGAATCATCCTTTTCGGCGGTGTCTATAATTCGATGAAAACACCAAACACATAATCGGTACCCACACTTGCAAGGCTTGAACTGCTGATCCGTCCAGTCCATCTCCTCCACACAAAGAGGGCATCTTTGATTCTCTTCTCCTCCTTCTGTTGTCATATTAGGGTTTTTAATTATTATTTTTTTTGCAGATGTTTGATTTGATAGAGGCTAATAAAATTGTGAATCTTCAGATAAACAGCCGTAACTCTATTTTATAGAAGGGGAGGATAAATAATTAAGATTTGGCCTTTGCAAAATCAAAATCCTTTACGGAATCCACTAACCGATCAAAGTCCTAAAACCAATCGGAAATTGAATTATTTGCTAAATAATGCGGAACTGATTGTTCTGGAAAGTTCGCCGACTCTATTACATACGAGCTTGTTTAATTTACTACTAGTTTATTTTTTAATGTAAAAACTTTCAACTTTATAAATTAGGTTGAAATTAGTCAACACTCAATGACAACCAGGTCGGTGGAGGAGTTTTTTACCCAAAAAATTATTTAAAAAAGACTATGGACAAACATAATATGGATCTATACCGTACAGACGGATTTCGTAAATCCGAGACCACCGAAACTCGGATTAGTGTAATCCGAGACTTTAGTAATCAAAATTACTTAAATTAAATTAAAAAATTAATTTAAACTAATCAAGAGTCGGATTTTACAATAAATAAATATTTATTTTTTGGAAAAATAACCTAAGTGTTCGAAAATAAAAGTTGACTAGAAACGGATTAGCCTAATCCGAAACATGGAAATTCAAATTTCGGAAATCCGAAAGTTTATGATAAAAAAATTATTTTAAGTTTTGGAAAAAAAATCTAAGTGTTAAAAATAAAAGGGAAGAGACTCGGATTTCGGTAATCCGAGTCCCTCTGCACTTACTCTCGGATTTGAAAAATCTGAGTTGTTTAGAAAAATGGCAACTTTCGAATTTGCGTTCACCCTAGTAGTGCCCATATCCACACAAGGCACATTAAACTAAATCCTAAACCCTAAAATCCAATGTTTTGACTAAATCGGATATTGAAAATCCAATTTTTAGCAAAATCCAAGTTTAAACTAAAATCAGATCTAGGGAATCCGTAACTAAATCCTAAACCCTAAAAGTTGGATTTTAGAAATCCGAGTTTAAGCTAAACTCAAATTTTTGAAATCCAAGTTTAAGCTAATCTCGGATTCTGAAATTAAACCCTATGGCCTGAATTTGAAAATCCAATTTTTTGCTCAACTTGAATTCTGAAAATTCAATTATTTGTTTAAAAAATACATAACACTAGTAAGGATTCTGGCGCACCAAAAACTGCCATTCCAGAAGGATTAGCCCTCCCACTTATCACCTCCTCCTCTACCATCCCAGAAAAATCCAAAAGGGTAATATCAATAAATTTGGTTTCGAGTTGGATGTCCAAATATTATGATAATGTTCCTTATTACAAATTCTCTGTAGCAGATTTTCGCCATCGATGTGGGCCGTCTAACTACTGGAACAACAACATACTGCGATGGAGAAGTTGGGAAACGAATCACTGAGATTGTGGATGAAGTTAAACAGAGCAACGGTGAAATTATTCTTTTCATTGATGATTTTCAAAGGCCGGTTGGTTCTGATCACTATGGACAACATGCTCCGCGGGATGCGGCCAACATTTTGGTACCTTTTCATTGATGATTTTCAAAGGCCGGTTGGTTCTGATCACTATGGACAACATGCTCCGCGGGATGCGGCCAACATTTTGGTACCTTGTCTTGCTCGAGGGGAGCTACAGGTATGTTTTACCCTTTACACATAAATGTTCAAATCTACATAAGCAGTTGCAAGTTGCTCATATGTGGTGAATTTATAGATATAATACTCTCTTCATCCCAAAATAATTATGGGGTTACAAGTATTTATGTGGATAGGGGAGTAACTAATGAAATCTCTCCTTGTATTGTAATTTGATTCAATCACTTCATAGTGGCTACTATACTCAGAGAATATAGGCAGAGCATTGAGAACCATCCGGCCTTGAAAAGGCAATTTCAAGTGATACAAGTATCTGAACCTTCCATTGATCAGACAATTAAGATTCTCACAGGACTGAAGAAGGAATTTGAGGATCATCATAAGGTTTCATACTCCGATGATGCTTTGATCGCTGCAGCAAAACTTTCTAAACTGTACATTAGGTCAGCCTCTTCTAATCCTATTACTGTATGTAGTTATACCAACAATGTGGATTTGAGTATTAACTTTTCTGTTTGGAAAGGGTATTTCTTGTCCCATTTTTTTGTTTTTTTTACGAAGATATAATGATGATTTGACTGTTTTACTTTGTGGGTGATCATTTATAGTGATGATTTCTTGCCTGATAAAGCAATAGACATCATGGATGAAACAGGAGGCAGAGTAAGATGTATGGTAATATTACTAATGGAGAAAAGAAACTGCATTCTGGTAGTGTAGATGAGCCTATTGATGGTATTGGTAGTTCCGACAAAGTTGTGAGTTGTGAAATGATCAAACAAGTAATTTCTTCTCGGACTAGGATTCCAGTCGAAAAAGTATCTGTTGACGATTCCATTTGGGTTCTTCACATGGAGAATATTCTTCGGGAGCATATAGTCGGACAGGATAAAGCATTGCGAACAGTTGCTCGAGTTGTTCGCAGATCAAGGGTTGGCCTGAGGAATCTTGGCCGTCCCATTGCTAGTTTCATTTTCAGAGGGCCAACTGGTGTAGGGAAAACTCAATTGGCTAAGTTACTAGCCAGGGAATATTTTGGATCTAATAAGGAATCAATGATCAGGTTGGACATGAGCGAGTATACGGAAAGATGTTCAGTTTCTAGGCTCCTCGGATTGTTTCAAGGTAACTGTGGGTATTATGAAGGTGGCCAATTAACAGAACCAATCCTCAAGTAGCCTCATAGTCTGACTCTACTCGAGGAAATCGAAAAGGCTCATGTGGATGTTATCAATCTACTGCTTCGGGTTATGGAGGATGGAAAACTAACAGATGGGATGGGACAAGTTGTTGATTTTAGAAACACCATAATCATAATGACGTCGACTAAAGATCTCTACCTTAACAATGTAGAACTGAAGAGAATTTTCAGCCTAGAGTTTCTCTACATGGTTGATGAGATTGTTGAGTTCAAATGGCTTGGAAAGAATGAGCTGGTGAAAATTGTGGACATAATGCTGAAGGAAGTTTGTGAAACGATTGTCGACAAGAAGAACGTAACTATTGAAATTTCAATGAGGTTAAAGGAGAAATTGATTTCTGACGGTTGCAATTATTGCGGTGATTATGGAGCAAGGCCACTCAAGAGAGCTATAACAGTATATCTAGAAGATAAGTTGGCAAAAAGCATTTTGAATGGTAATGTCAAGGAAGGCAATTTTGTAGCTGTCGATGTTGATTCGAAGGGCAATGTTCTTCTTTCTTCAAAGAGTAAGAACATTGGAAAACAATCGTGATAGAAGAAATCAACTTGTAAGGACTATCCAGCTTTGTTTTCTGCTTATTTAGAGGTTCTGGTGAGAAGTGTACTTCAATACTAGTTCAGAAATCAGAGATTTGTGTATTGGAAAACCATTTTTCTCTCTTATAGCAGGAAGCTAATGTAGTATACACAAATTAAAATCTCTTGATGGAGTCCGTTCTATGCATATTCTCTACTAACTATCTACTCATCACTTATTAAATTTTGCAATTTGGTATTTACAAGGCAAAATCAACTATGTAATGTTTGCTCATATCTTGTTGATGAAAGAGGAAAATGCACTTTGGAGTATTATCACTGCAATCTGTTACTAGCATAGTATCGATCTGTGAAACGCAATTGCTCAAGGCTCCATTAAATCCTACTTCTCGCAGTCATCAAATATATATTAAGGGATTCACTTCCAATGGCTTCCATCATGCGATTACTTTCGATATACAGCCCCGCCTTTGTATTACTTTCGATATACAGCCCCGCCTTTGTAATTCCACTTTAGTGATGTGGTCTTGCAATACCTATGTTTTTGAATTGCTTCTTGAATTCGTTTAACAACTCAAAGGATATATTCAGCTCCATAAAATGAAACGAGACTTCCATTCTAGAACAAGAAGAAGAAGAGAAAACAAATCAGTGGGAGAGTAACTAAGAAGGAAGAAACAAAAAGTCTCAAGTGAATAGAATTACCATGTTTTTGAAACATGCTGTGTAAAAGTTTGTGATTTTGTGTGCTCAGTATGATGTATTGAATCTTCCAAGTGTATGTACATTTGGTAATGTGGTTTCCAATTTCCACTCTATCCGTCTTACAAAAATAGTCTACTTTGTTGTACTGTTTTAATTCAATAAAATCGACTATTTTTTTAAGACTAGGAGAGTAATGTGTAACTCTACAGCTAAGAAACAAATCAACTCAACAACATATTGTTATCTCTGTAGACTGCGCCGAAGAAGGTAATTCATGTCTGAGGAAGAGGGCATAGAGAAGTTCATTCCAAGTATCCGGTACACCGGGGAGGCACCAATGGCTACAGTCTTGCCGGTTAATTGGGGACCAAACCTTGGACAGATATATAGACGCATGACCATCTTTTCTCCGGGATGTTATCTCTGTCACATTGAGCAGTTTAACGCTGTTTTGCAGCCTGGATTTTTTCACAAGCTTCATGAACACATCGGTCGTCATTGTTGCTTCCAGTGATGGTTCGTATTGCATGTCACCTAATTCAGGTAATGTCTGAAGATGACATCCGCCGCCGCTGTTCCAATCTCCGCCACTGGTTTCATTCAAATCAAGCCAAAAAGTCTTGAGTCTATTTTGAGGGAATTGGTTAAAATTCGAATCGAATTGATCAATATGATAGGAGGAAATTAGACAAACCTGTAATGCACAGGAGCATAACTCCGGAAGAAGACAAGGGTCTTTCTCAAATCAACTTCCCGACTTATCCAGCTAACCACCGTCTCAATTGACTTACGGAATGCCGTCTCCACGGTCATATTCATCTCCACCTTTCCCGTTTCTTCAAAGTAACAACCCCTGATAATTGATCACACAAATCACAAGATTAAGTTATTCTAATTTAAAATATACGTAATCTTCTGAAATTGAGCAAAGTCAGACACTTGGTCAATTACGCTCTAATGGTCTTTCCGTGATTCCACCAGTGCCCACTGTTGAAGACTATAATATCAGCATCCTTCCAATGGGAAGATGTCCAGGCCATATGATCCAATTTCAGGGTCATTCTCACATTTGCTGGAGCTCCAGCTGGTGGGTGTCCCTGAACCACTAGAAAAGGAGCCCTGTAATACTCAATAGTACAGTTGAAATCCCTGAACTTGAAGATCAAATAGCCTTGATGCTTTGTGATTGGATTTCCATTGACTTCGTATATTGAACTCTTATTTGCAACTACAGAAGACAACATACACAGAAAGGATTCCCATTGATTTCTTCCAAGTGAGTCGCCGACAAAAACGACCCGGCGATTCCTTAATTTCTCTAACATCATTTTTGCATCAAACCTGTGAATCATCATCAATGAGTTCCATCAGAATGAGAGTAATTTACAGTACAAATGCACACAGACAGAAGACTGAGGTTTTAAATTTTTGACCTGGGCAAGTTGCAGTCTTTAGGTTGCCAACGCCATTTAGTGTAGTTACGATCAGGGCGACCATTTTCGGTGCAACGAAATCCTTCATCTGCAAATGGACAATTCTCAGATTGATAAAGTGGATAATTTTCATCCCATATCCAATTCCCCTCAAATATATTACATTCACCGCCTCCTTCTTCAAGAAATTCCACCTTTTTCTTTGCATCCTCTGTTTCATTCTCTGCCTCTGCTTTATTAGATTCTGCAACTATATCCGTCCTGTTAAAATCAGGCTCGGAACCATTTACTAAACTTTGGGATTCTGGAACCACTTCTGTAGCATTAAACTTGAGCTCGGTGATTTCTAAAGTCTGACCATGCATACGAAGAAAACCAGTGGTGATGGTTTTGTAATCCAGAAAACAGATGGCGAAGATTAAGCATAAGCTGAGAAAAAAAGAAACAAAAACGCCCGGAAGCAATGAGGCATCGAGATTGAAATAATGTTTTGATCTCCTATTTGAGGTTTTAGCAGGAGGAACCTGCTCCCTCATCTTTCTAAAACTTGAGTTACTGATCAATGATACTGGTTTGATGTCAGTATTAGGAAAGCAGAACTGTTTATTGGTTCTGTTTGGTGGGCGGATTCTTCAGCCCCAAAAAGGGGCCGGCTTTGGCTTGTTAGGAAGCTAGTTCAGGGAAAGTGCAGACAAAGACAGACGAAATCAAAAAGACAATTGGAGAGAAAGCCTGAAGAATGAATCAAATTCCAATGGGGTGGAAGTGGAACCAATAAAAATGATTGGGACAAAGCCATTTCTGTGGGCCATTTTTTTATGATACATTCATCTCGTATATAAATTCAACGCGAGGCATTAAAGAAAAAAGGAAGAGAACATGAAAATGAGGTTCAAATTTACAGAAAACAACAGAAATTGAAGATGAATGCTCTCTACAGTGGGTCCAGAGGGATAAGCATTCGTGGGTTGTGCGACCACGTTAAAAAAAAAAAGAATTGTTTTTTTTTTTTTTGCCCATTTTTTCTTCGAAATCGACCCCTTTTTTGATTTGATTCAATAGCTTATTGGCAAAGAGAACGAAAAACGTTGACATGGAAGGGTTCAAAACAGAAACTTCCATAATTCCAAATTTTTTTTTTTTCATGCTGGCTTTCACGTTCATAAATTATTGGTTTTGATGTTGAATTGAAGTTCAATGTAAGAATAATTCTCTTATTATTACTTTATTATTACAAGTAGTATTTTAGGATTAGATAGGCTGATAAGGTGACCGAGCAGCAGTTGGAAAAAGATTAGGACAGTTGTTCCGTGCGAAGAAACGGAATGTGGGAACGTGGGGGAGTTCGTGTCCGAATTGCTGAATCACGCCTCCTGAGCTAAGTAATTCTCTCAATCGTTGGCGGACAGGTTAAGTCCATCTCACATGGAACATTTTCATTCACAGTTGGTACTCCATTTAATTAGCTGGGTGAGACATTTAATTGCATAATTTAATTATATTAATAATGCTCACAGTTGACTTTCACCGTACCTACGTTTAATAATTTGGCAAAGACTATATTTTATAGCCTCCATATTATTAGTATATGATCTACACACAACACACTGGTATATATTCTCCGTCCTACAATAATACTCCCTCCGTCCCATAATTATTGTCCAGTTTTACTTAAATGAAAAATTTTATTTTTAGTCAAACTTAACTATATTTTACCTTGAACAACCGGATATACCCCTACATAAGTAATTGTTTAACCACAAAGATTTTATGGATAATGTTTTTTACTAAGGACAAATGTGTAACTTGATCCATAAAAAGTCAAATTGGACAATAATTTTGAGATAAAATTTTTTAGGCAAAGTGGACAATAATTATAGGACGGAAGGAGTATTTGTGTTTGCTGAGCAAGTCAACTAGAACGTCCCTTTAACCCTTATAAGCACATGAACCGAGATTTGGACCTTATAGGGGGGTAGTGTTTTCCCGCATTATGGATTTGGCGGACCAAATTGGACTCGAGCTCCATATAATGAAACTTGTACTATCAAAGATGGCCAGTGAAAAATGATCTTAGAAACATGCTGTGATCTTTGAATTTGCACAATTTTCAGTGAATGTCTCTTTGATTAAGAGGTTCGGAGGAACTTGTTAGGTATAAGTTACAAAACCTCATTGACTATCTCATCTCACAATGCAATGCAGTAGGTTGGTGAACCATAATCCAACGAGTACAATGAGAATGTTATGTGCCATCAAGCTGCCTAAAAGCACCACATAATAATATCAAGAAGACCAGGTCATGAGATGAAGCATCTGTCCAGTACATCATCAAATTCTCAAAACTCAAGTAGTTGAATTTTCATGCTAAATTGAAGGCAAGATAATTGAAACTATGGTCATCTAATTCGATATCTGAATGAAGAAACAGCAGCAACAACAATGACAATGCCAGGAAAACTTTCCATTACTCCTTTATTAGATCGTAACAAGGTTTGCAACATTTTAGTAGTACATCTGATCAAATGCAGTGGATATGCTGATCCACAAACTAAGTAATCATCAGACTCAATCACTCTTGGCTAGTTCACAAAAAGTAGTAACAAAGTGTCATACATGCTGTAATTCCGCCCAGTATAAACAGTCTATCTAACCTACTTTCATTTCTCATCTTTTCCTCCTTCAACTCACTCTGCACTTTCGAGTACAGAAGACAAGACTCTAGGGCCTCGCTGTAGTTCTTGCTTCTCGGGCAACTTAGCGCTTCTTTTAGGACAAGTAAACTGTTTCTGCCATTTACATGAGCCCCTTCCATGTCTCCCAACTGCATACTCAGTTCGGTTAATATGAGAGTTGTCTGCGTGCCAACCCCCTCGGTGTGGATCACTCTGAATCGCATTATTAGGATGCATTCAACCACTTGACACGGAAGAATGTCCTTGGCGGGTAGGACAGATCCGAATCGCATTAAAAAGTCCTTTTCAGTGGGCCAATGCCGCTGCCCTCCTAGACAGCTCCAGCTCGACAGGTTAGCAGCCCGCTTGATTTTTCGGTTCACAACAATCCAGCTTAAGCGTATACCATCGCGGAGATCTTGCCAAAGCTTCCCGTCTTTCCTTTCTTTTTCCATTGATGTAATAGGAGGCAAACCATCTGACACCGAAAGCGTAACTTCACCAGAATGGGCATCATTTTCATGAGCATTCGCGAGGAGATCGATCCTGAACGGGCAGTTGTAAAACCAACCATTGAAGCTGTCTGCATTAGGGATGCCCCAAAGAACTTTTGAGCAAATTGTTTGGTCTTTATATCTTATATCCACAATAGAGACGAAATCTGATGGCGATATATTTTCCAGTTCATCCAGATCGCCATAGTATTCTGCTTCAGTCCATTCATCTGGATATTGGAGATAGTCATTAAATCGAAATTCAGGAACTTCCTTGTTGACAATAAGAGGGAAACAATCTGCATAGAACTTTTTAAAACCGCCAACAGAGGAAATCAAACTTTTGACATCATCCCGGCTAGTTGAGGGCCACATGGAAGAACAAACATTTTCCCATAATCTTTCCTCTTTAGAGATGGACGAAAACGCTGCACAGGCACAGGCTGCACTAGCCAATGTCGCACCGTCAAGACGCCTCAGTATGTCATAGAACAGATCACTGCTTAACGATGCCATATTTTCAACTGTTGCAACAGACATTTCGTGGTTATTTGATAAATCTGGAGAGCAAATCAGAAGCAATTGTAAATGCACATCCAAAGATATCCAACCAATTTTTTAAGAAAGATGTTCAGAATATCTATTGAGATTGTAATACCGAGAATAACAATAGCGAATATAATAACAATAATAAATTATAAATTAAGTCTAAAATCAAATTATCAGCCTTTAACCCTTGCAACTTTCCATTCCCATCAGCTATGGGCATGCTTACTCAAAACCAAAAACAGTCACAGAGGCAGATGGTAATCTCTTGGAAAACAAAAGCATGACAACCTATGGTGATGTGAAAAAGTTTCTTGCTGCAACTTCACACAAGATTAGCAGCTAAAGCCCATCCAAGAGTTCTCCCTTGCCCAGGTCTTAGATTCAGCATGGTGCATTACTTTGAGAAAGTTTCCTCCCTATAGTTTTCTTCGTTTAACCCCTTCTTTTTAAGCTGTTGTTTCGAAAATTTTAATCTGGAAAAAAATCTGGTAATGCTTTGAGCAAATGATTGATCTAATCATAACGACAGGACATTAAATAAACAAAATCAAATTCCAAAATTGATCGTTGTACTATTTTTCAAATGAACTTCAAGCTAATGTTGGCTCATGAGATCAATTGGCTGAGTAAACTTTTAACTCCGGCTTTGCAACACAGAAGGGTGAATGGGAGGATAAAAAACTGATGCTTGCTTCATATTATAAAAGAGACGATTTTTAACCAAAGAAAAATAGACACCTCTGTTTCACCCACAAAAACATGCTTAATTGCACCATGTTCTTGAAAGGGAATCTGTCCTAACTTCTTTGAATTGTTTCATCCATCTCTCGAACCTTCTCCGAATACTGACTGCCTCCGCACTGTATAGGAATTCATATACAAGTGCATAGGTAACCAGCCACAAGACTGACTGAACATTAACAAAATATTCAATGGCCTTGATGTTTTATGAAGTCAAGTTGATAGGTCCATCCATCCCCTTCCACAACCCAAACACAGAACAGAAATCAAAGAAATCCTTACCTAAAGAGCTAAATATTCCCTAAATTCTAGCATATCATAACAGCATACCAATGAAAAAAAAAAAAACAAACAAACAAACAAACAAACAAAGATAACAAGGGCTGACATCTAAACATATCAACAACAAAATGAAGGCACAAAAAAAAAAAAAAAAAAAACAAAAACAAATCCTGCAACAAGAAGACAAGAGACACCTTTTTGTTACAAATTTCTCAAGAAACCCAGTAAATTGAATAGTCAGGCAAATGACATAAGCAAAAGGAATGGGAAATATAAAAGACATGATCAGACCACGAACCTCAGGAACAGGGGATTCTAGAGCTTAATTAATTCTTCAGAGCAAGTAGTATTACACCCAAAACTCTGTATCCATCACAGAATTAGATAGGTTTCCATTTCAAATTCTGTATCATTTCCATGGGGTTTGATTGATTGTTTATGTTGGGAAAACTGAAACTAAAGCATGGTACTTTATGATAGTAGGATTAGGAAGCCAAGGGAGACAAACGCTTTTTGGAGTTTTTTTTTTTTTTTTCGGGTCAAGAAAGAGAGATAAGATCCTCAGATGAATCTCAAAGTTCAGGATTATGTGTAATGATCTTTGTGACACGTTGGGTCCTTTTAAGTATGAATCGATTGGGCCCACTCCCCTGCCACCGGACGATCTTTACGATGCGGGACCTTCTTTTTAATACTTCCTACAGCCCAAAGGCCGGCGGCCCATAGGTGTTTGAAGATATGTTTTTTTTTTGAAGTAGGGAAACAAGATACATTTCTGAGGAAAAAAAATTTAGAAATATTTCTAAAGAAAATTTAGGCTCTGTTTGAAGAGAGATTTTAGGATAGAAATGTGATGTGCGCCGCCCTTGGTTTTCCTTAATCCGAAAGGCCAAAACACAATATATAGATGCTAAACATCTGTCTTAAGTGTTTGTCAGCTCCCAGAATTAAGCTGCAGTAGTATTGATAGGAGTGAATTACAAGGCACTGATTAGATTAAAGAGATGATATTATGGGGTGATCTCGAACCTTCCATTTTGTACGTTACTCCCTCCCTTCCGAAATGATTGTCCAGTCCTGATTTATATTTTTAATATAATATATGTTAAACTACAAATTCAAACTAATAATCATTTTGAGACCAAAAGAGTATTATAAATCCTTGATTTTGCATTGGATGTTTGATTGAAGAAATTTCCAAGCCTATACCAAAGAACATAGATTCACTTTTTCAAGTTATGATCGTTGTAGTATCCATGTAAATATGTAGCCATTTTATTAAGATTATTATTATGTTATTTCGCAATATATTCGTAATAATTAGTACTAGATGCAATTATGCATGATTCGAATTCATACGCAAGTTCTCTAAAAGCACATGTTGGTGGCAATCATGCACGATTTATATGCAAACCCAATCAAAGCGCCCAACCACCCTTGTTTTGGAAGCATCCATGTCCCTCTATAATTCAAGTTCATGGTACACTTTCAATGTCAAAAATGACATATCATCTAACCATAATTCAGTTTCATGTTATCTGTTCATTAATTATATCAATTATCCCCAAAACTTGACATATATCTTGAAGATAAAGTTCTCGAGTCAGATAATTATGGTTGAAATGTAAAATCACCAGAAAAATAAAAGATGGGAAAATAAAATTTGGTAGAGCACTTACCAGTAAAAAATTTTATTTTAAGGAAAAAAAAAAACTATTGCTCTGAGAACTTTCCTTAGTTATTATAATATTATACTAGTATTTATCCCACATGTTGTGTGGGTTATTCAAGATATATATAAATTTAATGATTTAACGATTTTATGACATTTTCGACGGAGCGATATACGTTCAAAAAATTATATTAATTATATAAATTGTAATTGTGTAATTTTGAATGTCAATGTGTTTTGTTATTTTAAGTACATTTGGAATGTTTTTCAATATTTAAAAATCATCCAATATAACTTATTGTTCACCTTTTTGCATTTTGTTGATTTATGATTTTATATTTTTTAAAAGTATTCTCTTAATTTTTCATAATGATCTCTCCAAATATTTCTATCCGTGTCATATCTTCTAAACACTCACTCTAACAGGAAATTTTTTTACTATTTCTTTCTATAAACTTATCTTTATTTTCCATCTCTTTGTGTACCTTTTACAACCTTTCTTTAGAATTTTGTTCGAATATTTTTTCTACAATATAGTGCTTACTATTTTTTTCCTAAATTCGATGACCTCTCTTTAAATATTAGTTTCTTGAAAAATTTGTAACACTTATTAGAAAAATTATTTAGATTTACTAAATAGTATAACCTATTTGCCTTGTGGTTAAATAAACAGAGAATTATTTTTTTAAAAAAAAACATAGAATTGTTAGATGATATTTTATCTAAATTATTTGTACTATACAGTCTTAGATATCGATAATGTTATATATTGTGCCCCGAATCATTATCTGTATTGGAGTAGTATCAAGACTGCTTCTATTCTTGTTTGACTCTGATTCAACCACAGTAATTACATGTTGTTTTGCTTAGTTTCTGCCCAAATAAGCAAGCAAATATTTCAGCCCCTTTGGAAGAAATTTAGCCAACGATCAAAGAACTTCTCTATTCTTCAATTGATCCTTTAATTGATCATCTTTAATTGATCCTTTCTATTCATCTTTAATTGATCATCTTTTATTCTTCAGTTTAGATCATCTTTAATTGATCCTTTCTATTCAGCTTTTTTTTAAAAAAAGGTTGATATCTAATTCTTTTTTCGTCTCTTTCAAACATGTATTAATGGTCCAATTTCTTGTTACCAACTGAAAAGGCCGAAAGGCCAGCAATTAAAATAAAAACCAATTCACTAACTAATAAAAAAGAAACAAAAAAACCTGATTTATTGTTATAATTTAACACATAATTATTGAAACCAATATTTATTGGTGAATTGGTTTTTTTCATCCTAACCGTCATTTTTTTCACATTAAATTAGTTTTTTCTATTTTTTATTTTAGTTGGTTATTTTTTTGGTTTATTAGTTTGAAATTTCTTTTTGGCCACCTTCAAATTTTATTACGTAGAGGAAAGTATACATATAGAGGAAAATATCTATTGTTAGTTTGAAACTATATTATCTTTGGATTTATTTGATCGCGGAGATCATTTTTCCTATGATTTTATTTTTAGACCACATAATATGATGAATTGGGAGGGATGCGGAAATTTTTTTCTTGTCTTGCGGTAATTTAGTAATTAGTGATTGATATAGTTGGTAAAAAATATATTATCAATTAGAGTTTTGAGAAATCTCCCAGTTAATTTAATTTTATTTATAAATTCACAATTTTACATTAAAAATTACAATTAAATGATAGACTGATGTGATTGCGACATGTGGACTTGACTATCTAATTTTACACTATATGGATTAACATATCTAATTTTATACCATTTATTCGATTGAAAACTCTCCTTTAATAATTTTGAACTTATAATAGCTAGCTAGACGAGACAAAATGGGATATAAGATCGTCAAGGATAAGTTTTATTAGGTGACCTAAAAATAAAGAAGGATGCCGGAAAAAGAAGTGACCACCAACAAGCTAAATGATGCAAATAAATTAATGAATCCAAGAAGTAGAAATTTGTTTCTTCAAAATTCCACAAAGAATGACACTTGAGATAATGGATATGGTAGTGTGCACACTGGATTAGATTACAAGGATCAAGCATACCACGTAAGCTTGTTAGGTTATTCCTAAGACTTGAGAGACTGATCTCAAAATAGGTGGCACATGTTGTCGGTTTCTGCTTGGGCTACTAAAACCAATCCCAATGTTTCTATAAAACAAAAACAAAAATAAAAATTATTGGTCATTTTTATGGAACACTTGAAACCCAACCGCAATTTGAAATAGAACGCATAGAAATGGTATAGATCATTTGTGGATCCTTCTTATCTGGGCAAATTATTACATATATCATGAATAGAGGTCAATGTAGCAAAATGCGAATAACAATTGACTCAGTATTTGAGCTTAAAAAGGATAGAAGGAAAAATGTAAAAATATGCCTTAAAGCTTTATGATACCAAACTGGCCTCATAAAGTCTTTACTCCACAAAGCACGACTTAGGTGTTAAACTTATGATACAATAATTGCTATTCAGAGTGGAGTTTATCAAATTCAGGCTGATCAAATTGGTTCAACAGATTTGACCAGAAGCAGTACTTTGGGTCCAGTTTCCCTAGAGTGGAACACGGTATAGCATGAGCCCAATGTTCAATCTCACCAACTTTGGTGCTCAACAAATGGCAAAATCTGCAGCTAAGGCCTCAAAAGCAGTCCAGTAGCCCAGCACAGGGGGATCCCTAAATTCCTATGCTTCCAAATTAGAACTTGATCAAGTGAACACCAAGTACCAACCAACACACTATGTTGAGCCACAGTATGCACTCTAAGTAGGTTTGAATCCCTAGTCTCATCAACACATTGAGTTAAGCGAACCGCTTCTGACTTACTCCAGCTTCAATATATAATGTACCAAGAACATACACCAATAGGAAGCTTACCAGCCAACCCATATGCTTTGTAGCATGCACACACTTCATAAGAGGCTATGCAATAACATTTCTACCGCCAATTGGCCACTCTAGTTATGCTTAAACCAATTTCCATTACATCTTCTATTACTAAAGAATAATTCCATGACCTATTATCCAAAAGACAACACTGAAGACTAAAGCTGGCTCATTCTTGGTCGATTTCCAACTATACTAGTCACAAGATGAATATAGACCTATTGCCAACATAGTTCCAGTTACATCAAGTCTACTATGTGTCAAAGCTTCAATTCAACAGACAATCAGATTACCAACATTCAACCCAATTTCATCTCCGTAAAATCTATCCTAACGTTTAACATTTCTTTCTCGATTCTTCAGGGCATTTCCAAAATCACAAATATCACACGCATCAAAATAGTCAGAAAACGCTGACGAACAAAACGAGTTTGTAAAAGTGCTCACAAATGGCAAAACCCCTATCAAAAGAGCAATTTGACAAAGATCGCATAAATTAAAACAAAATAGAACTCTACCAGCAAGTAATTCGTAGAACCAATTCATCAAAATGACAGAGACAGAATCAAGTTAAAACTCCATATTGATATATTGCGGGCACTAAAAAAAGAGCGTTGCAGAAATATCACAAAAGTAGATATACCACGCAATCCTGGCAAAACAGTGAGTAATAATAATCTTCCTACCATAATTTAGTTAAAGGGGCTTCGAACAAAATCGTAGCCCGCGATTAAAAATAGACAAATAATTTACTCAGCGGCGGCCACCGGTTCTTCAGGGTTTGCAGCCGTCTCGGCCTCGGCAACAGCCTTTTCAGCGGCGGCGATAACTTCGGGCGGTGGCTCAGTTTTGGCAGCAGCGTCGTCAACGTCGTCAGGGTCGACGGCGGGGTCAGACTTGTCCATGGCCTTGCGAGTCTTCTCAAGCCAGGGTTTGAAAGCAAGCTCAATGGCGGCCCATCCAAAAGCTAGGGCGGCGACCACCACCGCCGCAGTTTTTCCCGGGTTCGATTTCCCCATTGAAAATTCTTGACCGCAGGCAAACGAACGACTAGGAAAAAAAAGAAGAAAAAAAAAGAGATAGGGTAGCTCTGTGGTGGACTCTGTCTACTGTTCTTTAGCTTTGAGGGATTAGGAATTTGAGGACGGCGGCTTTCAATTTCATTTTAATATAGTTTTGGAAGTTAATGAATTCCTTTATTCATGGGGAGCATTTGGCAAATCAGAGCCGTAGATTGGCATTTTCGTTTTGGCCTTTTGGGCCCAAAAATGAACTTTATTTTCTTTTATTTTGTAAAGGGAATTGATATTTATTTACTCAGAATGTGAAGACAGATTTCTCCAATTATGCCCACCACAAATGTCGTTATACATATCATCTTTCCTTTGTGTCAAGATTGTCCAAATAATAAGAAATATGATAGGTTTATCAACTTATATCTCGCCAAATGTCCATAATCAAAACTATTATAACTTGTTATTTTATGAGTTATAGATTTTCCAGGAAACCTATGAAATGCATCAACACTTTGTCCATTCATTGTTTTGAAGGTAACTTATTATTTCCTTAATCATTTGGGTTGCGTGTAAGAAACATTGTGTTGAATTAAAAGTTGGACAAATCCCCATTTTGGTCCCTAATGTTTGGGGATAGTCCCGACCGAATCACCATTAATTTTTCTTCACCTAAATTAGTTCCCAAAAAGTTTATTTTTGCCCATTTTTGGGGGTTAAAGATCAATGGGATCTACAGTTATTAAGAAAATTATAAAATATATAACTATTGATGGGATGATGGAGTTTTCCGTTAAATTCTTCTAAATTCCGTTAAAAAGATGAAAATGGGCAAAAAAAAACTTTTTGGGGACTAATTTAGGTGAAGGAAAATTAATGATAATTCTGTCGGACTATCCCCAAACATTAGGTACCAAAACGGGAATTTGGTCCTTAAAAGTTTAATGAGGTCAAAGTTGCAATTGAGAATTGAGTGTGTTTGTCTGTTTGACAATATTGCCAAAGTCTTTTGAAGTTCATTCTTTAATTTGTTAAGTGATATGCCAATTCTCAAATTGGCCAAAACTATTTCTAATCCCCGTTAAATTTCCAAAAAATATAACTTGCTCCTAATCTTCGTTCCACTCTACCACTCCAACAAAATAATCGCCTGTTTGTCTGAATAATTCATTAATTAGCATCTATACTTACCCTAACTCTCGCTAAGGGTTAGCCCTTGAGCACTTGTCTAATACATCAATCAACCCCCACTTTACTTCCTAATGAACAGCAGCGTAGTCTTCTCTGTCAGTAACTTCATTCATTTTCCTCGGATGCGTACACAGGTTTCAGCTCAATCTTGCCTAGCAATTACAAGTTGATTATCACCAGTTCACAATTTCCCGTTCAAGGCCCCAATGTTTAAGATAATCCAGAGCCTTTGCTCTAGACTAATTTCATTGGACAAGAACCACAGTATGAGGTGCTACACTGTAGGAGGCAAGGAGATATACTTGGGGAACGCCTGCAATAAAGAATGGTTATGGGAACACAAAGCCAGCAAGCACCTAACTCATGCTCAGGGGAGAAGGAAATCTATATGCAAGAATATCAAACAATCACAAACTCAATCACCATTCCCGGCCAAAGCATGGTTAGATGGAATCAAAGCCACTGCAAGACATATGATTGAACAAGGATGCACACACAAGTAACAACATTTCAGGAGCTTAGCAACAGCCAAGAGAAACTGAACTAAATCATATCACTCTTACTGTCGAGAAGTTAACTAACGAATATGCAGGAGTACAAAATAAGTAGAATCTATAGTTTTGACAGAATCCAAATCATAACATGTTTTACAAGGTCTCAAAGAGTTTAGTCCACCTAATTGACACCTCTTGCGCACCGAAGTCCCAAAAATTGAAACTGGTACTGATCTAGCGTCCTCGGCCCCTGCCACGGCCACGGCCACGTCCACGCCCTCGTCCCAAAGGCCTTCCTGCAGAGGCAGAAGCGTAACGAAAATTAGGACTGGGGAAGGAAAAGAAAGGTATGGGAGAATGGAATATAAGGTTAAACCTTCACGAAATCAAGTTAATAACTCAATACCTGTGGTTGGCTTTTTAGGCTTCACCCTAGGTGTTTCTTCCACCAGCAAGGTCTCGAGATTCAAGCTGTCTGGGAGGATGTAGTAGCGAATATTATTACCCCTGACACTCAGATGATCCAATGTGACTGGATTCTTTCCCTTTATGGTGAGCTTCACAGTTTTCAGGTGTGTATTCATGCTGATGTCCACACCTGAGATAAAACCAACCATGTATTATCAAGCAACAGAACGGCGCCATCTACAACTACATCACATGTATTCTAAATGCAAAAAATAAAAATATATAACTTAAGAAAGAAGATAGTGTACTTTGACACCTTTTACTAATACTGTACAGATCAGAGCTAAGGCAGGCATTGATAACCAGAAAGTTAAAAACATTGAGCATTCAGACGTAAAACCATGGGACCACATCCCTTAATAAAGCATGCAGGTCATTTCACCCTAAAGCAGACAGCATTGTAGCCGTATTGGAGCAATTCGACTGAATAAACAGATCAGAATTCAGAACAAAACAAGTTATTACCTCAGTTCTAGTGCTCAATTTCAACATATGAACAATCTACATCCTAGCTAGCCTTGAATTCTAATGATTCAACGCATTCTTATAAAACCACAAAAAAGAGTGAGGGATTGAAAACAAAGCTGAGCTACAACAGGATCTTGTTGAACATCAAGAATGCAAACTCTTCAAACGAAAACAAAAACGAAGGATTCACCCTAAAGTATTCTTTTCCTAGCCATTGCCACTTGTGATTTACAGGCTCTGAAACACTTTTTTAATGTTTGCTTTCTACGTACAGATACATGACAATTAACAACATTAATAAAGTTTCAGAACATAATTCAACAAGGCCAAAACATAAAAACAACACACGTTGAAAACAAGTCATGGAACTTACAAGCTTGGCAGTCTAGGTCTAACATTTCCCAAAGTATAGCCTAAAGAGAGCATTTATTGCCAGCAAATTGACGAGCTAGGTTTCACTAATGTAAGCCCCACAACCAAAGCGGCGAAAAACAAATAAAATTTGCTCAGACAAGCAGGACAATTGATTGTGTGCAGAGAGGTGTGAGTTCCTAAGAACTTCGTTCTAGCGGGTCATTTCTCACCATAGCAACATGATATATAGGATAAATATAAGGCCAAAACTGACATTGTGTAAGATATGACAATAACAGAACAAACACACAACAGAAGGGGCAAAATTACCAGCCAAAAAGAGGAAAAAAAGAAAAGAAAAAGTTATCTTATGTAGGAGAATTAACTTCACGCACGTACAAATTAAAGCAGTGAATAAAATCATAACCTTCGACAAACATAACATATTTCCGGCGGCGGAAACATCAAATTACGAACGAAAAAAATTAGGGCAATCTCAATGCTACGGTCGCGAACTAACCTGTGATGGTGCCGTGAACAACTGTGCCATTTTTCAGCTCAATCGACACAGTCTCGTTGTTGAGTTTCATCAGAAACCTAATCACATAAACAGTTAATTAGAACAAGAATTACGATAAGAAAAAATAAAGAAAAATCGAAAAACACTTCGACGGCTACGAAGGGAAGCGGCGTAGCCGGGATGTAGAAAACCAAGAGCAGATTAAAGGGATAATTACCTGACGAGCTTCATCGTTGCAGAAGAAACTAGAAAAAGGGATTTGAGTACTCGATCTGGGGGGAGGGGCAGAAACTGAAGGTAAGGCCGGGCTAAGGGTTTTAGGAAGAGAGTGAGACGGTGGGGGTTAAAAGGCTTAAAGCAATTGACTCTGCTGTCAGCGACGTCGTATTTTAAGAATTTTCCCTCTTTTCCATTTTGTATCTTTCAGCGTCTTTTGGACCAGGCCCATCTGTTTCACGAACGCATGAGAAGGTAGCCAGTTGGTCTTAGGTTTTAATAATCCTATGGATAGAATTAGGAGTCCAAAGGCCCAAACGATATATAGGGCCTGAGCTCGAAAGTCACTCTGCTTTTCGCCGAAAATAAACCATTTTGAATTTTTTTTTTGTGTTATGTTTTGAGTTTGGTAAAGGTAGTGTCTCTAAAAGTTATTACCATCTCTTTTCAAAAAATAATCCAAATTGAGTTTAGTGATTTATATGGGCTATTTTTCTAGAAAAGAAGAAATGTTTCACGATTTCTAATTGAAAAGAAAAAGGACGAGAAGAACTGAAGAAGTTGTTGACAATTATTAAGAGGAAAAGCGATTGATGGAGATGGACTGGGACTAAGACTAATATAGATAAACATGAATTGACGACAGAGGAACATGAATATTGTTGTGTGCCATTGTCAAAATCAACATTACAAATGTTGCTACATTGCATATTGGCCTAATTACCTGAATCAAATATTGCCACCGGTAGCAATTATCCTCTTTCTCTTTTTGGGAGGGCTCATCGTTATTTTCCTTTTGAACTTCTTAGAATTGGCGTCACCCACTAGTAACAGTTGTATTCATTAGGAACACTTCAATATATTCAGATTTGCCTCTCTTATTCCCAAAAAGTATATACATTACATTGTATTCATAATAAAATGGAAACGAGGAAGTATGCAATACATTCATTTTTTTAATAGTTAATAATAATACAATAATAATAACAAAAACCAAATAACTATGAAGAAATTCTTATTACTTGAGGAAACATTACAAGAATTGAAAACAGAGCTGAGACGTCCGGCCCACATTTATTCAAAAAAGAAGGCACCCCTCCTTTATTTGATTCCACAATATTTCACAGGCTTCAGGCAACTGATGTGAAGTTGAAGTTGGCGCATGTAGTTCTGGAACCAAGAAGGGAAGAACTGAATCCCAACCTTGAAGTCGCCAAATCAAACTGCAAAAGATTATCTTCCAATTGATGCCCACCAATAACAATTGAGGTCCTGGGATTAGATCCACCATCAACAAATCCCAGGCACAAAACGTTATCATTCACATACACCATCGAATTCGAACCAAAAATGCTCCAAACCACGTTCGAATTCTGCAAAACCAGGTCGATTTGTGGTACTGCAGGTCCCAATCTCGTGCTCGCAACATTCTGGGAGCTGAAACACACCTCAAACGGAGCCACCCCTGCAACTCTGCTGATGTTCCGCGCTGCAGACTCTGTTATGAAAGCTTCAGTAACAGCCTTGAAGATGGAGGATTCCAATACAGTGTAGGGATTCACAGTACTAATCTTTGTTCCTCCCACACCGTTGCTGTCAAAGGACAACAATGTAGTGTTTAATGACACGGGCTTATTATTGACCCTGATTGATTTGACTCCAATGAAGTATTCGTCTGACTTTTCTCCCTGGCTGAAAACTCCGGCCGTACTGACCGGATTGATTAAGAGCCGAGTGTAAGTCAAAGAAGAAGATGCATCAATGTTTGGAAGCAAATTGTAAGGTCCATCTCCGAAGAAGAGTACTCCAGGGGAATTGGTTGAACCCGACAGGCAAATTGCGAATTTCCTGTGGAAACTAAAAGCAGAGGCCAATTGGGATGGCAGGGCAATCCGATTCCGGGCTAATCCGGCCATTCCGACTGTACCGCTGGCGAGGCCTTGTAGTAGAAAAGTCGGGCCACAAGCGAAGATGAACTGAGGAACGGTGACGGGCCTACCCGGGTTTGACCCGTCGGTTGATGTTAAAATCAGGACATCCTGAGCTACTTCGCCGCTGGTGGAGGTTCTAATGATGGGATTTTCGGGGAATACGCCGCAGACGTTTGTATTGCACCCTGGCTTGGGCGCGTCGGTGCAGTTCCCGCATGAGTCACTTCCGGCGAGGGAGCACTGGGAAGTGCGGCACCTCACCGGGCGGTAAGTTGAGGAGACGTAATTGTTGTCGCAATCGACCCACAAGAATCGACCTCCGAGATCGAGGACAACGTTGATGGAAACAGTGGGAGTTCTTTGGCTAACTTTGGTCACGTATTGGAGCGTGGCAGCATCCTTTTGGACCGGAAGCACAAGTGCGCGAGGTCGGAATGAGGTTTGAGCATCAATGCTCAGATTCAAAGAACAGAAACATAGGAAAATGGAAAGGGTGATTACTGAAAGTGCGGAAGCCATCTTCAAGTTTTTTATGTAAAGGGTTTAGATTTGGTATATCTGGTGAGGGGCAAGTGCTATTTATAGGTTGTTTTTTGGCAAATGTGCATGGGGGATGGCGGTAAAATTTGTGATGCTGTCGGTGGGCTGGTTGATCGACGACCAAGTGCTGGAGAATTAGGACCCGTTCCTAAATTTCACAAAAAAATAATGATTAAAATAATTGTTGAGAGAGATTTGTCTCTAACAAAATATATATCTAACTCGAATTCAAATTAGTTTGGAGCAATAATTTTATATATCGGTATCTAATATTAATATACCAAAAAATCATGTCATGTCGTAGCTAAATCCTTTAGGGTAACTAAACCACAAAATATAATAATTGTAATGTCAATTACCAAATCTTTCACTTTCAGCTAATTTGGATAATTCCGGAATGATACTCAGCTTACGTGCGTATATAGAAGTGCTTTTCAATGTTGAGGCAAACTCGATCGGATATGGTACGGTAGTTTTCACTACTAGGGTTGAAATTCCCATTTAATTTGATTATTTGTGTTTTCGGGACTTTTGCACTTCCGTCAACGAATATACTGTATCAGAATAATAAAGGTGAAATGTGTAAGCGTTCGTGCTTGCATGATTATTAATCATAAAATTTCAGGTTACACCGCTTTTTATCACATTCTGTTTCTTTCTTTCTTTTTTCACAATGAGAGTATTGGTCATGTGATTGTGATCATTTGGAGACATTTTCATGATGTGTTTCGAAAAAATTATTGCTGCATAATTTGAGTTTGACTAAAGATCATCTCCGACTTTGAATTTTCTCTGCTTGATTGGTTAGTTTAGTTTGGGGACACGCAACATATTTAGACTAGTCAACTCTTTACTTCTTGTATCAGAAATTCTCCTCGATCAAGATAAGCATTTAATTGTGACGCAGACATATAATCTCGAAGAACACAGTTCAGCTTATCACTAAATCCTGATCCTTTAATTAATTAATTTTTTACTCTATTGGACACCTCGTAATGTAATTACTAAAGCATGGGTAAGCTGGGGTAAATCTCGTATGACAAATAAACACTTAATCCATCTGGTAAAAATACTTCATTAAATAACTGGTATAAGAGTTTGAATTCGCGAATTAGTATGAAAAATTGATTATTATTGTTCTAGTTTGGATTAGTCAGATCGAACATCAAGTGTATTTTAAAAGTGGGAAAAGGTCGCCATTGTAAGTGTTGCTTCGAGCTTTGAAGTTTTCATTTTGTCAATGACGTTCCATCGAACGCGTTATCCAGTCATGTCCCCATGAGTTCATAATTGATTGATAAAGGATATTCTATCGATTTTATATTAATTATTATTCAATTTAGATTTTCTTTTTAAATGTAATAATTTGAATAAAAATTAAAATTAAACAATTATTTTAGAATGAAGTACATACTATTTAACATTGAAAACTTGGATTAGTTGCTTTACTAAAGTAAATCACTTGGACTAGGTTAAGTTCGTTCGTATTTATCTTTTTTGCATGTGGGGATTTCATTGTTTGTTGTTCATTCATTTTAGTGACAAATGATCAAAATCTATCGAAGTCCATGGTTGTACCTCAAAACACTCCTTCCGAAACCTAACGAATTTGGATTACAATCACTAAAATCACCGCATACATTAATGGGTCAAGAAAATAACCGTTGAATAACATCACGAGCTACAAAATAATATTGTGGACTAACATTCATCACATGTCAAATCTGCTCTAAATCACCAGATACATCAATGGGTTAAGAAAATAACCGTTAGATAACATCACGGATTGCATAATAATATTACGAACTAACATTCATCACAAGTCAAGTCCGTTTTAATACTATATAGAAATTCATCAGGTTTCACCTCAAAATCAATTGAAAATGAAAGGAGTAACCTGCAGAACTTATATATTGATACAAAATATCTCATGATACTGATATGGGACAAAGGGACTTCAACGAAATCTTGATGAGGATTATTTTGAACTGGATCCAACTTGGTAACCAAAATTTTCTCTGAAAAAGTAAAACAAAGATAAGACCAAACAATAACCTAGCACCAGTTTAACACCTGTACGGCTTTACGTCCTTCTCATTGTTTCTTGTTGGTTCTTAATTTCACGAGAAAAAAAAGGGTTAAGCCCCAAAGTATTGAATGTGGATGATGGTCTTTTGAATTAACACGTGCAGACGTACGATCGATAAAAAGTTGGATAATGAAATTTGTTCTATTTTTATTTTTGGATTATTATTTTCAAAATATGTAAGTATTTTGGACTCCTATCTCAAAACCAATTATAGCATAACAAGCCCACGAGTCAACGCTCAAGTGGATTAATAGAAAATCACCACAGCCACCTCCGACACAAAACTCCACCATAAACCAACCGCTCTGATACCATGTCAAGGTATATAAGTATTTTGGGCTTCCATTTCAAAACCAATTGATAATGAGTGTGGCAGCCTTTAACACTTATATATAAAATCACTTCTCTTCACAGCGATGTGAGACAAAATAATACACCTTAACAATTATATTTGTTAATGATCGATACAATTCGCAATCTCCTTGATAAAACTGTTATGAGATTTTACGAAACTTCACCATTATAACTTCCACAGTTGCTTCAATACTATTGTGAAGAACCGTTGATATCATTTTAGAACATGACACGGCATGTTGTACTTAAGCTTGCGACCATTCCTAAAGTAAATAAGAAGATAAAAAAAAAGTTCGCATAAATCTTATCCAGACTTATTAAAGAGTACAATGAATTTTTAAAAATAATCCGTTCAACATTAAACTTGCGAGATCACATATAAATGCCTGGCAAAAATAGTAGAAAAATAAATGCCGTTGAATTTCCTTGTCTGCTTGACATGATTTTATCTATATTAAAATACTTTCCTGTTCTCAGAAAGATAATCCACATCGAAATTTGATATTTGTATTGTTATATTAAAAACAATACAAATCTCAACACATAATATGAACTATTGTTTTGGAGGAAAAAAGAGTGATAGTATAGTATGTCAAACTTTTCATGCATCGTCATGCAATGGAGCGGCAGGTATATACACAACAACGTATACGAAAAGTTGGAATTGAGAAACAGTTCCTTGCTTAGTTAATCCTTCAAATGCTACCTTGCATTTATCTTAATTTATTACTTATATCATTGTTATCTAATTCCCTTTGTTATCTCTTTGAGGAAGTCAAATACTTCTGCACCTAAAAATTGATTAATACTATTACTTCATTGGTATGAACATTTGAAAGACAGCGTATTTTGGTCAAATCAAATTTGCTTCCCAGCTAGTTAAACTTGTACTAATCCGAATCCCAACCTTTTTTTTTTCAAATAAATTTTTATGATTCACGATTTATTAGTTGACTGAATTTGATTTTTTCCCCCTTTTCTTTTTTCCCCTTTTCCTAGCAAAAGGAGATTACGTAATTCGTGACTGTTCCCTCAAACGAAAAAGCGTCACTCATGACACTGGTGATCGACTCATAATCTCGTAGTACAAATACTACTATTTACTATTTAATGTCACTTTTGACTTCTTATGTTAATTTGTTACTCCTTGATTCTTCTGTTCTAATAAAATAGTTTGTGTTAAATTTCGAAATGTGTATTTGTCCATCTTGAGTTTTAAAATTTGTTCCGAAATTATTACTTGTATAAATTTTAGAACTGATATGTACTATTTTTTAAGGTAAAGGGAATAATATTTTTAGACTATAAAAGTAAATTGGAAAAAATGAAACGTATTCCTAACATGCCTAACATTTTGAAGAAGTTTGAAGAGGCAATTGCTAATATAAGCCTAGTTTTTATGGGCATGAAGCCTTTAAGAACTCAACCCTTAAATCTACAAGTCATCGATCCATTTCCTTTTTCGGCTTGCCGCTGACACAATTTTATCCAATAATGAATGCATAATGAGCTTGGTTGCCTGGTAGGACAAAGGTTCTGGGCTTGAAAATCCCATCATCTAAAACACAAAAGTATATATATTTTTAATCGTGGTACAATAAGGAAAAAAGAAAATGACAAGAAATTCTTTTAAATTTAGAAAAATTATAATTATTACGTGATACTCTCTCTGTCCCAAAATAAATTATTGTCCAGTTTCGATTTTCAATTTTAGTTGAATTCATGATAAAACTGAAAATCTAAATGGGACTATAATTTGTGGACAGACAATGCATGGGTTTTTCATAGGCATATTTCTTGAAGAGTCCAGGACAAGAGAGGGCGAAAATCCCCAGTGATAAATTTAGGAGATGACGGAGGAAAACCCGATCATCATCCCCAAAAACCCGGGTGTTCGCTTCCGGTTACCCTCATAAGCCGGAGAGGTTTTTTTAACTTTTATCATCCTTGGTTTTCAAGAAAAGCCCACACAACTACTTTGATTGTCATTATTCACCTCCCATGCATGCATAGACCCAACCACATTGCATCATCTGCCAGTTATTATCTTCTTGGATAACACTGGAAAATTTGATCATTCTCACTTCCTTTAAATGTAATCCTAGTCGGTCACCGCTTTTTGCAGGCAAAAAAATTTGTTAACTTTCTTGTATTGAAAAAGTGGGAAAGAAAAGAAAAAAAAAAAAAACAAATTATGGCAGCTTTCATTACCTTGTTCCTTTTCTTTGTTCAATTCCTCTGTTTTCAACTTTCATTTTCAGGGGTTTTATCCCCGGTGAAGCATGATCATATCACTCGTCGATTCGAGCTGACAGTTCACATGAAATCCCCACTCCAGCCCACAAATTTACTTCTCGATCTGAGTGCTCCCCTTAGCTGGATCGATTGCACCGCAAATGACACCTCAATCCCCTGCAATTCCCTCCTCTGCAACACCCTCACCACCACAACTTCATGTTCCGACGGCTGTTCCCGCCCGGCGGCCGGTCCTTCCTGCGCCAACGCCTCATGTCACGTCATCTTAGCGAGCCCGAGGCGCCGGAGAGGCGTAATGGTGAAAGCGTTAGTCGAAAAGCTCGGGTTACCCGCAACCGATGGCCGCAACCCGGGTCAAATCAGGGTAATCCCTGAATTCGTGTTGTCCTGCTCTAAGCGGTCTGCGGTCAGGGGAATAGTTCCCAAACGAGTCACCGGTTTAGCAGCTCTCGGCCGGTCAAATTTCTCCCTTCCGGCGCAGTTCGGCGCCGGCTCCGGCTCTCCTAACGTGTTTGCACTCTGCCTATCCAGTTCGCCTTCGGCTCCCGGAGTTGCATTTTTCGGGTCACCCGGACCGTACAATTTTTTCCCGGAAGGAGACCTTTCTCGACATCTAAATTACACTCCTCTTCTTCCTAATCCGAGAAACCCCACACACAAACCATCTACCGAGTACTTTATCGGGTTGAATTCTATTAAAGTCAATGGGAAGACAGTAGTACAACTGAATCGGAGCCGGGCGGGTTTTGGTGTGGCCAAATTCAGTTTAGGAGCCCCGTATACTGTGGTAGAGTCTTCAATTTACAAGCTTTTGACCGAGGCTTTTGTAAACGAAACTAATGCCCTGAAATTCACCGTGACGGAGCCGGTGAAACCATTTACCGTGTGTTATGATGAGGCTGATGTTTGGCATACGAAAACCGGCCCGGCGGCTCCGGTCATTGATTTGGTCACGCATGGTGAGGAGAAGCTTTGGAGGATTTTCGGACACAATTCGATGGTGAGAATTCCGAGGAGTAGAGAAGGGTTGGAGTTGTGGTGTTTGGGTTTTGTGGATGGTGGGGTCAAACCGCGGTGGCCGGTGGTGATCGGGTGGCATCAGATGGTGGATAATTTACTGCAGTTTGATCTGGAATCTGAGAGGCTAGGATTTACTTCTTCGGTTATGGTCCACAACACAATGTGTGCCAATTTCAACTTTACTGTCAATAGTGGCTTGACTCAAAGCTTAGTGAAGTAGTGATGTTAATGTGTGCGTTAGCTAGATTGTTGCAGCAACTAGTAGTAACTGTGTTTTTTCTCTACCAAGGAAAGCAAACTGTGAAATGAGGTTATCATTACGTTAAACTAAGTTTTAGTTAAACCCCTATATTGCTAAATTTGCCAAAGATGAGGAAATAATAAATGTGATCGAATTGTCCGCTCAAATTCGAATTAGTCCTGTCCTGGCTGGTATAATGTTGTACCAAAAGGTTTGTTTATCTCTTGCATAGACCACTGGAAGGAACTCTATAATGAATGCAACGGTGATACCAAAAGGTTTGTCCTGGCTGGCTGATATTTTCTTTGCAGGTGACTAAGATCAATATTTCAAATCAGAGTTGGTGAATTCCACTTCATTGGAAATTATTATATTATAGTACTCCACTGAGCAAGATACATGGATGAAATTATTATATTATAGTGCTCCACTGAGCAAGATACATGGATGGAGGTAAGACTATTGAAGAAACAAGATTAGTTTCCTGAACACAGAGTACTGTCAGTACTTAAATAAATAAATGACACATGGAGTATTCTTGTATTGTTATGCATGGTATCCGATGAACTGTTAGATTCAAAGTTACCGCGTTCTTTCTAGTGGAAAAGTCAAAAGACTGCAGCCATGAACTAAAATAATGCTAATTATATCCTTTAGGAAACACTAGGAAATAATTGTAACTCATGTTTATACGGAGTGTAATTTTGTAACGGATTTTTTTGGGTTCATCAGCGGTGACGAATCCAATAGGTCTATCTAGAGTAATTGAATTTACCATCTCTAAAGATGTGTGAATGGTGAAATCATGATATTGTAGAAGTATCATATTAGGAACGTATTGTTGCCTAGTTGGCATGTTTAACATATCTTTCCTATTTACCGAAAAAATAATGCTAATTAAACTCTCTTAAAGAATGCAACCATGATGTAATTAAAATAATGCCAATCATTTCTCTTCATCCCAGTACTATTCAATTAAAAAGCTTCCGCATGCACCTCTATAAATGATGAGGTTTCGACTCAATTGACCAAGTGAAAGCTGCCATCATCAGACATTCACAATGCAAGCCCCTGGAGTGAATTGTTCCATTTCATTCATCTTCATCATTCTCTTGATCCTCTTCTGTTGTTTCTCAGCAGAGGGAAATCAACCCCTGTTTTCACTCATCCGCAAGGACAATGCCACCAAATTATACTCTGTTTCAATGTACTTAGGAAACCCTTACGAACGCAGAGATTTACACCTTGATCTCGGCGCCAGCCTGAGTTGGTTCGACTGCGACCACGGCTTCAACTCATCCTCTTATGTTCACGTTCTGTACAATTCCACTCTTTGCCACATGCTCCATTATGGAGTTCACGGCAACTGTTTCAAGAAACGCGGACCCGCGTGCTTCAACAATTCTTGCGAATTCTATTCTGAGAATTCAGTGACCCAGAAAGCCGCCGTTGGAGATTTACTCGTTGACACATTTTGGTTAAACGCAACCGATGTTGGGAACCCCGGAATCGTCGACCTGGGAGGGATCATCGACTTCACATTCTCTTGCGGTACCACCAAGTTACTGACCGGATTAGCTACCGGAGTCACCGGCTTAGCCGCCCTTGGAAGGTTCAATTTTTCGATACCGGCTGATATGAGCCGGGCTTTCTCTTCACCATGGGTGTTTGCCATCTGCTTGCCGAGTTCTCCCTCCGGCGACGGCGCCGCCGTCTTTAATTCATACGGGCCGTACATCTTGTCGCCAGCTGGAATAGACGTTTCAAAATCAATGATCTACACTCCACTTCTGTTGAATCCAATCGGCGGCACCGTGAGAACTTACCCCAATAGACCGTCGGATGAGTATTTCATCGGAGTGACCGGAGTCAGAGTCAACGGGAAATCGGTGCCGGTGAATAAGACCCTTTTAGAGATCAACAAAAGAACTGGGTTTGGAGGAACCAAGATTACAACTTCTACTCCTTACGCAGTCTTGCAGACATCCATCTTCAAGGCCTTGACGGCGGCGTTCAAGGAGGCGGCTTCTGTTATGAAGCTTAAGCCGATATCTCCTGTCGGGCCATTCAGTTTGTGTTATGCAGCGGATAAAATACCCAGAACGCGGGTCGGGCCGGCGGTTCCCACCATTGATCTGGTGCTGCAGAGCAACAGCGTATTCTGGAGAATCTTTGAGGCCAATTCCATGGTCAATGTCGGCGAGCATGCAATGTGTCTTGGGTTTTTGGATGGTGGGGTGGAACCCAGAACTTCAATTGTGATCGGAGGACTTCAGATTGAAGATAATCTGCTCCAGTTTGACTTGGTTTCTAAGAGGCTTGGATTTACCAATTCACTTCTGTCCCGCAACACTACTTGTTCCAATTTGAATTTCGCAGCTCTCAGATGATTTAATCATCTGTTGAATTATGATGCGACCGCGGTGCCAATATGCCTTCGTATTTGTTGTGCCTTCAATAAGTTTGAAATTGATTAAGTTTTGTTTTGGCATGAAACTTTCATTGTTAGACAACTAGTGACGGAACCAGACCCGATTATTCGTAAGGTCGAATTTTTTTTCTTAAAAATATATAAAAATTTTAAGGTATTTTTTTAAAAAAATTTGCCGATCGCAGGGTCGACGGACCCCCTTTGCTCCCCTTAGGTCCGTCATGAGACAATACAATGAAATACATGATTCTTTCTTTTGCCTTTTTATAAACAATGAAATTCAGGATTCTGCTCTAAGGCTTTAATGGGTAATAAGTCGCCCGATTAATTCAAATTCGAGCTAGCTAATCATTATCCATTTTGAGTGGCGATAGGTAAAGGGAAAAATTACAAGGAAAACTTACAAGGAATGATGTGTTATTCATTAAAACTATCTCCTAACCTTAAATGCTTAAACCCCGAATATGAAATTTTAAGAATGAATGACAATGATCAATTGCTTGTCATTTTTCTTTGTCACAATTTCCTTGCACTAATCATACATTATCTATTTTGATATAAGCTACTAGTGAACCCTGCATTTCAGCCAATACGGATATTGTGGAAATTGAAACAAAATTGCATCATTTGAAGTGGTCACTAACGCTTTTTTGCCACAGAGTACTAAAGCTTGTTCATTCTGTATGGGCTTCATGGTGGTCGACAACCACTCGACTGACTGGACACTACTGATGAGAAATACAACGGGTTTAACATTTGTATTTAACATACCCTTCAAAAAAAAAGAAATATATTTTGTATTTAACACAACGTTTCCCCGAGCCATACGTTTTATATTTATAATAAGAAAAAGAAAGAGAGAGAGAAGAATTAACATAATTTAACAAGAAGTTGTGACAGCTGAGTTCAACATACAAAAAGGCGCACGAAAATCAACATAAGGTAACAAGTCCTGCCTTAGTTCGGAAAATGTGGGTGCAGCACACAACCACAAGATCAAACTCGAGATTTGACCTCTTGAGCTTCAGCAGCTCTAGCTGGTGCCAGAGAGTGATTGAGACATGGTAACAGGTGCAAAATAGAACCTCAAGTGACCAATCGAATCAGTAGTAGTGTAATCCACAACAACACCCTTACCGTACCCAACCTTAGGTTCAACATTTTGGATTTAGGTTTTGCGGATTGGGCGTCGGGGAAGCTTCTACTGGACCCTAATTATGGCAAATGCGTATTCGCCTCTTTTTCTTTAATAGTATGTATTTCGAATCTTCCAAAGATCCCATCGTGAATGTCCAAAAGCGTCATAGGTTGAGGTATTCTCAATTCAAATAATTTACAACATCCACTCTTCATCGACTTATATCCTTAGTTCAGAATAGAGAAAGGCGAACATCACTTTCCTCATAAAACAAAACAAACAGTTTTTTTTTTTTTTGGGAGCAAAATATATACATCGCCCATCTCTTTAAATTAATTTGTTCAAGTGTTCAACTCTGAGAGATTATCATCTCATAATTTCACGCAACCAAAACAAAACTCGTACTAGTACCTGGAAATTTTTCGTACCTCACTTACCTAGTAGTGAAAGTGTTAAGATCATCAATCCCTGATTGGTACGTTCATAACCAAGCAAATGGCATTAAATTGTTACATTTCTGGGTTCATTTACCTTCTTCGTTGTCTTTGTTCAATTTTAAATTTTCAATGTTTTCAACTCTCATTTTCAGCTGTTTTAGTCCCGTTGAAGCATATCCCAACTCTAGCCCACAAATTTATTTCTTGGCCTAAGTGCTCCCCTGAGCTGGGTCGCCGCGAATCAATGACTATTTTCAGCTCAGATAATTCAAATCGGTGTGCATTTTGCAGTTGACTAAAATCTCTATTTCAGATTAGAGCTGGAGAATTCCACTTCCATGGACTCAGATAAGATAAGATTATTCAAGAAGCAAGATCACAATTAATACTGTTACTACTGAGATAAATAATGCTCTGGTTTCCGCGTTCTTTCTAGATCATTAAACAACAGCGACTCCTGCAAAACTAAAATATTGTTAATCTCAGGTTTAATTTGGAAGAAACCCAAAATCCGTCATTTATCCCAAACCCCAAGCAATTAAACACATTGGAGGATACCTCCAGTCCCAGTTGAGACCATCCTCAGATATGCCATTTTTTACCTTTATAATCAAACTCATAATTCCGCATCCCACCATTCACCTCTATAAATCAGTAAACCTCTCAGAAACCGGACATATCGAATCCATGAAGATTATGGGAGGAACCATCTTTACCGTGCTCTTCATCTTCTTCATCACCTGTTTCTCTGCAGAGGGTCAGAAACCTCTGCTTTCGCCAATCCATAAGGACAATGCCACCAAATTGTACTCCATTTCAGCCTACTTAGAAACACCACTTCAACGCAGAGATTTACACTTAGATCTTGGTGCATCCCTGACTTGGGTCGACTGCACCCGGCGTTATAAGTCCTCCACTTACCGCCATGTCCTTTATAATGCCTCTCTGTGTATAGAGCTTGACACCGGGATTTATGGCAACTGTTTCAAGAAACCCGGCCCTGCCTGTTTCAATGATTCCTGCGAATTCTTCCCGGAGAATTCAGTCACTCGGCAGGTTGCGATTGGAGATATTCTCCTGGACTCACTTGCCTTACCAACAACAAACGGAAAGAACCCTGGAAAACTTCTCCTGGATCTGGACTTTGTTTTCTCCTGCGGTACAACCAAGCTGCTTAGAGGCCTAGCTACTGGAGTCACTGGCTTAGCCGCACTTGGCCGGTTCAATTTCTCTCTTCCGGCTCAGCTCAGCCGGACCTTCTCTTCACCTTTCGTTTTTGCGATTTGCTTGCCAAGCACACCCTCTGCCAATGGCGTTGCGATTTTCAATTCCTTTGGGCCGTACTTCTTGTTGCCCGGAATTGACGTTTCCCAATCGTTAATCTACACTCCGCTTCTCCTGAATCCGTACGGAGGCACGGTGATTACCTACGTTAATAGACCGTCGGATGAGTATTTCATCGGAGTGACCGGAATCAAAGTCAACGGGAAATCCGTTTCGGTGAATATGACCCTTTTAGAAATCGATCAAGAATCTGGAATCGGTGGGACCAAAATTACAACTTCCACTCCGTACGGAATCTTGCAGACGTCCATCTTCAAGGCCTTGACCGCAGCTTTTAAAGAGGCCGCCGCTGCGATGAAGGTTACGCCGGCATCGCCGGTGGCACCTTTTAGTTTGTGTTATGCGGCGGATAAAATACCCAGTACACGCGTTGGGCCGGCGGTTCCGACCATTGATCTGGTCCTACAGAGCGAGAGCGTGTTTTGGAGGATTTTCGGGGCAAATTCCATGGTCAACGTCGGCGGAAATACTCTGTGTCTTGGGTTTTTGGATGGTGGGGTGGAACCCAGAACTTCAATTGTGATAGGAGGACTTCAGATTGAGGATAATCTGCTCCAATTTGACTTGGTTTCCAAGAGGCTCGGATTTAGTTCTTCCCTTCTGTTTCGTAGCACAACTTGTTCCAACTTTAATTTCACCAACACCGGTTAATCTACCGTGAACGAATATAACATGGTCTTTCTTTATTAATGGCCCTATGTAATGTTGGTCCATTATTGTTGATTCAGTCATGAATAAAACTATGGTTTTCAGGAAAAACTCTCTTCTATTCGTCCCGGTTAACCACCAATTAAACATTCCCAAAAGGCCTCCTTTGCTCATATTCTAGGATCTGGGACAAATCTAAAAATCATACATGAACATTCAACCAAAAAATCACATTCACTTGTGATACACTCATAATCAACTTTTTTTAAAGGCGAATCAACTTTTCTTCTTATAATAGAAGAAGATGATCAATTGACTGTCCTTTTCCGCCTTGCTCTCGTCGGAACACTAAAGACCGGCCAAAAATGGAACTTCTGCAAAGAGAATTCCAGACAATTGGTTTCAAAGGAAACTTCTTCCTTGGCTCGATTGACTATCGACATATCCTGATCTGTTTTGACTTAAAAGAAGATTTTCAACGCTGCAAGCTTAAAGGTCTATGGACTTTTGACACCCATCGAATGAGAGTCCTAAAGTGGACCACTGACTTCAATCCGGTACACGAAAGCTCTATTGCACCGGTTTGGATCTCCTTCGAAAACCTTCCGATTCACCGATTCAACAAGGCATACTTGTGGAAATTAGCTAGTATCATTGGAATTCCTCTTCAATTGACGTCCCAACCCGCAACATGTCACGACCTTCTGACAAGCCGTCGTCACACTAGTCAAATATTAATTACCTACTCAATACAATTACTAGTAGTAAAGTAGCAAGCAGAGTCGATCCCACAGAGAAGGATATCAAGTACCAGGTTAAAATTATTTCTTATTATTATTTAGATTAACAATTTATCAATTTTAAACTATTCTAAACCTAAAACTAACAATTGTAATTATTTAAGGATATAAATAAGTAACAGAAAAACCTAGGGCAAATGATTCACCAACCGACTATTCAGTTTAACTCAACCTATAGATATGTGACTTTGGACTTTCATTAATCTCACAACGATTTACCTATTTAAGAACTATTCACTGTCGTGATATATTTCTCTTACTCAAACTAACCCTATGACTACTATCGTGACTATAGGATTTAATTAGAGTACATTAAGAACCTTAGAATCTATAGCTGCAAAGACGATATTCCTACTTTCGTGGCCCATTATCTAAGTTTAATATTCCCATGAACTAATGTTAACCTTCAACCATCGTTCATTCAGTTAAACACCTTTTAAGCATCCAAGTGGTGATCAAATACTCACATGGAATAAAAACAAGAATATTAAATATCAACTAATGAAAAAGTCACAATCATGAATTAAATTAAATTAAATAGTACGGCGGCTACATCCAAAATCCTAGATTAAATAATCTAGCTACACATCATCTCAAGATAAAAATAAATAAAAACAAAAAAACCCGGAACAAAAGATCAAATTAAATGCTGCCCGGCTTCCTCCGATGATGCGTGAAGTTGGTGTTGATGGGGTGATGGAGGCGTGGAGGTGGAGAAGGGCTTGGAGGGAGTTTTGTGTGCGTTTGAGTGATAAGGGCTGATTTCTGGTGTTGTGTGGGCTTGTAGATGGTGATGGCTGGTGTCGCGTGGGCTGGGCAAGGAGGAGAAATGTGGAGTGCGGCCGGGGAGGGGGGGGTTTGGTTTTTTTGGTGAAGGGTTTTTTTGGCGTGGGGTTGATGAGGAAGGTGGCTCCGGCGGAGGAGGAGTTTGGGCGTGGGAAGGGTTGGTGATTTAAGGTTAAGTCTTCTCCAAAAATAAAATCCTAGTCCTCTTTTTATAGGCTTTTCTCAAACCCTATTTCTTTAGGAATAAGAAAGTTATTTTTTTTCCAAGCCAATTTAAATTAAAACTCCTCCAACTCTTCAAGTGCTTCAGTTTCATCCTTGAGTTGCTTTTTCTCTTCAATTTAGTCCAAAATCTCAACAATTCTTCAATTTTGGTACAAAACCTAGAAATAAAGATAAAATCATATAAATAGCATATTTGTACTCAAAATATATTGTAAAAATCATAAATTAGAGATATAATAAATAGGTAAAATATAAGCATATCAAATACCCCCAAACTTGAATTATTGTTTGTCCTCAAGCATGCCCAAAAATTAAAACAAACAAAAAACATTTAGTTATTTCATTTAGCGGCCTCAGAGATTTAGCATCATATAACACAAAGACTTCAACTACCTCTAGTATGGAATACCTAACAATGCAAACCATATGCACTTTTAGCCCACACGCTTGTGTGTATGTGTGATCCGTTTCTCAAGGACATCACTTTACATTTAACATAGACAAAAGCTCTACTGCAAATATGCCATTACTTTAAAAACATACTCATATTTCATACCATATTTCAATGCAATGGACCACCAGACATGCTATGAAGTAGAAGGACTTATCTCACAGACAATCTATTCCCCCTCGTAACCCAGTCTTCGGTCCATGCGGCTTTTCTTCAGGACTCTTTCCGACTCAGGCCACTACCCAGAGCATTTTTCCACTCCTATATATAGTGGCTCAGCAACTTAGTGCAGTCTACATCTATTTTTCCTCATCGGACCTGAGGACTCTCCGCTCAGGTTGCCAATTCCTCACCTCTCAATGGGCTAGCATCAACATTGAATGCTCTTCCTTTTCTCCCTCATTAAATTAACCTAACCTCAGAAGCATCCGCCAACACCCCTCCCCAAACTTACTTAACACAAAGTGTCAAAGCAATAAGGTTTTTTAAGGCTGATATTAGGTTAATGCCTTGCTTTTCCTTCACAACATGATGGGTTCCACATACAAATCATAGAAGTATGAGTGAATCAAACACAAATTTTTATGGCATATCTACATTAAACTCATGCAACTATGTCTCAATTTAGGCTTATCCCACAGTCACGGCTAAGTGCATAAAAAGCAGGGTATTCAAAGTAACATATAGAAATACATAAACTAAGCAGTACAATTCAAAATAACCTAATTCTTACATGCTATAGATAATTAAACCATCTTCATCATAGGCCTTTTTGGATTTTTCAATTTTTTTTTTCATTTTTTGGGTTTTTTTTAATGAAAAAAAACACAAAACACACCAAACATAAAACACAAATTCCTCTCCCCCACACTTAAAGTATACATTGCTCTCAATGTATAAAACACAAAAGACAAGCAACCAAGTGAAAAGAAAAGAAAAGACAAATTAAAAAAATGAAAAGAAATGACACAACCTTGAGAATGTGAAGCGGAAAATGAAAATTGTTGAAGTTGAAGAATAAAGAGATCTGTTGCATAACCATCCAAGCATTTTCCGTCACCATTTATTCTAGAGAGTAGCTGCCACGCATAAACAAAAACAAAAGTAAATTTTATCAGGTAGATGATTAAGAAAAACCACGAAAATTTAGAAATCAAAGATTTCCAAATAATCAGAAACAAAAAAAACTCAACCATCACTTATTCATGAAAAATAAAATAAAATAAAGTAAAATAAAATGTTGGGCTGCCTCCCAATAAGCGCTATTTTAAAGTCTTTAACCGGACTCCATGGCCAATCAGTTAGAGTACCCATCTCGATACCAGAAGAAACCATGTTCAGCAGCAACAATGAATCTCTTGTAGTAGTTCTTCTTTCCATGAGAAAATATAAACTTATACGCTAAGACCACTATATCCTCTTTCTCAAATTCAATCTTGTACCATTGATCCTCTTCTTGGTCTTTCATTGAACTATTTTTCACATCATCCTCAAAATCTCTTATACTAGGGACAACCTCACTACATGTGTCTACTTCAAACCCTCCTTTTGAAACTATAGGAATGTTATTCTCATCAAAATCAACTTAATCCACATTTTTGTCACCAACTCTCAGAATGAGCGAATCATGCTTAACTACTATGTATATACCAGAAGAATCATGAGAACTTGGAATATCTGGACTGTTAATCTCTTTGGTCTCTTCTAATTCTTCACATTCAGGGTCAGTTTGAGATGGTGGCTGGGGAGACTGGACCAATGAATCATCTTCAGAAATCTTCTCATTCTTATTCAATTTAAGCAAATTTCCTATAGGATCATATTCCGGCAACCCCACACTCAACCTATATTGATTGACCTCTTTGATAAGTTGTTGGCCTTTTTCACTTTGTAATTCTCGAAGAGCTACCTCTCTAACACTAAGTTGAGGTTGAGCAGGGGGCTGCTGATACGAAGATGCTAACTCTCTCAAAGTGGGTTGACAAGGTGATGACTTTAAGGCTGCTAGCTCTCTCAGAATAGGTTGACGAGCTGCTAACTCTCTTAGAGTAGATTGACGAGGTGCTAACTCTCTTAGAGTGGGTTGAGGAGGTGGTGGTTGATATACTGATGCATTTGAGTGGTAACAATCCCCTTGAGAGAAATATGAAGCATTTTTCTTCTCAATGTCATCCAGCAATTTATCATTTCTCTCCAAACATGACAACATCTTAGGACTCATATACGCACTCTCAAAACCAGAATTATACCCAGCATCAAATGAATACCCTTGATAATCACAACCATAATAAGGATCAATAGAGCAAATGTTCCAAGAGTACGGATCTTCTTGATATGTGGGATAGTCTCCATATTCAGAATTATAACTATAATACGGAGTCTCTGCATATCCATAGTTAAAATTATCCATAATAGCTCAAATATCCTACAAAAATATTGACACAAGAAAGAAAAGAGAATAAAAATAAAAATAAAAATAAAAATAATAAATTAATAAAACAAAGGAAACTATATACAAATCTAAATTAATAAAAGAAATAATCTAGTTTTGATATTGGTTATGCCTTCCCCGACAATGGCGCCAAATTTGACAAGTCGTCGTCACACTAGTCAAATATTAATTACCTACTCAATACAATTACTAGTAGTAAAGTAGCAAGCAGGGTCGATCCCAAAGAGAAGGATATCAAGTACCAGGTTAAAATTATTTCTTATTATTATTTAGATTAACAATTTATCAATTTTAAACTATTCTAAACCTAAAACTAATAATTGCAATTATTTAAGGATATAAATAAGTAAAAGAAAAACCTAGGGCAAATGGTTCACCAACCGACTATTCAGTTTAACTCAACCTATAGATATGTGACTTTGGACTTTCATTAATCTCACAACGATTCACCTATTTAAGAACTATTCACTGTCGTGATATATTTCTCTTACTCAAACTAACCCTATGACTACTATCGTGACTATAGGATTTAATTAGAGTACATTAAGAACCCTAGAATCTATAGCTGCAAAGACGGTGTTCCTACTTTCGTGGCTCATTATCTAAGTTTAATATTCTCATGAACTAATGTTAACCTTTAACCGTCGTTCCTTCAGTTAAACACCTTTTAAGCATGCAAGTGGTGATCAAATACTCAAATGAAATAAAAACAAGAATATTAAATATCAACTAATGAAAAAGTCACAATCATGAATTAAATTAAATTAAATAGTACGACGGCTACATCCAAAACCCTAGATTAAATAATCTAGCGACACATCATCTCAAGATAAAAATAAATAAAAACAAAAGAACCCGGAACGAAAGATCAAATTAAATGATGCTCGGCTTCCTCCGATGATGCGTGAAGTTGGTGTTGATGGGGTGATGGAGGCGTGGCGGTGGAGAAGGGTTTGGAGGGAGTTTTGTGTGCGTTGGAGTGATAAGGGCTGATTTCTGGTGTTGCGTGGGCTGGGCAAGGAGGAGAAAGGTGGAGTGCAGCCGGGGTGGGGGGTTTGGTTTTTTTGGCGTGGGATTGATGAGGAAGGTGGCTCCGGTGGAGGAGGAGTTTGGGCATGGGAAGGGTTGGTGATTTAAGGTTAAGTTTCTTCCAAAAATAAAATCCTATCCTCTTTTTATAGGATTTCTCAAACCCTATTTATTCAGGAATAAGAAAGTTATTTTTTTTCTAAGCCAATTTAAATTAAAACTCCTCCTACTCTTCAAGTGCTTCAATTTCTTCCTTGAGTTGCTTTTTCTCTTCAATTTAGTCCAAAATCTCAACAATTCTTCCAATTGAGTACAAAACCTACAAATAAATATAAAATCATATAAATAGCATATTTGTACTCAAAATATATTGCAAAAATCATAAATTAGGGATATAATAAATACGTAAAATATAAGCATATCACCTTCTATGACACGAGTCTGTGTAGAGTTGGATCTTCTCAAGGAACATCTTATTCGAATCAGGCTAGGAGTTGAAGGGGTTACTTACTTTCAATCAATCTTCTATGAGAATATGCCTCAATATTGTGTTGATTGCAAGAAAATTGGCGGTGATCAGAATCCGTCGATGTCAGTCATTGCCGCCGGAGAACTCCCCCATTCAAATGTTGCACAACCAGTCTCAGCCGACAAGATAGACACCACTGAACACGCCATCAGGTTGGAACAAGTCTCTTCGCTGTTAGAATATCAGGCCATTGCTCAAAATCAAGCCATTGTCGCAACCCAAACCGTAGCTGCAACTGAAACCCTAGTTATTGATCTGCCAATTATTGATCCACCTCCGAAGTTGCAAGAAACTGCCGTCGCACAACAAGCCTCTGCAAACAAGAGAGTCATCGATGACATTGCTGCTGCCACTGAACACACCGCACTCTCTTTGCTGATAGAGCACGAGACCACCGCTGCAAGCCAAGCCCTTGTCGCAACCCAAACCCCTGCTACGATAGAAGCCCAATCTGTTGGAAGAGATGCGGTTGATCTTCAGCCTCTCCTGAAGCCGCTGCTGTGATGGAGAAACGCCAATTATCGATCACAACCCCCAGTAGTGGTGAAAAAGCACTGCCACTGGAAAAAATGAAAAATCGGCATGACTCATTGGTGGAAACTCCATCTCCTTCACAGCCGCTGTCAACGCCACCGGATTCCGTGAGTTTTGCATCTTTCGCGCAATTAACACCCGCGGATCCGGCTTCTTCAATTTTGAAAGATGATAAGTTCAAATCACATGCTGTTGAGCTGCTATCCATTTCTTCAAATAAGGAAGGAATATCCTCCTCAAATATCTCAATTAACAGCTCTTCTCAAAAGTTAAATCCGGGTGCTCTAGAATTTAACTGTCCCCCTTAGTTAAATATCCCAAGTTTATAAGTTTTACTTCCTATTTCAGCCCCACAATAATTCTTATCCAAAGATGATACCGAGGTAAGAAATGATACAGAGTCTTTTGCCACAAATTACTCAATCGAGGACATCAATTCTGAAGGAGATCATAATCGTGCTTTTAATGATTGAGAAGGTGAAGAATTTGACACGGAACGAGAATTGGAACGAGAGTCTTTCTACAGAGAAGTTTCTGCTCCAACATATCACAATCATTCAAAAAAAGTCAAGGCTAAAAAGAAAGTTCAAGTTCGTCGGTCTGCTACATTGAACAAGGATTCGACTTTACTTTAAGATCAAAATTGTATTTGATATAGGGTTTAGTATATTCGCTGCCCTATTTTTTCTTTATTATTAATAAAATTATTTTTTTATTAAAAAAAAAACTATGGTTTTCAGATTGCTTTGCGTTTGTAGCTTTCATCAGTCAGATTGGCCAGCAAAGTGATTCTAATCTAAGCTATTACATTTCGATTTTCATTTTTATTTTTTTTTTGGTAGATGATTTTTATTTTTATTTTTATTATTTTCACTGGAGGAGGCCTAAAATAACAACTATTTATCGGAATTGAGCTCAATAGTAACAACACTACCCTTGTACTGTATTATAAAGACAAGGGACCTATGCTAACAGATCGAGGAGTTTTCAGTCCTGATTTTGTGCTAACACCTCAACATAATGCTACGACATCTGAACAATCAAAAATTAATCGAGCTAGCCACTTGATCATTCCAATCGATTTTATTCAGCTAACATACTGAACAGAACTCGGGAATGCAACAAAACCGAATTTTCTTACAATCAAGTTGTTTAAGTGCTGATTTTACTTTTCTTTTTTTTAAAAAAAAATAAAATAAAATTTTTTAGGATTGTATTTAACTCCATCTAAACCTATGACCTACGTGTGATTGATAAACACTAGTACTAGTTTAGATTAGTGCGAAACTCCACTAGTCAGTACAAAATACTCTCTTTATCATAAAATGATTATTTTAGATTAGATTTTCATTTTTAATACTATTTGAATTAAAAATGAAAATTTGAATTTGTGAATCATTTTGGTGGAAGAGAGTATAATGGTTTCTTTTTCCTTTTCTTTTCGTTTTTATGTCTACTAGTGTGTGTCCCACGCTTTGCGCGACTTTGTCAATGTTGAAAATTTATATTTCAAAAGAATTGATTAGATAATGTAGTTACAAATATACCGTCATTATTTTCTTAAAAAAATGTAGTTACTAATATTTCTTAAAACTGTAATATTTTTTTGATTAATCATTTTTAGATCAAAATGAGAGGTATTAATATTATTTATGAGAGGTATATTTGTAAGACCTGGTAAAAAATATTACAACAAAGATTTTCAAAACTTGTATAATAAAAATTGTCATTACTAACTAATGTTATGTTTGGTTTAAAAAATATATTTAAAAAATGCGTAAATTATGTCTAGATGCATATGGCCTATTTTTATAGGCAAGTGGACTTTGGGAATTAGATGTAGTTCTAATAAAATATGAGACACAACTAATCGTCCTTGAAAATGTAAAATCGATAAACTTGAAAACTAAATAGCACACAAAGGAACTTTAAGGGCCAAAATGACAATAGGTTGAAAGTTTAAACTCGTAAATGAAAAGACTTTTGAAGTTGAGAGTTTCTCAGCAATTTTCAAAAATATTCATTTTCAAGCTCACAATCAGGAATTTGTAATATCTTTAAAAATCTTATATACTCCCTCCGTCCCACAAAAATAATCCAGTTTGAAATTGTACAACTTTTTTAATTTGGTCAACACACCAAATGTACAACTCATTTCATTCCCCTAACTTCCACTAATGCCCCTTCTAGTTATTTCTATAAAATTTAACTACATATGCATTTATTTTACAACTTAAATTTGATCAAAATTTTTATCTCAAAAAATATTGACAATGGATTTTGATGGAAAGATCTCGTTACGTAGATTAATTTGACATATAACACATTTTTTAATTATTCATGTATTAAAAGATATAGTCATTTGATAAAAAAAGAGAAAAGTAAAAAAAATGAAAATCAAAGGAAGTGCACCTTGTTTTTCATACCACTACTATTTTGAATATTTAAGTCATTTCAATTCAATGTATTTTGACTTTTGTTAAACTGGACTATTTTTTTTAGACAAGATTTTTTTATTAAATTGGATTATTTTTATGGGATAGAGAGAGTATAAATAATTTATTAACTGTTTACAAAAAATTTTAATTAATTAATAATCAACCAATTAGCAAATGACACATATTAATTGAGACTTGATGGTCTCAATGAGCTATACGTGTCAATTATCTTTTTGTCCTTTAATATATATAATGATTCTTAAATCGATTCAAATGTTGCTCCGATATTTCATTCATTCACCTTTACCATCCTTATGAGCTTCCTCTCTGTTCTGCCTAACCTTTGCAAATGGACATCACCCTTGTTTTCACCCATTCACAATGATAACGTCACTAAATTCTTCTCCTTGCAAGCTTATATAGGGAAGTAGGAACCCTCTTCACAAATCAAAAAATAAAAAATAAAAAAGAAAAAGAGAGAGGGTTACCGACTACCGTACCATTCCATGATGTTGGACGTGGATGAAGTTAAACAAGCAAGGAGCACCATGATTTTGTTCTTCTTAGTTAGGGTTTGGGTCACCAACACAATGAACCGACGCCCCTCACCCCAAAACTTATAGAGTTAGCACCTTATAGAGTTCTTCTTAGTTAGGGTTCTTCTTAGTATGTATTTTCTGTGCTTTACATACTGAAATTTAACTCTTTTACTCTTTTACTCGTTTTGTTTATAAATACACAAATTGTTTCGACTTACCCACAACTGACCGGAGAAACTCCGGCAAAACACTGGCCCTGGTTTCTAATTTCGAGCTCACTTGTGCTAGGAGTTTTAGAACCTATTTGCTGACCGGACTTGCTACAGAGGTCACCGGTTTAGCCGCTTTTCTTTCTCTCTTTTTTGCTTTTTGTTATTCTTTTTTTTAACCATATATTTTGATTTATTAAGCCACTACTGTGTTTAGCTAATGCAGATATTGTGGAAATGAAACAAAATTGCATCATTTTAAGCGGCGGTCCAGGACTCAATTCAGTTAAGGTTTTTTTGCAAAGGACAGAAAACTAACGCTTGTTCAGTATTTCCAAAAAAAAAAAAAAATTTAAAATAATTCATAGTTCATGTTAGAAAAAAAGAAAAAGAAATTTTATCAATTTTGTTTGTGCTTCAAAACGACAAAGACAATGACTCAAGCCACCAATTATGACGCGTGCAAGAGGTATTATCCTCTCAAATCATCATCATTCATGCCCTTTACTTCATCCTTTCCTAGGACCAACATACAGATCATGAAAGCAACTTCTCATTGACTTATATCATTAATAGTTCAGATTAGAGAAAGGAAAACACTTCACATTCCACAAAAAAAACAAATCAAAAAGTCAATTTTTTTTTTTTTAATAAAAAAATTTAATAGTACATACCACATTCTTAGTTACGTTACTTAATTCTAAACTTTGATTCTCCTCTCAGGTTCAAATCTCGGTTCTGAGGTTTCCGCGTTCTTCAACAGAAGACTTGCCGCAAATGCGAACTAAATTCCACTGAATTCCTAGTACAACAACCTATCCCAGTTAAGACCATCCTCAGATAGCCATTGTTCTTCAACTTGATGTTTTATAATGTTACAAACTTGAAAGATTATCAGCTCATAACTCTTCAATGCAGCTATAGATTTCGTGTAACTGAAACTGGTGAGTACCAATCTTAATGTTCTCACTCAAAATCATGGAAATTCTTGCGGTGAAAAATGGGTTCATTTCACACTCTTTGACCATCCTGCTCCTCATCTGCTTCTGTATCTTTTCTGCAGCTCCCTCTGCTATGGCAGAGCAGCCTCTGTTTTCACCCATCCACAAGGATAACTCAACTAAGCTTTTCTCCATGCAAGCTTTCCTACAAACTCCACTTCGACTCAAAAACTTATTCTTAGACCTCGGCGCCACCTACACTTGGTTCGACTGCTCCAACTACACATCTTCCACCTACCAGAACATACATTATGATACCACTGTTTGCCTACAGCTTGATACCCTGATTTCGGGAAACTGTTTCGAGCCGCCGAGCCCCACCTGTTTTAACGATTCCTGCGAATGCTTCCCGGAGAATTCAGTGACCCGTCAGGTCGATATTGGGGATATACTTCTTGATACACTTGCTTTACCCAAAACTGATGGTAAGAACCCTGGAAAACTGGCCCTGATTCCTGAATTCGAGTTTAGTTGTGCTAAACCCAAGCTGCTCGCCGGTTTGCCTGCCGGAGTCAACGGTTTAGCCGCCCTGGGAAGATTCAATTTCTCTTTCCCAGCTCAGATTAGCAAAGCATTCTCTTCACCTTTCGTTTTTGCAATTTGTGCGCCGAGTACACCGTCAGCCAACGGCGTCGCCGTCTTCAATTCCTTCGGGCCATATTTCTTCTTACCTGGAATTGACGTTTCAAAATTACTAACATATACTCCGCTCCTCTTGAAGCCGTTTGGCGACACTGTCATAGGTTATAATAGGCCGTCGGACGAGTATTTCGTCGGAGTTACGGGGATCAGAGTCAACGGGAAACCAATCCCGATAAATCAGACCCTTCTCGGAATCAATCAAACTACCGGATTAGGGGGGACCAAGATTAGCACCTCCACGCCGTATACAATGTTGCAGACATCCATTTTCAAGACTTTCACGGCGGCGTTCAAGGCGGCGGCGAATGCTCTTCATCTCAAGTACGCAGCGCCGAGGAAGCCATTCAATCAGTGTTATATAGCAGATAAAACACCCACAACGCGCCTCGGACCGGATGTTCCGACCGTTGATCTCCTGTTGGAGGGTAACGTTGTGTGGAGTATATTCGGCGCGAATTCGATGGTCAAAGTCGGGCAGAACAGGTGGTGTCTTGGGTTTGTGGATGGTGGGTTGAATCCGCATACGCCAATCGTGATCGGAGGACTTCAGCTCGAAGATAATCTGCTCCAGTTTGATCTGGTTTCCAAGAGGCTTGGATTCAGCAATACTCTTCTGTCACGCAGCACCACTTGTTCCAATTTCAATTTCACCACAACAAACTAATTATATCAAATGTGGTGAAATTTGTGTACTCCCTCCGTCCCATAATTATTGTCCAGTTTGAATTTTTATTTCTAGTTCAAATTGTACTAAAAGTGAAATCCTAAACTGGACAATAATTTTGGGACGGAGGGAATATTTGCTTTTGTTTTGGTTATCATTCTAATTTACTCGCGTGGTAGTGAAATAAACTATGTTCTGTTCTGCTTTTAAGCAAAGTTCTGGAAACTTTATAATGCTGCTAGTTTAGCAAAAAAATTTCAGTATCGGTTTGGTTAATGAACAATTTGCAAACTGATGATGATTGTCGGGATTGATCCCTAGCTCATTTTTAAAATACACGGGTAGATTCGGAGGAAAAATTGGGGAAAGTCGGTTAAATTTTCCGGCAATATAAATAAGGAGAGCTGCGCACCTAATCTCAAGGAAACATAACAGCATTTTGTCTTTGTCCCCTCCTCAGCATTTTGTTTATACTGTGTTGGGAGCTAAACAAACTTGTTTCTGGTTTTTTCTTGTAGGCGCAAAGGCTTTGGAGGTGTTGCCGCTGGAAGAGCCAGCCTGCGCTCCGAGTATGCTCCCTTATCCTATACGCATTTAATTCTCTTTTATTGTGTCGAGTGCTATATTTCAAGTCAAATTTCTGAAAGCAAACTATTTAATGGTTTTTGTAGTAAGCGCAAACGCGGTATGTCTGTAACCGAAGCTGCAAACTTGGCCAAGAAGGCTCCATGCTATGCTGCAGATAGTGCTCCGATGCATGGGGATGTTGTTACTGGTATGTTTTCCGATGTCCTGGCTGTTGTCTTTCTTGCTTGTTAGTCTGTTTCTCCATTTATATCCCTGATGTGTGCTTTTCCCTTTTTGTCAAGTTTACTACCTAGGAAGTGAAGGTTGCAAGAAGCTGCTTGAGGATGATATGGAAGCATGGCTACAGGAGAACACCAAAGGCTCAAGGAGGAGGTTCGAGGTTATAGGACCAGGATGGTGATGCAGTAGTTTTTAGCCTTTTGGTGGGTGCCTGTGTGGGAGTTGTACCCGAGATTATTAATCAGTAGGAGATACTCCATCAGTTCCAAAATTATTGTCCATTTTATCAAAAAAAATTTATCCCAAAATTATTGCCCGATTTAACTTTTTATGAGTTAAGTTACACATATACCCTTTAATCAAGAACAATGATTTATCTGCAACTTTTCCTCCTTGATATTTCCCATTGCACAAAATACTATACAAATGACCTACACATAAAATAAAGGCTAAACTCTGACGGCCAAGCGGTGGTGAGATGAGGTTCCCTGATTATCGCAAAAAAAATATACAGAAGAAATTCCAACATAGGAAACCGCAAATCTTGTCTAGATCAAAATCGCAATCGATCAAGTCAAAGGACATCCCGGGAAAACAGAATAATCAGAAGGATGGGCGTCAAATTGAGGTTCACAGTATGAAGTTTCTCCAAAATAATCAGATCAAATTGAAGTTCACAGTATGAAGTTTCTCAAAATTCGAGTGAATTCATTGAAAATTTAGATCTATAAAGCACAAGTGATAGCTTTACCGGTGGAAGCTCTATTCGATCTCTGCTGGCGAGAAGCTTTTCGAAGAAATAAAAAAAAAAATTATCTTGATTGAACTGCAGAGTAAAAAGATTCTCCAAACTCAAAGTTACTCAATTGAAATTTGGTTTAGTTATAGTTAGGTGCCTTACTGAAGACATATGGATATATTGTTGTGACGTTGTGAAATTGATGATGACTTTGAATTGGGGGAGCTAGAGTGAACGGAGTATAGAAAGTTCTTTTGGTGCGCCGGTGTAACCAATTATGCAGGGGTACATTTGGAAATTTGTGTCAATATTTGGTTGAATTTGACCAAAAATAAAATCTTGAATCTTAGCAAAACTGGGCAATAATTTTGGGACGGAGGAAGAGTGTTTTATCTTTGGGCCCTCTATCTTGTATACTTAACATTTGAAGAAGGAATTTGAATTGTAGTTGATACTTGTGATAATGTATTCTCCGTTATGTTTCGTTCGAGAAAAGAATTGGATTTTCCTCTGGTTTTTCCCTTGGGATGTTGAATTTGACGTTCTACGCACAATCTTCTGATTGGGCCTCTTGCTTGAGTTTTTTGTACTTAGCAGAGTGGTAATTTACTTGATTTGTGCATCATCAATCCTCTTTCCTGCCATGTTCTGGAAACTTTATGATGCTACTAGTTCAAGACAAAACTTCCGCTATCGGTTTGGTTAATGAAAACCAGGGACGATTTTGCTAACTGATGATGATTATAATTTGATCCCTAGCTTAATTTTAATGCACATGTACAGTCTAAAGATATGACTCTACTGTCAAATCTAACACGATGTAGATAGCCAAGTGAGTCGGATATTAATAAAAATAGAACTGTAATATATTATAGTGCAATAAACTAAGTGATAGCCAGCTTACAACTACGCATGATGAATAGACTTGACCCCATTGGTGATGCAGACAGTACGTTCCAATCAAATAATTCTACAAGGAATCTAAATTTACAGATAATGAAAGCCACAAGTAATTCACATTGACCAATATTTCCACTTAGAAACATGAAGTCAACTAATGCGAGGGAAAAAAATCTCTATCAAATCTCTCCGTAGTTTGTGTCATTCTGATCCCATACGTTTTGAGGTTTCCGCGTTCTTGTACACAGAGATAGGTGGAATGCGAGCTGAATTTGCAGTGAATTCCACTCTTGAAAGATACCCAATTCATCATTTCTCCGAGAACGGCACCCACCCCAGTAAAACAATCCTCAGATACCCATTGTTCTTCATCTTATTTTATTCATTTCGTAACTTAGAATGCAACTAGAAATTGGTGAACGTGATAAATATTCCTGATATTGCACACTCATAAGTAAGCAACCACATGGCAATAAAGTGCTTTATTTCATCCACTTACACCATTTCCCTCATCTTCCTGTTCTGTTTCTCCCCAGCTCCCTCTGTAAAGGGACAACAACCCTTGTTTTCACCCATTCACAAGGACAACTCAACTAAATTGTACTCCATTCAAGCTTACTTTGGAACCCCTCTTCAACTCAGAAACTTATTCTTAGACCTCGGCGCCAAATACAATTGGCTAGACTGCACTGGCTACCAATCATCCACTTATCAGCACGTTTTGTATAATGCCACTCTTTGCGATGAGCTCGATACCAGGGTTACCGGAAACTGTACTTCAGATATACCCGGCCCTGATTGTTCGTACGATGCCTGCGAATTGTTCCCTGAAAATTCTGTGACTCGCAAGGTCGGTGACGGAGAAATCCTTACCGACACACTTGCTTTACCCACGACCAATGGCAGGAACCCGGGCAACCTTGCTCTGGATTCCAGCTTCGCGTTTGGTTGCACTAATACCCAGTTACTCAGCGGTCTGCCTTCAATCGTCACCGGAGTAGCTGCCCTGGGAAGATTCAACTTCTCTTTCCCGGGTCAGGTTAGCAGGGCATTCTCTTCACCTTTTGTGTTTGCAATTTGTGCGCCGAGTACAACCTCAGCCAATGGTGTCGCCATCTATAATTCCTTCGGGCCATATTTATTCTTACCTGGAATTGACCTTTCAAAATCACTTTCTTATACTCCACTCCTCTTGAACCCGATTGACACTACCATCATAACTTACGTTAGGCCGTCGAATGAGTACTTCATCGGATTGACGGGGATCAGAGTCAACGGGAAACCAATCCCGATAAATCAGACACTGCTCACCATCAATCAAACTACCGGATTCGGAGGGACCAAGATTAGTACCTCCACACCGTATACAGTCTTGGAGACATCCATTTTCAAGACTTTTACGACGGCATTCAAGGAGGCGGCAGATGCTCTCAATCTAACGTATGCAGCGCCGCGAAAACCATTCAACCAGTGTTATAGAACAGATACGACCCCCACAACGCGCCTGGGACCGGCTGTTCCGACAATTGATCTCCTGTTGGAGGATAATGTTGTGTGGAGTATATTCGGCGCGAATTCGATGGTGAAGTACGGAGAAAGTAGGTGGTGTCTTGGGTTTGTGGATGGTGGGTTGAATCCGCATACGCCAATCGTGATCGGAGGACTTCAGATCGAAGATAATCTGCTCCAATTTGACTTGGTTTCCAAAAGGCTTGGATTCAGCAATTCTCTTCTGTCCCGCAGCACAAACTGTTCCAATTTTAATTTCACCACTAGCAATTGATTTAATATGATGAAAATGTGTTTGTCCTTTGTTTGGCTTTTGTTCAACTGATGAATAAACTATTTTTTACTTTACTCTCTTCATGATCAATGATTAAAGAATTCAAGGAAATTCGCAAACAATTGATTATATTCTGATCAACAACTTAAATGACATGGTAATATGGTATGATTCTAAGCCAAAGTGAAGTATGTTCAAGTCAAAGTTGTTTCTTGACATGAGCCAAATTCTCCAAATCGAAGATGGCAACTTTCTGTACTGGTTACATGATATTTTTGCTTATTGTAATACAGTCAAACCAAAATTGAGCCCTCTGAAACAATAACTGCTTGTCCACGTAGAAATACTCTTTGATTATTGGTGTCCAAATGGATATCAATTACACCACCTCTGGCTGATGCCTGAGTTAAGAGAAAAGCAGTCCTAATTGGTAAATAGATCACTAATTTGTAATTCCTAACTTCTTTATATAATAACTTCCCCAAAATTGCAACTTTTTTTTTTAAAATAAAAAATTCAAGCTGAAACCTGAAGAGATATCAACGATCTCTGTGTATTTGTGTCCCGGGAAGAGAGCAGAAAATCAATTACCTGATATGCAACAAAATCAATTTTCCCAAGCTTCTTGCTCCAATAGGGTGCTATGGCACAATGAGCACTCCCGCATACAGGATCCTGAAATTACATAAACAAATCACTGAAAATGGGATTATGAACTCTCTATTCCATTACCACAACACCACATGATAAAGGTCAGTTTGCTCAAATGAGTGCAAAAGCACTTTTACTTCTCATACATTATTATCACAGTTCACGGCAATATTTAATCTATCAAAATTCACAGAGCATTTAAAGCAAGCTACATACGCTTGATTCTATTATCAATAAGCCACACATATACACAATCGTCCATCAAATTTACCTCGTTAACCCCGAATTTCGGGCAAAAGAATCGACTGTAGAAGTCAAATCCTGATTCAGATGGTGCTGGTCCTGTAATAATTATCCCTCTGCCTGGGCATCTTTTGACCTCATCAAACTCTGGTTGTATTTCTGCAACTACTTTGGCTGATGGGAGCACAACCTTCCCAAAACCAGTTGTTTAATTACATTTTCACCATTATAATTAATATCAACCATGAATTGACCAATAAGTACATGATTGATAAATCTTACAAAGAGGTCTTCTGCAGTGGTGGTCTTCTGAACCTCGACTATAGAAGCACCATTCAGACTTTTGGAGATTTGAGAGACATCCGCAGAATGACACTCCGCAATGTGGACTACAGGAAAATCTAATTCAATAAAGTAGTCATCTTGGTCATCGCCATGGCCATTGCTAGTATTGTTAAGGTCATTTACAGCACCCGAAGTTACGGATTTCAATAATTTCTTGGCAGTCAAAACCCCCGAATGTGACGAAAACTCAATGATATCGGATTTTACAAGACCATAACTAAACAGAAAGTGAGAGGCTGCTAGAGTTGCATGTCCACACAGTTGAACCTGCCAAAAACAGAATAGAAACCACAATTGCACTTTCTATTACATTCATGACAAAGAGAGGAAAAAAACACACACACACACACACACAACAAAACAGCAGAATGAATTGGGTTCATTTTCTTGTCCAATTTGTTTGAGTGGGTGACTGACCTCAGCTACAGGGGTGAACCAACGGATTGCAAATCTCGGGGAAGTTGACTCAGAAGACTCCGAAATCGGGGTGAGGTAAGCAGTAGTGGGGATATTGAACTCGGTGGCGACGGATTGGAGCCATCTATCATCTTTGACATCCTCCAACAAACAAACAACTGCCGGGTTTCCCTTGAAGGCCTCTCCGGTGAAGGCATCCACCTGTATGGATTATTGCGGTAAAAACTATGACTTTGCTCAATAGAAAGTTAGAATCAACGATTCACGTGGCTGCTTAATTGAAACGTGAATTGAAGTGAATTTATTGGAAGAAGGAATGGCATGGCTAGCATACCACACAGAATCTAGTGGAGTTTTTGGACATTGGAAAAGCGACTAACTTCCGATAGTTCCTTGACTCACCGCCGGCGGACGGCACCGGACTAATACCTGGAATTGTTTTAGTTGGAAATGTTTTTGTTGACTTGCCTGGGAAAACTGAAAAGAGAAGTAAAGTTAGCCAAATCATAGATAGTAACGAATTTTATTAATTACCTCAATCATTGTCCTATCTTCTTGGCTTCTCGTACTTTGCCCAGTTTGCCCTTCGCCCCACTTTTGTCCAAATGAAGCAGTTTATTTCCCGAAGTATTCATTTTGGATTTGAACTCTATGTTCAGCTGTGTTTTTTTTTTTTTTTTTTTTGGTAGCAATGATGAGGAATTCAGTTTGGGAAATTTTACGGCCGGAAATCACTTTTAAATTCCTTCGAGGGGAGAGAAAATGAGAGCAATAAAAGTCAATGAATGTACTAGTTTGGCTGAGACCTTTTGGAACTGTTATTTTTCAGTTTTCAAGAACCAACCAAAAAGGTTGGAGCCTAAATAAAAGAAAGGCCTAGAAGTCAAGAAGAAGACCAAAAGGCCTTGAACTGCTGCCAGGGGTGAAGAAAATCCAGCACTTTGTAATAGACGGACCTATGTTACCTGGACTCGGATACGGGTGTCGTATCGGGTGCAGAGATTCGAGTGTCCGACTCGTCAATATTATTAACATCTTGGACATTTTAAGTTGAAATGTCACACCCGACACTCATACCCATACCAGTGTCGACACGACACGACACGGATATTCTCCCCAAATAGAAGAGTCCGGATAACATAGAGACGGACAAAAGCCATCAAGAGGAAGTATCTACGTACTACTAACTACTCCAGTCCAGTAACTTTGATGGTCGTTTATCGAAAAAAAGGGGAAAAAAAAAAACGAACTTTAATGGTCTGGCTTGTAAGTGTCAAAACTGAAAAAGAGCCATTTGTATATGAATGACCACAATCACTAGAAAATCTGGTATATAAAGCTCCATAGAGAATAAAATCACGGAAATCTTAATTAACAAGACAAACCGCCTCCTCATTTAATACTACCTCTCTTATTCCAATTAGCTTGTATAGTTGTATGTATTGGTGTAGGTTTTCCCAGTTTCAAGTTCCGCCTTGTTTGACCTGAAACTAGCTGCCAGCTTTCCACTGACGCGGCTTGGGAACGAAAATGTTATCATTTGTCAATTTCAATGATCCCAAATGGATATATCCCTAAAGTCCTAACTTTGATTTTCCTTCCCAATCTCCCAGTTGAGACAATCCTCAGATATGATCATTCTCCTCCAAACTCAATGTCCTAACAGTAGTAACTCAGTATAAATTGCCACACCCGAACCAAACCATTATCATTCATCTCAAAATTTCAATTTTCAAGAGTCAAAGAAAATGCAAGCTCAGGAGATGATTTGGTTCATCTCATTTCTCACTGTCTTCTTCTTCTTAAGTTCCTTGTGTCCTCCTCCATCTGCACAGGCACAGCAGCCACTACTCTCGCCCATCCAGAAAGATAACTTGACAAAACTGTACACTCTTTCTGCTTACCTGAAAACCCCACTCCAACTCACACACTTACAGCTGGATCTGGGCGCCTCCGAATCCCTCACTTGGGTTGACTGCACTAGTGGGTTCGAATCCTCCACCTTCCGCCATTTAATCTACACTGACCCCGTTTGCTTAGAGATTGACTATCCCGTACTAATTTATAGCACCGGAAACTGTTCCAACAATCCCGACCCGACTTGTTTCGATGGTTCCTGCGACACAAATGCTCAGAATCCGGTGACTCTGGAGCACATCCTTGGAGATATACTACTTGACTCACTTGCCTTGCCTAGTACTAATGGCAAAAACCCGGGTAAACTTATGCTTGATGCAGACTACGTGTTTTCTTGCGGGAATACCTCGTTGCTCAACGGAATGGCCACCGGTGTCGCCGGAATAGCAATGCTGGGAAGGTTCAATTTCTCTCTCCCGGCCCAGCTGAGCAGAGCTTTCTCTTCACCTTCCCTATTCGCCATTTGCTTGCCGAGTTCTTCATCCGGCACCGGCCTGGCTATCTTTAACTCTTACGGCCCATATTTCTTTTCACCCGGAATTGATCTTTCCAAGTCACTCACATACACTCCACTCCTGTTAAACCCATTTGGCGGCGTGATTCAACCTTACGTTAGGGCGTCCTATCAGTATTTCATCGGAGTGACCGGAATCAGAGTGAACGGGAGATCAGTGCCGTTGAATAAGACCCTTTTGGAGATCGACCAAAAAGATGGCACCGGCGGGACTACGATTAGCACCGCAACGCCGTACGGGATATTGCAGACGTCCATTTTCAAGGCCTTGAAGACAGCATTCAAGGAGGCAGCTGTTTCTCTCAAGCTCAAGACGAGTACGCCGGTGAAGCCATTCAGTTTGTGTTACAAGGCAGGTACAGTACCCAGTACGCGCCAGGGACCGGCTGTTCCGACCATCGATCTGGTGCTACAGAGCGAGAGTGTGATCTGGAGGATCTCCGGTGCCAATTCGATGGTTAACGTCGGTGGGAATGCATTGTGCCTTGGGTTCTTGGATGGCGGGCGAAATCCGAAGACGTCAATCGTGATTGGAGGGCTTCAGATTGAAGATAATCTGCTCCAATTCGACATGGTTTCTCAGAGGCTTGGATTTAGCTCCTCTGTTTTGTCCCAGAGCACAACTTGTTCCAACTTCAATTTCACCACCAATAATTTGTGAAAAGATTCAGTTGGCAGTACACACTTTCCGTTGCACAAAAGTTTAGTATAATGTTTAAACATACGCCCGAATACACATTCTACTGGAGGACTATGTATTTCATGTGCATCCAAACCAAACTAAGACAAACAGTACTACAGTAGTGCTCAAAATTCGAGATAAAGTAATGATTGAAATAAACTCAAACCAAAATAGAGCCTTCTGTCACAATAACAGCTTTCCCACGAAGGAGTACTCTTTCATTCTTCTCATCCAGGTGCAGATTGATCACCCCGCCTCTCGGGGATGCCTGAGATATACCAAAATCAAACCCTCAATTAACAAAATCAATGCAGAGGTTCTGATAATTACCAACTTTACATTTAAGCCTGAATATTTATAGAGCAATATGATCTACATGGATTGTTTGCCTTTTGGTTTTATGTTTTGTAGGGATGATTTAATTGATGATTTTGTATATATTTTTTTTCTCTGCTTCCGTTTGATACTTGTTAAAGAGAAGCAAAAAGAGTACCTGATACGCAACAAAATCAGATTTCCCAAGCTTTTTGCTCCAATAGTCTCCCAATGCGCAATGGACACTTCCTGTTACAGGATCCTACAACTCAATAAACAAGGTCATCAATTAGCACAACCATCAAATTAGGCATATTTGTTGTTATTAGCAAAGCTTCGGACTTGAAAAATGTACTAATGCGGCTGGACTATAGGACTATAGTCAATAGATATAAATTACCTCGTCGATACCAAGTTTTGGGCTGAAGACCCGACTGTAGAAATCAAATTCGGATTCAGGCAATGCAGCTCCGGTAATTATCATCGCTCGACCTGGACATCTTTTAATCTCATCAAACTGAGGTTGTACTTCAACAACTGCTTTTGCTGATGGGAGCACGACCTAACAAACCCGTTGTTTTAATCAAATTCCATCTTTTGAAGGATTTATATCAGGGCTAAAGGTCAGAAAGTGCATGAAGAAATCTTACCAAGAGATCTTCTCCATTGGTTGTCTTATGCACTTCAACTACAGAAGCTCCATTCAGGCTTTTGGAAATTTGCGAAATATCAACAGAGTTAAAGTCAGCAATGGGGATCAAAGGAAAATCTAACTCAATCAAGAAGTCCTCGTCTTGATCGTGGCATTCATTGACAGTTATTGAGGTTCTGGTTTTCGAGATTTTCTTGGCAGTCAAAACACCCGAATGGGACGAGAACTCAATTATATCAGATTGTACAATACCATAACTAAACAGAAAATGAGAGGCTGCTAGAGTTGCATGTCCACAAAGTTTAACCTGAAATTACAGAATAAAATACAGACCCGTCATCCACGGTCACATTTCCTAATGAAAAAAGATAGAACAAACCAATAGGACAAGTTGGGTTCACAGTTATGGTTTGGGGTTTTCTGAACAATTTGATTCACTTGAAACAAAATTCAAAAGGGCGAAATTTATTGTGCGATATGAAATGGACCTCGGTTACAGGAGTGAACCAACGAATTCCGAATCTTGGGATCGTTGACTCCGGCGACATAGAAACCGGAGTGACATAAGCAGTGGATGGGATATTTAACTCGCTGGCAACAGCTTGAAGCCATTGATCATCTTTCGTATCCTCCAACGAACACACTAGTGCCGGATTACCCTTGAACGCCTCACCGGTAAAGGCATCCACCTGAATTCAGCTGGTTAGAAAAATGTTTCTCATTATATAGTTTGTTCAGATTATTACTTGAAAAAAGATAAATTAGAGAAGAAATGCATACCACGGAGAATCTTGTGGACTTTTTGGACATCGAGATGAGCCGCTGACGACTGGAAATTGGTTAGTCTTTCTGGAGTGCTTACAGTACTAATTTAAGAACTAACTTGTACCAAACCACTTGAATATTGGCTTCTTATGTGTTCTGATGCAACGTGGTAGAAATGGTCAAAGAATGATTTTTTATTTTTTTTTTCTGAGAAGCCAATTTTACGGTAGACTATATATATGACTTTCTTAGCAACAAGCTACCAGGTAGGCTTGCATTGGATTGATAATCCACCGTCCGGGATGAAGTTGTGGTTTGAGTCTCTATTCACGAAATGTCTTAATTTAATTTTGTGACACCCTGAAACCACCGCCTTAAACTTTAACTGTTCCTCTCTTTTTCTTTTATAAATAGGCGCCTCCAGGTGACAGAAATTGCCGACATTTTTTTTTAAAGAAAGATGGGTTCAGATTTCGAATGTGGGAAGATTAGAAACATATGTATTCTTGCTCATGTTGATCATGGAAAGACCACATTGGCAGATCATCTGATTGCTTCTTACGGAGGCGGTTTGCTTCGCCCGAAGCAAGCTGGTAAGCTTAGATTCAGGGAATATTTGGATGAGGAACAGAGAAGGGCCATAACAATGAAGAGTTCTTCAATAGCCCTTCAGTATAAGGACCATTCAATTATTCTCCGGGTCACGTGGATCTTTGTGGTGAGGTTCGGAGATGGTTCTAGTGTACCACACAATACAGCAAGAAAACTTATAGATGCTGTGAGACGTAGAAAAGGTCTACCGTGGAGGAGAAAGTGGTTAAACATGCAACAAAGCAGAGAACTTTAGGCTCGTAAGGTGTAGCAGTTGTAAGTTTTTACATCCCTACGATTCTCTGGTATACAGAATGTGACACGAAAGAAGAAATGAGAAACATATTGTTCTTTCTGTAATATGTGTTTCATCATAAATGAAAGATAAATGTCTACCGAGCATTTATATAGTGCTGATCAAATGGCTATTATTGTTTATGACATGAATTAGCCAGATCAATTCCTGAATATAGTTTATTAGTACATGAAATAGCCACAGTCCCTGCCCACATGAAGGGATGGGGTGATAAAACTCAAACCAAGATAACACCTTCTGCCACAACAACAGCTTTTCCACGAAGTAGTACTCTCTCGTTTTTCTCATCCATCTGGATATTAATCACCCCGCCTCTCGGGGATGCCTGAATGAAAACCCCAAAAAATTACCGTCAGTGGCAAAAGTCCAAGATTTCTGATGTATACTAGTTTCAACCAGTGTATATGTAACTGTCTAACAATGTGCGTGTTTGGAATTGACAAAGAAACACAATTACAGTTACCTGGTATGCAATAAAATCAGATTTTCCAAGCTTTTTGCTCCAATAAACTGCCAGAGAACAGTGAAGACTCCCAGTCACTGGATCCTGCAATTATAAAATAAGTGCATCAACTTATACAACCTTTAGGTGCATTTGTTGGTTAGAGATGATAAACCGTACAGTGAGACACCTCATTTTCAGACATGAAACTAGCAGAAACTGAAGGAAGCGGATTGGGGAATAAGGAACGTATCAACAGGACTAGACAATGAAGAAATCGCATACTTTACCAGAAATCTAAACCAAATTACCTCATTAATCCCAAGTTTAGGGCAGAAGAATCGACTGTAGAAGTCAAATCCAGATTCAGGTGATGCAGGACCAGTGATTACCATCCCTCTTCCAGGACATCTTCTAATCTCATCAAACTGTGGTGCTACTTCTGCAACTGCCTTTGCAGATGGAAGCACAACCTACCCACATATTTTAGCAAAGCCATTAGGTAAAACAAGGTATATAAACCATGATTGAACAAGTAATATTTATTCTGTTGAGTTAGCCCTGTGAAGACATCACAACACTATTTGTGAGCCTGGTAATAACAACAGTTGTCTTACTATGTCAGGTTGATTACATGAATCATATGATTCATATCTACTCCATACCTTCTAATTTGAGAACCTTGGTTAAACTTATCAAAAACTCTCCTCAAATTTTAATTGATCACCACATCAAAATAATATATGCGTGGAAGAAAAAATGTCTTTGCAAAAGCAGAAAGGAACACTTACAAAGAGGTCGTCTCCTGCAGTTTTCTGAACCTCAACGACCGCAGCACCATTCAAGCTTTTCGAGATTTCCAAGACATCAACAGAATTAATCTCAGCAATGGGGACAGCTGGAAAATCCAATTCAATCAAGTAGTTCCCCTTTGGTTCATTAACTGGATTTGAGGTCCTGTTTTCGGGAAATTTTTTGGCAGTTAAAACTCCTGACTGTGTCAAAAACTCAATTTTATCGGATTTCACCAGCTCATTACTAAAGAGAAAATAAGAGGCAGCTAGAGTTGCATGTCCACAGAGTTCAACCTGCAAGCAGAACACAACCCTCATTGTTACATCAACAAACGAACTTTATGTTTGGTATTAAAAAAAAAAAAACCGCCAAAAGGAACATAATTGGTTCATGATTGAGATCAATTTGAACTATAAAAGCTGAAACTTTAACAGGGAACATAGTGATTAAAGATTGTGACTGACTGACTGACCTCAGCTACAGGAGTGAACCAACGAAGTCCAAACCTCGGCGTCCCGGACAAGGATTCAGCATCAGAAATCGGAGTGAGGTAACAAGTTTCGGAGAGATTGAACTCGGTAGCAACAGCTTGAAGCCATTCTTCTTCTCTGGGATCCTCCAACAAACACACAGCTGCAGGGTTCCCTTTGAATGCCTTGTCAGTGAAAGCATCCACCTGTATGCAAATTTCACATTAGACCCAGTTAAAACCTTGACATTTCCTTCTAAAATTGTTGATAAATACGACCAATCATCAGTCCAGTTAACTCAGGAAAAAAAAAAATGGCATACCACAGAATACTTAACGGGCTTCTTGGCCATTCTGCTAGAAGAAAGAACAACAGACAACCTCGCACTTTTCTCAAAGAAATCAGTCCCTTGTCGCCCGATGAGGTAGCTGAGCTGCTAGCGAGTTTGGATTGCTGCAGATGGGAGTTTATAGCAGTGTGGCTGCTGTGCTTACTTACTGAGGAAAGAAGAATTTTCAGTCAAGAAAAAACTTTAAAAGGAAAGAAAGATAGAAAATAGTCGAGTCAGAAATCAGAATTGACTGACCCACAGCGTTTTGTTTCTTTGTGGTTTTCGGTCCACCTAGTCCGGGAAAGTACTCTGAAATTGTTCGTAATTGAGTCGTGTTCTAATTTGTTAATGTGTGTGTGTGTGTGTGTGTTTTTTTTTTTTTCCTTGAGGACCAAGCAGGAATACTACTTGCTACACATTTGTTTATTTTCTCTTTGAAATGGAACCTGACATTCATAATTAAAAATACTAATGTGATTACCAGAATCGTAAGCAATGACTAATCATCATGAACTCAATCATGTGCCTGCGCAAGAAAATTGGTTCGAGTATCTGGGAGTCTATCCGAATTCACAGCCTTCCCAGATTGCTGACTTTAACAAGTGCCGGCATCTACTACTTTGACAAGGAATAGAAGTACATAAATTTTTAAAGCAGAGCAAGAGATGGGGACCCGAACAGAGAACTTTGAAAGAGAAGATCATAATCTGAGTTCTGAATTCTGAAACTAAAGAATAAATATCACAACATATGTTACAGAGAAGGACATGCTTTCACAACTACCCGTGTCAAGAAACAAGTGGTTTCCACGCATTGAACTACAAAAGCATCAACTAAATCCCAATAATTATTCCGTAGTTACAAGGGATTTTGATGCGGAAATTAATCACAGAGACTAAACTGGAATCAAATGCAAGTTTGTGTACAACAAGTGTAAGGGGACGCTGACATCACCAAATCCCTTCTTTAGCCATTTTGAGAAAATTGCAAAGAGTGATGTTCGGAATCCCAGCATCACCTGCCTTTTTCTTCTTTATCCTAGTCATTTTCAACATCTCTGTGCCTTTCATTTGAGTCAGTGTTACTGACACCAAGTTATAGAACTGTTCCAAGAGAATGTTGGAGACACCATCAGACCAGATATAAACACCAAGCGAAAGAAATATATGGGTTTCAAGCAGTTTTTTGTTGTTCTTCGCTTTGCTTTTCAAAAACAATCCTTGGCATTCTTTTTTTTTTTTTTTTTTCACATTCAATAATCAAGTGAGATCAAAGTTCAAATCTGGTACCTCACAAACCCCATGCAGCACCAACCGACGGAAAGGATCTTGAACACTTAGTTCAAGAACATCACCGTTTCCACTCCCCTTGATAAACTCCCGTATGCACTCCTAGACCAAACCAAATTTTGAGCCAGGACATACAGTTGAATACCTTGTAAATTGCAAGAGTGTTTGTGGGAAAAATGGCTTGAAAAGCCAGTGATTCTACTCAGCGAAGTTAACTCATACTCACCTCATATCCACTTATCAGTTCTGGAAGAAAGTTGCGACGAATAGCTTCCCTAGTTCTACAATCAACTCTGTGCCAAGCAGAAAGTACAGCAACCTTATCAGCATCAACACCATTCTTCCGTTTCATTGACGAACCCTCAAATGATTTTATCATTATTTTCTACAAGGGCAGACAGAAAGAGAACTCGGATAAACAAAGGACACAAAGGAGATTCATCTACCATTTCAAGGGAAGATATGAGCCAAATGAGAGATGTGCAAAGAACAGCAAACAGCAAACGAATGAGGAAATAGCAAGCAACCTAAAACAAATCGAAAACCGATGCAAATTCAAGGGGGAAAAAATCACATACAATATAGCTGCCCCCACCCAAAAAAATAAAATAAAATCCATAATTCTACTGATCCTATATCAACATTATACCATGTACATAGATGAACCTAGTATGAAATAGACAAATAGTTGGATACTTGACAAATTTTCTGCTCATAATGAGATTCAGAGCCAAGAAATAAAATCAAAGAAAATTAGCTTAGGCAACTCAAAATCATGCAACGATTTGAAGGCCACTAAAGTGAGAGGATACCTCTTTATCCATGTCCACAGATCTAAATTTATCCCAATCTCCCGTATTTGTCATGCAAAATGGAGACAATGGCACGTCATCACCTGTGAGATAAGGCAAAAAAACCAAGCAATTCAAAATAAAAAAAAATTACAGCAAGATGATTGCTCACCCAACTATTCTGTAAATATATAAATATAACGCAGAAAGTTATACATTACAAATGGCATTGATTTAGAGCAAAGAAATCACAAGAAGACTATTTCTTTTGGGATTGTCTTTTACCCCAAGGCGGAGGTGCAAACAAGCCTCTGATTTCTTGTGCATTTAGACGAGGAACGAGCTCCATTAACAGACGATCATTCAACCATCTCCGAGATCTTCGGTTGCTAACCTACAACAGAACAAGAAGCTTAGCATCATCGTTCATTGATAACTCATGTCACAGCGATCTATTAGTTGAAAGAATCAGAATATGGTTGCAATAGCTAACTCAACAAATTCAATTCTGTTTTGCAACCTAATTCATATTTCCTCAATAATACAGAAACACAAAAGTTCAAAACTTCCATAATCTCCGGAGCAACAAAATCGAGACAATTACAGTGTGACTATAGTTTTGTACTAGGCCATACGTAGCATAAGTTAGCCCAAAAAGATTAAAGTACGAAGCGTCAGGAAGTTAAAGAAGACTTCAGTTTCCAAAACAAAAGGGGAAAACAATAAAACTACAATTGAGGGTAAGTTACCCTTCCAGTCAAGCTCTCCAGGAACTCAATCTTTCTCTCGATATCAGTACCTCTGGATTTCACATTTTCTCCTGAAATCACACCCCAAACGAAATCACTGACTTTCCCCCACGAAAGATTAAAAAAAAAAAAACAGAAAAAAAAAAGAATGCTTGAAGAGAAAATAATTCGCTGGCATCATCAGAATGACCAATGTAAATTCAATCACTAACCAATTCATAGAAGCATCCATTAAATACATGAATATATATTTAATAAATCTGGCACAAACAAACCAACAATCCACAAAGAATAAAAACTAAAAGGAATACTAAGGGGAAGGAAATGAAGGACCTTTGGGAGCATCAAAGAGGGATTGCCACAAGAGGAAATCTTGTTCCAATTGCAAAACATCAGGGGTCGCCATGATTGAAGTCTTTTGACGCACAAATGAGAAAATTAATTCAAAGATCTCAGCTTTTTTTTTCTGGGCAGCAGCCGGTTTTTGTTTGACTTTTCTCTCTGAGACTCACCAGACCAGTTGTTTGAACAAATTAAGGATGTGAGGATGCAGAACCTACGTAAGATAGAATCAGAAACGACTTTGTGTTGGGTTTAGAACGAAGATGTAATGAAGATTGAAGAGCTCAAAAGAAAAAACACAGAGTCGTATCTCGGTATCATACCTGAATTTGCAGAGGAATATTCCAATTGCCTTAACGATCCGGTAAGTGTTCGATGGATGGTTCAACCCGGATCTGTTAAATGTGGCTACGCTTTATCCTTTTAGTCTTTTGGGTTTTTGTAAAATACTGTATGTGGACTGTTTCTCCATATTGGGCTTTTTCATTTGAGCTCTTTCTTTTTTCTTTTTTTTTGGGCTGGATCATTCACTGAACTGACAGTTTTATGTTGATTTCTCTACTTTATTCTTTGTTTCTTTTAAAATGATTGTCCAGATGATCTTTTTGGGTGGGAGATGAAGGATGTTGGTGAAAAAAGTTAATTCCTACACCGCTTTATGAAATGTAGTTTAGTATTTGTTGAATACAACATCATCTCATTAACACAACACAACTGCAAGTATATTTCTCCCTCTGATCCTTATTATAAGACATTTTGATTTGTCTTAAGTTTTATCTAGTATGTTTTTTTCGATTGGAAAGAAAACCTTAAAACCACATTTTCACATTCATTGTGTTCTTTTGATTATTAGGAAATATTTTTCAAAAAATTTTCAATAGAAAAAACATATTAAGTGAAATATAGAACAAATCGAAATACCTGGAGGGAAAGGTAGTAGAGGTGATGAGAATATTCACATTTTGTATGCTATTGTTCTAAGTTAGAGGGCCTTGACCCCTCTTCTACCTTGTTATTTGCTACCCCAAATGAAATCTGTAACATTTGAAGCCTAATCCAACAAGTAGGATGACAGTAATGCGAGGTTAGAGCCCGGTTTTGGCCCAGATTCTTGCAACTGATTAGTACGCCGTCTTATTTGTGCTGTACAGAGAGAAATAACCTAACAAAAATGCCAGAAATGGAAGGAAGATGGTAAAATCAGGAGTGCGTGTATCAAGTCATTTTAAGATAACCCATGGAGAAGGCAATGGCCGGTTGGCTTCTCCTTTTCAGCTCCCATTATCAGATTCTCCTTCAAAAAAAATTCAAGTTCCTTTTTGGAATGGAAGGCCTACACTTTAGGTTTAGGATGCCAGGAATCGAAACTGGCTTTCCATACAGGGATCATAATTAATATTTATTCACACACACTAGGAAAATTATAGTATAAGTTATAAAAAAGTTTTCCAACTCCAGGATGAGGACAACAGGTATCCTCAAGAACCAGAGAACCTCAATATTATTGTTTTGCAAACGTCAAAACAGTTGTTCTGCACTTATGGACATTCGATATGGTTCCATATTATTGAAGCTTACGATTCTCAAAGTAGATGAAAATGTACGCAAAATTGATCACTATAAATGAATTATTAGTCCTTCACCAAGGACTAAAAACTATTATGTCATTAGAAAATAAATAAATAAATAAGACACTCTTGTCATTTTGCAGCTCTGGAATTTGTTTTCTTAAGAATATTATCTATCCAAGTCTATAAGAGATAGTATGATAAATACATAGTTGTACTTTTCTTTACTTCCGAAATGATTGTCTGCAGTGACGGAACGAGAACTTTCGAATTGCGAAGTCAAAAATAAGATTATTCAACTGTCATCAAGGAGGTCGAACTGAAAAAAATTCAACTAACGAACACATTACTTAGGGAAAATCCGGTCAAATCCGACTGTCCGGGGTAGTCGATCCGATCGACCACCCCACCCTAGTTCCGTCACTAATTGTCTGTCTTGTATATTGTATTAAAACTAGTACAAAAATAAGACAAGTCATTTTTTGGGAGGAAGTAAGTGCCAATGGCAAGTCAATTTGGCGCTGATGGAGTCTTTAATTCCTCTGATGAGGAATAAAGGCATGTTCCGCCGAACTCCATCCCAAATTGTACAAATTATCTTGCTTATGAATTGATTGCAGGACAATTGCAAACTCCGCATTAATTCAAAAACAACTTGCAAATAGCAAGTGGACTTTGAAATTCCAACAAACTGATGAACGGATGATGGTATATGATGCAACTAGCTAGAAACGCTAAAATTTCCGCAGTATCAAAACCTTAAAATGAAACACCTTCTGTGTCTCTGTCCATCACTTGATAGATGACCTGTGAACAAGCAATTAATGTTATTACCACAAATGCAAAGAATATTGTTGTCTTAACTCTCTTTTGACGTACTTTTTTTCAACACAAAAATGACCAGCGCCACATATTTAAGGACGAATTATAAGATATTACATTTACCGTACGGAACCTGAATGCTTAAAAGGACCATTTCCTACAAAATGGAAATGAAAGCCGAGTAAGGAAAAGGAAGGAATGAGATTCAATCCGCACCAACAAGGTGTAAGAACGAATGATGGACGATTAATGATGGAGAAAATGCCAAAACCGGAATTGGTCCAAAGCGAAAATGATGGATATCTGTTGCATGGTGTAGAATAACAGGAATGAGATGCGTGCATGAGAGATGTGACTGTTGGAATGTCAAACTGAAGGGTTTAAAAGTACAGCCCTTTTGTCCTTTCATGGTACAACTACTATTAATTTTAGACCTCCAAAATGTACCATTATTGGAGGGTAATGCAGGCTAGTTAAACCTTTCCTTTACTTCCCATTGATGGAACTTTTGGAATGTTTCTTATTAGTCTTCCTAGCTACATAGACATAGACTTGGTCTTTAGCAATCACATAATACTCCCTCCACCCGAAAATAATTATCCACTTTAGATTTTTATTTGTTATTTGTAATATAAATTATTACTAAAAGTGAAAAAATCATACTGAATAATTATTTTAGAATAGAAAGAGTACAACGTAAGTCCAATACTAATATTTTGTTGCAATTTAGGCTATATGTATAGATGATGATCATGCAATGCTTGTGTAGAGAGTTTAACCTACTTAACATAGCTTTTTTCCTTATGGAGTACTGTCATTCTATGAAAATTGTCGAACATCGATTCATAAAAGGAAAAAGATACTGTAAAAAATGGCCAACTTTGAAGAATCAAAAAGCGAATCGTAGTTCGAAGTTGAAGGACTAATAATTAACGTGATGTACTCCCTATGGCCTGTGAACTTCTAGGCGAGGGTTTGAGGCGGTGAAAAGATTTCCCATTATAAGACAACTTTGGATATGAATCTTTTGAATAACACAAACTAACAAGTGATATAAAAAAAAGTATATATGTATACTTTAGTTGCGGGAAGAAGAATTAATTGAACAAAGATGTGTGACAAATGACATCTGAAAAGGAAGAGTTATAGAACCGCAAAGAAAACAGCAATTAATTAATTTTTGCCAAAGATTTCTTTTTCTTCATTCTCTCTAGCAAAATTAAAGTAGACATAAATTATTTTGATCAAGATGAAAGCACAATCACAGAGATAGTGAACTGAAAGAGTACTCTGAAAAGAATAATTACTTCTTGTATTTTTGTTAGTAACATAATTTTTATTTCACTATTTTGGTCATAATTCTTATAATTAGGTCTTGCATCAAATAAAATACCACTTGCGAGATGGAATCGAACTTAATACTAATTTTTTTTATATAAAAAAAATGAACTTAATACTAGTTGATACGATGAACCCCACCATTCACTAGATAGTTTTATTCAAACTTTTTTTTTTATTAGTTTTCCTTTTCCATTTGCCATCACCGTCAGAATCAATCGACTTTATCGGTGGATAACCTTGGTCAACTTTAAAGGGGTTATTTTGATTTTGAGCCCAAAAAAAAAAAGAAAATAAAAAGAGAGAGAGACCTCTATTCCAGCCACCAATGAAAAGACGGATCATGATTCCGACTTCCATTAATTGGCCTATTTTGGACTTATACCAAATTATTAATTTATAGAGCAAAAAACATAGTCCTATTACCACATTTTACTAATCATAGAACAATCATGGTTAGCATTTTTTCACTTTTACTTTGGTCTTAGAGACTTTACCAAATTTGTCATTTGTCTCGTCTCTTAAAAAAGTAGAGAAATCTCACCCACCTATTGAGATGCCTATCATGAGCGAAAGGGATTAGTCACTATTACCAAATATGTAAAAAAAATAAATAGAAAAATCAAACTTAATTTCGTTCCAGTGACGAAACACGCCGAAATTGTTTCATGATTGATATATAATGTATAACATGAATATACAAATTATATAATCATATATATATATATAGACACATACTATACTATACTTTTAAGACATTAAATCATAATAACCTGTGTTTTCAAAATCAGACCGGCCCGACGATCTAACTGGTTAGCTCAGGAACCAGAAGCCTCACCGGTCCGATTTTCATAAAGAACCGGATTCTATATAACTCGGTCAAACTCGGGTAAACCGTAGTTTGACTGGAAACCGGTTTTGATTGAACTGGTTTTTGCATATATTTCTTAAAAAAATTAATTTTTATGTATTTTTTAATATTATTTTAATCGATTTTCACTGGTTTCGAGGAACAAACTAACCCGTTAACCTGATAAACCCATCAACCTAGTCACACTAACAGCTCATCTTCTGGTCCGGTTTTGAAAACATAGATAATAACCGTGTTCGTGTTCGTAGTGATTTCACTGAAAGAATGGATTCAGAGTTTCCATCATTATTTAACTCATTGGTTTTTGGCTGTTTCTACTTTACAAAATGTACTCAGTAAAGTAATGGAATCATTGAATTACTATGAAAGAAGGCATGGATAGCTATATTCATATTCATATTCGCTGTGGCATCCATGAAAAAAAGAAAATATTTAGATTATCATGTCTTCTTTTGAGGAAAAGTTTATATATTTTTATTCTATGTTATCTCTGCCAATTATTTATAGTAGCAGAGAGATGATTAATGGCCCGTCCAACGAAACACACAAGTGTTAAATTTGAAGTATACTATGCTCTATCTGATCAAATATAATTATAATTATTTAGAGACGGAGATGACAGAAGAAAAATAATATTTATTCATAGTTTTCACCTTTTTTTAGGTATTTTTTTTTATTTTTCATTCCTCACCACAAACATTCAGAAAAGGGAAGTACCTTAGAATTTTATTAGAACGAATCTCAACGCCGCTTTATTCATCGATGATATGAATATGATGTTTTCTGTTTATAACATAGGGAAGAAAGAAAAAACACATGTGCGGCCAGTTTTTTTTTTTTTTTCGATTTCAGCTTTTCATATTTCATAAATTTTGATTAATTTTCAAATATTTCCAGTACAATTTTCTATACTTTATTTTGGTTTTCTTAATTTTATACATCTAAATAAAATTAAAACCAACAGAATTGAGAAAGAAAACGGCGGAAAATGTTGAATTTTAAATCTGAAATGGATTGATAATTATCACGGTAAAAACTTATATTCAGCATCCAAAATTATCAAACATCCTGATATATCAAAAAATTCTGTTTGTAACAACCAAAAAAAGACCGAAACTTAGTCTAAATCTACCTTAACAACTGACTGAAAATTTGGGTAACTATGGAAACGCGGGAGAGAGAACATCGTTACATGATATCCCTTTCTCCATATTTTGTTACCTCAACCGTTACAAAAGTTAATTAATCGCAACAAGAACAAAAAAATGAGTCGATAGGCTTGAATTCAGTAATCTCATCGTGATATTTGATTCAATTCTTATCACCGTCAAAATTCGCACGTCAGAGGAACAAGTTTCTTGTAGTAATACCATAATACGTGACACTTTCTTAACTTGTACGAGTAAATAACAATTACGAAGAGGGAGGTATATAATTAGAAAGACTAATTGCGGCCTCTAAGAAAAGAGGCTAATTGACTAATTGTAGCAATAGTAACAATACACTGAAAGTGATACAGAATATGCATCTAAAGTAGTCTAAAACGCCACAGTAAAAAACAAAAGATGCGATTTTGACTTAAGTGATCAGTCACACAGACTCCAAAGTCCAGTATAAATACTCCAACTTACAACCCACAATCATCTCAGTAGTCCTATTTGTACCACCATTCATTCTTCTTCCCCCTCCCATTTTGCCACCATCGGGGAGTTTCATCTGTTGTTGTTCTGTCGATAAACAATTGAAGATTACTGATTGAAGGAGATACAGAAACTACATGAACGGCATGAATCAATCCCTTTTTTCCCAATTGATCTTCATTTCAATTTGAAGAAGCTCTTTTTTTCCTCAGTATCACCAAAACAGAGAGAAAACAGAGTCATCAATTATTGGAGACAGCCGTAAAAAAGAGTATAAAAAGATTGATCAGCATCTTTTTTCATTCCTGAATTCTCAGGCCACTTCCATCTTTTGATCCTCACGTGTTCCACCTACAAAAAAAAAAAGAAAGGAATAACGTCTCCAAGTTGCCGCGTATTGATTATTTAAATGCTCTGGTTCGAATAGATACTTCAAAAGGGCTCTGTTTTTTCCTTTTTGCTTCCATTTTTGTAAAATTCCTCTGTTTCATTCAGTTTCAATTCATCTGTGAAACAAAAAAAAAAATGAAGATGAATCCCATGTCGGTGATGATGCCAAAATCACGGCCATTAATCCACCTTCCCGGCGGTGGGATAGACATGAAGGTGCTCATCAATCAGCGGGATCCCCGGCAGCTGGAGAAAGTGGTGGTGGTGATGGGCGCCACCGGGACCGGAAAATCAAGGCTGTCGATCGATCTGGCCACCCGATTCCACGCCGAAGTTGTGAATTCCGATAAAATGCAAGTCTACAAAGGATTAGACGTCGTCACCAATAAAATCACCGACGAGGAGCGTCAGGGGATTCCTCATCATCTCCTCGGGTTAATCGATCCCAACTCGGATTTCACCGCCGCCAGCTTTTGTAACATGGCCACGGCGGCCACCAAAGGTATTGTTAACCGTGGTAAGCTTCCAATCATCGTTGGAGGTTCCAATTCTTTCATAGAAGCCTTGATTGACGGAGAAGACAGCAAATTCGGGTCACGTTACCAATGTTGCTTTCTCTGGGTCGACGTTTCTTTGCCGGTTCTACATTCATTCGTGTCGGAACGAGTTGACAGGATGGTTGAAAAGGGTATGATCGATGAAGTTCAGGAAATTTTCAACCCAATGCATTCTGATTATTCCACCGGGATCCGGCGATCAATTGGGGTCCCGGAATTTGACCGGTTTTTCAGAGCTAAACCGTTCTGCGACGGCGAAACCCGTGCCCGGCTCCTGGAAGAAGCCATCCGTCAAACAAAGTATAATACGTGCAAATTGGCGTGCAGGCAATTGGAGAAAATCATCCGGTTGAGAAACGTGAAGGGATGGAAAATCCACCGCCTGGATGCCACTCAGGTTTTCAGAAAACAGGGTAAAGAAGAGGCGGACAAAGAGTGGGAGAATCTCGTCGCGGGTCCCAGCGCGAGAATCGTTTCCAAATTCCTGTACAGCCAACACAGCAGCTCCGCCACCAGCACGGTGGTTTACCCGGGTGCCGCCACCGTCGTGGGTGGCCGGAGGGGAATGCGAATCGGGGAACCGGTGGCAATTTACTAAATTTAATTAAATTATGATGTAAATTAGTGTGGCAACTGTTTTTTTTTGGCAAAACAAGATGATATGGGAGAATTTTCCATCATAAATCCCTTCTCTGCCGGGTAGAGTTGGGAGTTTTTTTGTAATCATATATAAGTAGTAGACGATATATGATCGGATTTTCAGTAGGTAAAATCCTGGCTCTTTTTGTAACCAGAGTACTCTGTTTTCTGTGTTGGTAGGCGCTAATAGAGAAATATCATAAATTAACTTCTTTTCTTGGATGGTTTGATGACAAATTATCCGTACACCTGATGGTACATGTCGATGATTTTTTTTGCTAACATTACAAATCTGCTATGCATGGTTTTCATTTTTATTGGCAGAAAGAAAAGTGATGATACACCAAAAAGATGGAGAAAATGACACACAAACTGGAATACAGAGAGTATTGGAGAAAACTGTGCAGTGGGTCTTTTCTTTCTGGAACTATGGGAAGAGATTAAACAGGTCTCTTTGGTGGCAGAAACCCATCGCAATCGCAAATCTAACAATCAGATTAATGGAAATGCAATTCAGATTCCATTGTTGGGTTTAAGACTACTATTATTAACACTGTTACCTCTAAAGATTGGAGTAAATCAGTACCTTATGCCACTACCTTTCACCTTTTAAGGGTCAATCCCACAATTTTGTAGGTAACTATTTTGAAATTTGGCTCCATTCTTGTTCATTTTTCGCCTCACCATATGACCTCATCTCTTTGATTCCACGTATTCAATGTGTGACTTGCTCCACGAGTATTTTACGATACTCGATTAATTTTGTTTGAATCGCTTCTGAAGGGGTGTCCTTTACGATAATACAAGCTTTTTTTATTTACCTGGCCGGACAATGAAAAAGCTCTAAAAGCTTTACAATGTACTACAACTAACTAATTCAAGTTACAAAAATGAATCATATTTATGAATCCCGTGCCACCATTTCATCGAACTATAAGTTATAACCTCCACGGTTTACTGAAAGATCTCAAAAACGTTGATATCATATTTATAATATTATCATTAGTCATTATTGTCGACGGTAAATTACTTATAAAAAAAAAGAATTCGACGCGAGAACTGACGAAAAATAAGATCTATGAACCGTGGTACTGTAAGTGTAAAGCGAAGTAGCGAACACCGTGGTGCCTCCAAAGTCCAAAGTTAGGAAAAGATTGGCAAGTGGCGAAACTGGGCGACTCCCCCTGCTCATTAATTTGTGGGATTAACATGCGCGGCCTCAGATGTGATTTATGAATGATTGATTTTGATCATCACCATCATCATCAGCAACTTAATTTTATCTGAAAATAATACAAATCATCGTAATCATTAACCCAACTGAAATTTCCGATTTCCACTTTTTGGGAATTTCTCCTTTTCCATAATAACCCCCTTTTTTTTAATACACCTAACATCAACATCTACCTAGATCTATAAAGTTTAGACTTTAGACTAGAGATAGATATGACTGAAGAAAATGATTACTCCCTCTCTCCTCGTTCCGAAATAGTTGTTCAGTTTAGCATTAAACTTTATTTAATTGATTAAAAACAATATACTACAAGAAAAAAATTGAAATGGTGGTTCTGAAAAAAGCATATACAAGTATATAAGTATGATTGTTCCGAAATTGTTGTTTAGTTTAGATATTTGTTTTTAATCAATTACAAAAATTGAATGCTAAACTGAACAACCGGTACAAAATATACAAGTATATATCGGGTACTACTGTGAACGAGTCTTCCGAAGTCACAGCTCCAAGAAAAAAGTTGAATGCTTTCATCATTCAGATATTTGAGCATAAAAGTTAAAGTGTGATGACAACCGAACAAAACTGATAAGAGAGATATTCAGAAATTATCAACGTGGAAGTTCGAGAACGCGCATGACATCGTTTCGATCTTTAGAGATTGTACAGAAGATTTGAGCCGAAGATCTCTTTATAAACAAATTGATATTCATTAGATCTTCTAGTTAAGGTTCACAATTATATTCTATTGATGGTCACGATTATCTTGTGCAATTTAATGTTACCCGAAATAATTGTCTAATTTAAATTTCTATTTTTAATATAAATTATAAGTATAAGGGAAAATTTAAACTAAGCAATCTTCTGAAGAAGAGGGAGTATGATTAATGAAATACCCAATGAAAGTTTTTTTTTTTTTGGGAATGACCTAAAGAAAGTTCAATAGATGCAAAAGAGTGCAAACATACATGAATTTCTAGTTTTCTAGTTATTTTTTACAGTACATTTTGATGTGTTATATCACACATATTGGATTGATTATGGTATTCCAAATTTGCTTTTCTTTATAACGGAGTGCAAATCATGTGGCAATGATTAAAAGAGAAGATAAATAAAAATTCTCAGATCACAAAAGTAACTTCCCAAAAGAAAGATAAAAAAGAAGAAGAATGACGGAGTAATTACTTAATGCGGGCCAGTTTTATTGATAAACTCATATGGGTTAAGTAAATTTTATCCAAAAAAAAAACACACACACAAGGGGATGATTAACCATCTACAAATGCCATACTCTCTTCCCATATGGTGAAATTTGTTCTGTGGCATGTTTAATTTCATTTGTATTTAGAGTAAAGGTTTAAACTGAACAAGTTATTATAGGACGGAGAAAATATAAATTAGTTATTGGCATTTTTCCCAAAAGCCTAAAAATTGGAAGGACCAGTCTCGAAACTCTCTTCCCATATGGTGAAATTTGTTGGACTGGATGTGTTGGAACTATTGTGTTCATGTCTTTGAAACACTCCTTGGGTCACATCTTCGTTTTCAGCTGGAAGTTCCGAGTTATTTCACATCATATGCCAAAAGCTTTAAGCCTTGAGAAAAGAGTTAACTTCAATCCTTGTCAATAATTTGCTAAGGTCAAACCTGCTAATCATCAACTGATGCTGCATGCTCGCATCACTTTTTGTTGGAATTTCATGCGTAGAATTAATAGGGGGAATCCATTCTGCCTCAAAGATAAAGAGAATCCATTATAATAAAGATAATAATAACAATTATTAAAGAAAAGGAAAATGGCAAAATGCCACTGTAGAGTTAGCTAGTATTGGAGGGCTGGGAAAATGCATGAACACTATTGGTGTCAGTCACTGTGCTGAAGGCTGAAGCTGCTGTATGTAACAACAGCATGTATAATAATAATAACAATAATGTGGCATGATTGATGAAGAAGATGAAAACGCAAGCCCATTTTGGTGAATATATTGCTGCTTTTTTTTTTTTTGAGTTAAACTTTGATAGCCTCCAAAAGTCCAAAAAAGAAAAAAAAGGATTTGTTCTTGATAAGCATGGAATAAAGTCTCATCCATCTATCACACACACATATCAATCACTATCTTTGACAACTTATTCCAGACTCTGTAACTTGATGATGATGATGATGATAATACTTCACCCATCTTCCATTTTTCTGTTTGATGGTTCAATGAAGATAACATTACTAATGACAATTGATGTGTTACTTTTATAGCCATCTTGGTATCGATCCGTAGGTATGGTGAAACGAATTTTAGTACCAGTAAATAATGTTCTAATTCCATCTCAAAATTTTGACTGCCACCCAACCCCCCTTATTGGGTGAATCTGGCATCAACTTCTTTAGGCTTTTCCTGCCAGTTGCATTCCCTCCTTTTTCAGTTCCATTTTGGAGATTGATTGAATGAGTTTTTTTTTTATTTTTTATGATTGGATCACGTGCTCTGATGCCCTTCTATTCTGATTTGACCCTTTTCTTTTTGCCAATTATTGATCCAGATTAGCTTACATGCATCCTTCCCACTAGCCTCAGCCAACAACAACCAGAACTTGGGTTGGAAAGGCATAATGCAGAGTGTTCTGGATCCACTGTACCTTAACATGACTTAAACTGAAGAATTTCGCAGTAAGATTTTTGTTGCAAATGGTCTAAACGCCAAAGCTACAAGAACGCTTGTCGCTTCAGATTTCTAGCTGAATGCAGAAGATCGAGAGTTTTCACATATACTTGCAGCCCCGAGGGAAAAATCAAAAGAGTTGAATCAGAGAGAAATCATCAGAGTTGGGATTTGCAGAAAAAGAAGGTTGAACGCCATCAATCTTCCACAAAATTGAAGATTCTTGATTCAACCACAGGCATTCTGGAAATCATGTTGGAACAAAAGCTATTCCTTTTATTATTAAAACTTCTGGAATATAGCCAAGAAAGGCCATATCTCTTACATACATCAAAGTAATAACTATAAAACTTATATCAAGATGGTGGACATTGAACGGAGCTGTAAGATTCATACATTATCCTCTCTATGCTAGTGAAACAATTAAGATACCTAAAAGCTTTTTATCTTATCCTTGATGCACACGGGTATGTAACATTACATGTGTCCCCCACTACAACAGTGTACTTGTGTAACGGCTTGGAAAGAAAAGCCGGCAAGTACACCAGCAGATCACACACACATACACTGTCAATTGCAGCCAGCCACCGGCAGCAATCCCTCTCTAAAGGCGTTGCCCTATGCCTATGTTCGTGATGCCTATGCCTTTGATGCTCATGGCCATGCCCTTGCTCCTCATGCTTATCATGCCCGTTCTCCTCATGCTTATTATGCCCTTGCTCCTCATGCTTATTATGCTTGTGCTCCTCGTGCTTTTTATGCCCATGTTCTTCATGCTTTTGCTTGTGATAATTAATGTCTGGCTCATCTAGTACTGGAGGCAAAGGAGGAGACGGTGGAGGATTTGGCATAAAGGGAAGAGCCCCACAAGCATGCGAGGCCAGTGCAAATTGAGAAACACAGAGAGGTCGAGGAGCAAGAGGTGGCCTAGGTGCCCATTGGCTGTATGTTCCCGGGTGCAATACTAGAAATGCAAACAGAACTACCAATTTCAGAAGATTAGATCTACCCATGCCTCTGATTAACTAGTACAAATCAAGAAAGATCGACATATAGGCATATAGGCGTAGCAGTCATGCATTACTTGTTTTGCTTATATAGCAGTATACTATAATCATAAGCTTTCCATGTCGTATTTTTGGGAATTCTCAAGAATGAAGTAGATATGCTTCAGAACCATTCATGCCCTTGGTGTGAAAGTGAGTTGCTTAGGTGAGAAAATATCGTACCATCATCCAACTAAATCTTTCATGCTATCTACCCCAAGAAACAACAAAGAAGCCCTCTAATTTAAAAATGAAATGCCACAAGATTAGCCCCTTTAAGAGTTCCAATGGCAATGGATTAAAAAATGCCATCACAGCACTAGCCATTCGAATCGGTTATCTGTCAAACTAAAGGCCTTACCCATACAATACCTTGTTGGGTTCGCGAAACATGAGCCTGTTTACACGGCTTGAATGTTGATAACACTAGGATGTTAACTGCTCTGCGCAACCTGATCAAACTCTGTTATGCTGCCGTCTTTAACTTCATTTCCTCGGCTCTCTCCCGGTACCCCTCATTCAACAACTCAACAAACTTGTCTTTAATCTGGAGGAGTGGATCTCGATCAATCAATTCATCACCCTTGTAAGCTTCCCTGAGCATTGCAGTCTCAATTCCACCTTTTAGTGACATATAAAAAAGCCCAGAATGCCGGGTGAACACGCTGGAAAACGCATTAGAGAACCTATAATCCTCACAAAATTTCCCCAAAGAAGGCACTGGAACCCTCCTATAGATAGAAAGAGACAAAAGCTCATGGAAAACCCCAACATTCCTCTTTTCCATCTCTCTTGATGATGGTTGCAAATGGGAGACATCCTCATAAGGCGATATGTATGGCATCTCTAACCAATCTCTAACCCATTCCCTCATTTCCTTCTTTATACAGAATCCAGGAGGAAGCTTCCAATTAAAATAAGGCCTAATTCTTATCCCTGTCAACCTTGATTCCTCATCTGCCCTTTGCTCAATAACCGATTTTGCATAATCAGAATTCCACGAAACCAATTGTATATAAGTTTTGCCTTCTCCCGGAGCCCCAACTAATTTAAAATAATCCGGATATTTAGGAATTAAATTCACCAGGAAATCATTCGGGAACCCGAATTCCCTCTTCACTTCCACTAACTTATCAGCACTCAGAACCCTATGCTTGGACATCATCAACAACTTGCACAACTTAGAAACCACCAGCGGCTCATTTTCCGAATAGATTCTTTTCTCCTCCTCCAGAAACTCCTTCAGCCTGTTGCTGGGCCGGATAAACGGAACAAGGTCCGACTTGGGCCTGATCCGATCCATGTAAGTCTCGAACAAACCCGGATTCCAAGATAAGAAAGTTTGAACCTTGATGGGCAATCGGAGCCTTTCCCGGCGTTTCTCCAAGTAACGGAGTGCAATAACTTGACCCGGCTCGTTCAACACCTCTTTGACAACCCGCGCGCAGAGTCGCCATCGCTTATCGTTCTGGATTGCTTGGTCTAGCTTAAGATCCTTACGCCAAGCAACTTTGAGGCTCGAAATCAAAGCTCTAAACTGAATGCAAGCTTCCAACGTGGAGATTGTGGAGGATGGCTGACGAGTTATGAAACTGGGGTTGAAACGCATCACTGAGCTAGAGGAAGCCGGAGAAAGTGGTGGCGGAGAACGGATAAAAATGGGTATCAAATTAAGCAAAGCGATAGAACTAATTCACCATAAGCATTACGAAATGAGAGTTGGATTTGGAGAGCTTTTGAGGAGTAAACTTTTAGGAATTAGGTTTATGCCTTTATGATCAGACTGGTAATTTGGGATTTTCCGCGGACGCAGAGCGTGAAATATTATAACGGGTGGAAACCGCGCTTTCACTGAAAGCGTGGGCGAATTCCCGCTTTCTTCGCTCAAGTTTTAAGATTAGGAGTTAGGACTAGAGGCTTCATGCTAAATTGCTAATAATAGCTAAATGGATATTGTTCCGGTGATAAAGAATGAGAAAGCTATAGAGGTTCAAATCTCAATAAATAACACTGGCATAGGATCTTCTGTTATACTTTTTTAACACTATGTGTTAATTCAATAATTTCGTATAAATTTTGTCATTTGTGTTAATGTATACATCATTCACACCCCTTGAATGATGCCCTATTCAATCCTAATTTTTCATTAAAACTATTTATAGCATTGACAAAATATGCTAATTCGGTGGATATGAAGAAATATACTCCATTGTTTGTGATTTCTCACGCATTCAGCTAATTAGGTTTTGGAAGGCCTTTTTGCTATGGACTACACTGTTAATAAAGACAAGGCCGAAACCTTCCTCATGGCCCAATTTTAAGCCCAGATTCATGATATTGGGAGTTTCAATTTTGGTCAAGATTTTGTCCTGATTCTGATGAATAATGGGCGAATATCAAAAACACCCCCGAGGTTTGGTCCATTATCAAAAACACCCTCAATATATGAAAAATATCAAGAACCACCCTGAATTTTATGTCCGGCCATCAATTCAATCTCAAGTCATCAGAATGATGATGAATTGAGAACTGATGATGTAAGTAAATGTAAGCTTGTAAGGACGAAGATACCCTCCAATAAATGGATTAAAAAAAATCTACACAATATATCCTCTAAATCAAACCGGCAAGCTGAAGCTGGATCACCTCCACTAATCACCACCACAAAACACTAACTCCTCCGGCGGGCTCAACAGTCAACACCCAGGCTCTGCGCGTGATTTATCATCACAATCGACAGTCAACTTCATTATTTTCTATCTCTGTTGCCAATAAATTCTTACCCAAAAAGAAAGAAAAAAAAATCTGGTTCAACACCACTAATAATCTGAATAAAATTACCTTATAGCAAACCTCGATTACAAAAGCAATGTCATTTAATGGTGGCCAAAAAGTAATAACTGCATTGTCAATTACCGGCTAGAATCCAAACACAATAAAAGCTAATAAAATGTCATCCAAAATTCAAAATTTTGCAAAATAAAAAACTTAGTTCCAGCAAAATCAAAACTCATCAATTGACGGCTTTTTGTGGAACCCGCAACACGAATCCGATTTTAGGTGCAAATGTCTCCGTGTACCGGAACCGAGACAAGTTGGAGTGATTTTGTTAAATGTGGAAGCATACGGCCAATGAGGAAGACAATTGCTTTTGACGGAGAAAAGCTTTGATTTCAAAGATTTTGAGGAGAAGAAATCTTTGATTATGCAATTATCTTTCTATTAAGTACGCTTAATCTGTATGGGAGAATAAGAAGTGGAAGAGTTCTTTTTTTTTTTTCTCTTTTTTCTTTTACCTTTCGATAATGAATGCTGTAGTTTCCTTATAAGTATAGGTTGGCCGGAATATATTTGGTTTTTTTCGTCCTTTCATATTACTTGCCATTTGAATCCTAAGCCGGGTGGGTCAAGGGAGATTCTTGTTGATACTTTTGATACAATGAGGGTGTTTTTGATAATAGACTAAACCTCGAGTGTGTTTTTGATATTCGCCCATGAAAAACTTACACGAGATGGTGTATCTTTTGATCGTAAATAAAAACCGTGATACCAATCTTTATTTACTTTAATGGAATTTTTATACAAGTATAGGAGGCACAAAGATTAGTTCTCCAACTTAAAATCTGGAGTAATTTAATTCACTGATCCCTTGAATTAGTTTTACTACTTAAATTAATGACTTTTCTTTTCTAGTAGTTAATCAACTTTCTATATAAGTAGAATTTCTAGAAATTAGTTCTTCATAGTAGAAGCGGAAGAGAAACAAGTTTACAAATAAGGTCGAAGATGAACAACATTAATTATTTTACTATTACATTATAGAAAAGGACTAGACTCACAACTAATATAAACAAATGTCTTTGCGAGTATTTTCCTTGATTTGAGACAAATCTTGTCATCAACTCAAAAAAGCTTTTTTTTTTACTTTTTTTTAGAGTCTTTGGACTGTTATAGTAGTAGTAGTGTATGCATCTCCTTTTCCTAGGACCATTACGTCACCATCACCGTCACGAACCGAAACTTGTAACCGTCCGCCACTCTCCGCTGTATATCACCACCGCCACCGCCAGCTAACAGCCTAACACTGCCGCAATTGCACCCTTTCTTTCTTATCTTCCTAATTAATGCTTCTGAGCGCCCCTCCTTAATTTCTGTTCGTTGAGCTCAGTGATACCAATTGTAATTTTGGAGCTTATTTCTTAGTTTTTTATTTGGTTTTCCGACGATGAAGTTGTCTTTAGTCAACGGCGTAGTCCTGTTGGGAATGACGGCCACCTCCTCTAGGGCGGCGTTTGTGGTGGACTCACAGGACATTGAATTTGGGAACCCCTGGTGGTTTGTTTTTGCCGGTGTATCTTGTTTCCTCGTCCTCTTCGCCGGCATTATGTCGGGGTTAACTTTAGGATTGATGTCTCTCGGTCTCGTCGAACTTGAAATTCTTCAGCGCAGTGGCACCTCCGCCGAGAAAAAGCAAGCAGGTTTTTTTTGTTTTTTTTTTTTTTCCCTTTTGTTTTCCTTTCCCCACCACCACCAGTAAAGAAAAAGAAAAAATTCTTTTTTTGCTTTCTTTGGGTCCGGATTGATGTGATTGTTCTTCTTTCTTTCTTTTTTTTTTAAATATTTTTATATAAAAAAAAATCAGCTGTAATCTTACCGGTGGTTCAAAAACAGCACCAACTGCTAGTCACATTGCTGCTTTGCAATGCTGCTGCTATGGAGGTGAGTTAGGTTCATCTCTTGATTTTGTTTTTGCATTTAAGGCTTAAAAAGATTGCAGTGGGTAAACCTTGCAAAGTAAGGTGAAGAATTGGAAACTAGAATTGGCTATGCAGGATGTTACCTGTTATGGTGTTTCTGTTACGGATGTTGGTTCTTTACTAATAAGTTGTGGAAGTCTGCAATTTATGGGTGGTCTTTTAACTTGGTGTCAAACAATTCCCTTGCAGGCTCTTCCCATTTACCTGGATAAGATTTTTCACCCTGTCGTAGCTGTTTTGTTATCCGTCACTTTTGTTCTGCTTTTTGGGGAGGTTTGTACTGTTCTTCCTGTACTGTTCGTCTTCTCTATTATGTGCACGAAAAACAAGCTCAGTAACAGTCATTTTACTTGACCCACCATCACATTGATGTAGATTATTCCCCAAGCTATATGCTCAAAATATGGACTTGCTGTGGGAGCAAATTTTGTTTGGCTGGTGCGCATTCTGATGATCATATGCTATCCTATTGCTTACCCAATTGGGAAGGTAAATCCTGCGTTATTGGCTGATCACCTTGGGCTTCTACATTTTTTATTCGCAATACTTCAAGCTCACTTTTGCATTATTACTTACTTGTTCTTAAATGTACCGTTCTTATAGGTTCTTGATGCTGTATTGGGGCATAATGATGCTCTGTTCAGACGAGCTCAATTAAAAGCCCTTGTTTCAATTCACAGCCAAGAGGTACTAATCTGAGATGTCGTGCACTTATGATCTTTTATGAGTAATTCAACCGAAAAAAGGGTAGCCGGGTTTATTGTTTCAGGCTGCCGAGAACAAGCTTTGCGACTGTTAGATCGATGTTGTGGCTAGCCTTTTAAAAGATAGTGTCATCACAATAACTTTGTTACCATCCACTTGATTGCAAAAGTTGTTGTTTCTCAACTTTGAACTATCTCTTTTAGCCTTTGATTGTAAGATTTTATAGTTTCTCCGATGAACCTTTTTGACATTTTGATGTTATGGTTCCTTCTTAGGCTGGTAAAGGTGGTGAACTCACGCACGATGAGACTACTATCATAAGTGGAGCTCTTGATTTGACTGAAAAGGTTTATATTGCTATTTATTGATTATAGGACATCAAGGGTAGTTGTTTTGATTTGATAATGTTTGTATGTACCAGTCTATTTGAGTTTGTTGGGCCTGTGCAGACTGCGGAGGAGGCTATGACACCTATAGAGTCAACATTTTCCCTGGATGTCAACTCCAAGTTGGACTGGTGAGCTTTCCTTATCTGTGTCGTTCATATTAATTGGCAAGCAGTTATTATCCATTAAAGTTTTTGCTTTAAGTTTCACGAGGCATGCATGTGCTGGTTTTGCTGATTTGCTCATTTAACAAGATAAAATTACACATGGCTCTGAGCTCCGACTCTCCTGTTAGGCAGCATTCATAGATTGTGCATAGTCAAATTGGTCATGTGGCTGGTTTAAGGCTCGGCTGGTTTACCCGCCTTTTAACTTCCTAGAGTGTGGCTTGGTGTATGGCATTTTGAATTGGTTATCATATTTACTGATAAAACTTAATGTTGAAGCGAAAGAAATCTTGCAGTGACTTTTGCACCTATCACGCTGCCTTGTTCTGGTTTTCCCCCAGAGTTTCGTTTGCTTTCTACCTGTTTCCACTTAATGAATCTCCTGGTGAATATGCAGGGAAGCAATTGGGAAAATCCTGGCACGAGGTCATAGTCGTGTTCCTGTCTATTCAGGAAGCCCAAAAAACATTATTGGACTTCTACTGGTTTGTTCTGGAATCCTGTGGCTACTAGAAAGATTCTCTATAGAAGTTAAATGGTTAGTACGGATTTAATTTGCTGCTCCGGATTCAGGTGAAAAGTCTTCTCACCGTACGGGCAGAAACCGAGACTCCAGTTAGTTCTGTTTCTATCAGGAGAATACCAAGGTTATTATTATGTTATCCTTTTCTCTAATATTTAATTCTTTCCTCTTTCATGTGCTTGATGATGAATTTGACTTTTCTCAGGGTTCCAGCAGATATGCCATTGTATGATATTCTTAATGAATTTCAGAAAGGAAGCAGTCACATGGCTGCTGTCGTTCGGGTTAAAGGTAAAGGCGGATATGCTCAACCTCTTGTTCAAGAAGAAAAGGTTGGGGAAAGTGAGGTTAACAGTATGGATTCTCATTTGAATTCACCCCTGCTGCAAAAGTTCAATGATAGATCAGATATTGCGATCAATATAGACAAGCCATCATCCCATACCTATATGGACAAGCATATGATTAAACAAAATGGATCAACAAACTGTTTGACCCATCTACCAGAGGATGTTGAAGATGGAGAAGTCATTGGCATCATCACCCTCGAAGATGTATTTGAAGAGCTTTTGCAGGTTTGTACAAATTCTTCATATGTGCTTGTTCTGGGCATCATGTTTGAGAATGTATTTCGTCACCCTTATTGCTCGTAGCTCATCAAAATAGGATCACTTGCTAATGGTGATGGACACTTCAGTGGCATATCTTTTTTTGTTCATTTTCTTTTCCCCCTTTTTGGGTCATTACATGCCTATATTCTGCCTTCAGTTACGGTATAAATAATGATCATGCGCCCTATCGTGGATGCAGGAAGAAATTGTCGATGAGACAGATGTATATATTGATGTGCATAAAAGGTAGCTGATCTAATATTAAATTTTCCATTATTTGTAATTTGTTTTGGCTGTATTTAGTGGATACATAGATGACTTTTACAAAGTCTGACAATTTCTCTCATGATGCTAATTGTTGCAGAATACGGGTGGCTGCAGCCGCAGCTGCTTCATCCGTTGCTCGTGCACCTTCGAATAGGAGGCTAACCGGTCAGAAGCCCCCTGTAAGTTCCGGAAATGTTTTGCTTTGAACCCATTTTATTCATGTTGTTTCCATTTTACTTGAAGCTCATAAATGGAGCTGTGTTGGTAAAACCTACTTCAATACCCTAGTGAAATGATGTTTTTGAAATGTGTTTCCAGGTGATTGCCGCAAAGAAAGGGCAGGTGTCAAAGAAGCTGTCTGGGGAGGATTCACAACCAACAACATTGTAAAATTCCTGTCGCCTGTTCTTTTAGGAGAACAGGTTCTGTAGTTTTGGTATCCCTGGACAGTACTGTGAAATGAATGCTGGAGATGATGCAGCGCGATTGGGGGAAATAAGAAATTAGAAGATAGGCAGTATATAGTATGGGTCAATAGTCATAACTTTAGATTGTAGATCATGAATTAAGTACTTGTAAGAGGAGATCATTAGGTAAATCCTTTGTGTCCTGTGATATTTGAATTCTTGGTGAAGAAAGAAAATTTTGGTTGACTTTTGATAGGATTGGATGGAAGTATGGATAGATAGAGGTCTGTCCATACCATTAATAATTAAATTATGAAATTCCTTAAGAAAATGGATTATAATATTATATATGAGGAACCTATCAACGATTCACTTAATTTTAAAATCTCCATCTCTCAGAAAATATAAGTATAGCAAACACTGGGAAATTAATCACTGGAATCAGAGAAATTGATAGGTAAAAATTACGTGACCAAGAATATCAATCCCTCTGCAACACAGTCTTGCACGATTTTACAAAATTGATCAGTCAATTTTACGTGATCTTTTTTAGGAGTTCACTTTATGAATACTTCCCTCCAAATTATTACGTAATTAAATTCTAATCCTCCAGCTTCTTCTTTATCTTCAAGAAAGAAAAAATATTTTAGGGTTAATTCAAGGGAAACCCCAGTGGTATTTGGAACTACATGATAAAACCCCCCATGATATATAAATATCAGAGGAACCCCCTTATGCTTATACAGAAGTTTGTAAATTGACAGAAAGTTGGCAAAATAACGGAGCGTGTAAAATACCTGAAGGAGATGTGTGTGAAGTTTTCTAATCCCACAAAGAACTAATTTTTTTCCCTAAATAATACCCTTAACAGTTAACACCTTTTTATAATCTTTTTACATAATTTTCATTTATCTTTTTGGGTTTCACTTTCCTCAATGGCAGTTTACAGTCTTGCCAAACCATTCTCTTCTTTGTCAAATCGAATGTTTCCCCTTTCTTCAAAGATTTTTTTTCCTTCTCGCAATTGAACAACAACCCGCAACACAATAAAGAAATTCAAAAGCATCACCGAGACTGCAAGGAAAATTAATTCAGACAGAGTTTCGGACGACAAGTTTTATTTTGTGTCAAAAGAAAAGGTTGCAAATTAAGGCTTCATTTTATTCGATTGGCGCTGATATTAGTCAGGGGAAACCAAACCCCAACTCAATTGACAAACCATAATTGAGGTATGCAGTCCTGATTTATCAAAATTAATGGAGCTTCTGCACGGTGTTCATCAATAAAAATCTCGAAAATGGAAATGATTAAGCTGATGAATTGTTTTGTGTTTAGATCAATTGTAATATTTGTGGTAAAGGAATGATTGAGTTGATGAATTTTGTTAGTGTTTTGGTTAATTGTAATACCTTTGTCCTTTAATGTAATCATTTTGTTAAAGTGAGATATGAAGCATTATTGAGAATTTTGGGTTAATTCAAAGAAATCCTCCTGTGATATTTGGAATAAAAATGTCGTAATCGGGAGCCTTTTCGTTGGAATTTGCCCATATCCATTATCATTCCATGGAATCGTGCGCCGTGACAAACGAATCTTCATATTCGATTTGAATTTTACTGCCTGGCTCGTTTTGTGGAGAGATTTTCGTTTCTTTAATTTTTCCGGTGAGCAAGAGTTGAGTTAATTGACAACTACCTAATAATTTCCATTGATACAAGGTTATATTGGCTATTTAACTTATCACCGTTAGTCAAAATATGTAGTTTTACCAGTACTAACTTCGGAATAAGCACAAGTATGTTATTTTGATATTTATATACCATGGGGGGTTTTATCATGTAGTTTCAAATCACTACAATAAAAATGAGCTATTAATAACTTTATGGTGGGACACTTTTCTTAAAATGTGTCTCATTATATGTGTATTAGGACATTTGTTAAAAAGTATCTTATTAAAAATGAAAAAGCATATACATATTATGAAACACTATCATAAGTGTACTATGTGGGGTTGCTTGTGAACTATTACCCTACTTAATGGCTCACTTTAAAGTGTCTTAATAAGTGACAATCTAATAATACACTTTCAAATATTTTATGATTTATTGTGACTCGATTATAGGAGACACTATTTTGTAGTGTCCCACGCAATGTGAATCACATGTGTCCTATTACACCACTGACACAAAAAAGTGTCTAAACTACTCATTTTTGTTGTAGTGAATACCAGGAGGATTTCTTTGAATTAACCCAATAGTTTAGGATGGAAGGAGTAAGTTATAAATTTGTACTCCCTCCGTCCCATAATTATTGTCCAGTTTTACTAAAATGAAAGATTTTATTTTTGGTCAAACTTAACTATATTTTACCTTAAACAACCAGATATACCCCTACATAAGTAATTGTTTAACCACTAAGATTTTATGGATAATGTTTTTTACTAAGGACAAATATGTAACTTGATCCATAAAAAGTCAAATTGGACAATAATTTTGGGACAAAATTTTTTGGGTAAAGTGGACAATAATTATGGGACGGAGGGAGTATCTTTTTACATTGTGTAGGTATGAGTTGCATGTTCCCCTGGCCAAACCTTTTCCTAGTTTTGCCAGTCTAACCAACCAGTTCATAAATTCGCTGATTTACTGGTGGATGGTGAATTATGCGAAAAAGTGAGTCGCCCTGCTCCCGTCTTCCTCTCCACCGTTCTCCAATACATCGCTGCCGGGGTCAATTTTTCTTCCATTAATTTTCTAACCTAATACGTTTTTTTTTTAATGGTTCTGGATGTTTGATTTTTTATTCTGTTTGGTGGTGGATGATGTAGGTTCTAGAACTTGCTGGAAACGCAGCCAAGGAGGACAACAAGACTGTTATTATGCCCAGCCACATGTTGCTGCGTGTCATTAAGAACGATGAGGCCTTAAACCAGCTTTTGGGTGAGGTACGTATGGATTCTCTCGTTCGTTAATAAACTAATAATTAGGGATTTTTGTGATTGGGCTTTGTGTTTGATTGGGGGGATTCTGTGTTGTAGCTTTTTGAAGCCGCGTCTATGGACTTCAATGTGGAGTGGGTGACCAAGCTTTTTGGTGGCGTTACTATTGATGGTAACGACGGTGGTGCTACTCTATTGCCCGGCAATTATCAAAATCTATCGACTAATAACATGGAAATATCTGACTGAGGTAACCGCGACTTCCGGCTCCATATTTTAGGGTAGGGGGTTTCTCTTTTGATCGAGTGTATATATGTCAAAAAGCAAATGGACTCTGTAATCTTTGATGTCTAAAAGGAAATTAGGGATCTGTCTCTCCTCCCTTTAGTTATTTATATAGTATGTTTCAAATTGCGCAATGTTATCTTGGGTCCCAACGGAAACAATCTCTTTATATAGACAAGGGTAAGGTTGCGTACATCTGACCTCCAACAACTTTGGTTCGGAGTATACTGGGTATATCATTGTTGTTGTTTTAATAATGGGAAATTGGGAATTATGGACTTCATTGCTTGGTATTGATGGATAAACTGGTGATTGAGGTAAGCGTCCGCCCATTTCACTCTGTGAGTATTGTTGTTTTTCTTCTGTTTGATATAGATGACATAATGACATTGGATGATTGCTGATACCATTCTGTGAGATACTTGTTGGCAAAAGGAGATATTGGATCACTAAAACCTTTGTTTCCACCTCCCTATTGTTCATTAGTACTACTCTGGTGCATGATCACCATGGCTGGGAAGTACTCGAGGTGTCTGGAAAAGCTTCTTAGGATTAGAATCATTAATGTAAAAATTCATTGTAGTATGTATGTATCCAATGTTTTGGATTAGTGCAGAACATTTCATTTGGCCTTCTTGGATTCCTTCACCGCCATTTTCATTCTCCTTCTTCTCAGCTGCTGGAGAACATTCCGGTTATTAAGTAGCCATTCTGTTCTCGTCAAGTTTGCATTTTTCTCTTTGTTAATCTCGACTGCTCGGCAAGATGCGACTCCCTGAGAAATCATCTGTACGTGTGCATCGATGTCCTTACCAATCTGCTGAAAAGTATCCGTCGAATCAATTGGGAGAAATGGAGAAACCAGCTTATCTTTCTTCTCGTGCAAGAAGCAGATTCGACACATTAACATTTAAAATACTAGATAATACTCCCTCCGTCCCATAATTATTGTCCAATTTTACTAAAATGAAAGATTTTATTTTTGGTCAAACTTAACTATATTTTACCTTAAACAACCAGATATACCTCTACATAAGTAATTGTTTAACCACTAAGATTTTATGGATAATGTTTTTTACTAAAGACAAATGTGTAACTTGATCCATAAAAAGTGAAATTGGACAATAATTTTGGGACAAATTTTTTTTGGGCAAAGTGGACAATAATTATGGGACGGAGGGAGTAATAAATACTAAAAATAAAATTCTAGATCACTACCAATACTGTTTTTGATATATGATATACAAAACTGCGCGACAGTGGATTTTTTTATATGTGATATACAAATGATTTGACTATGTTTGGATATATATTAATTAAAAATTCTCAAAAAAAGAATGAAAAAACAATCGAAATAGAGCCTTAGTAAATCCTAAATTGTCGATAATGCCCAGTTTCTTAGCCGCGTAGATATCCATTTACTAGAGTATTTTTTTCCTCACCAAGCAATAGCCGTAATAGCCCATTAACCCGAACCGACATCCAGAATTCACCACTTTTCCTTTTGGCCCCTCTTAATGCAGAATTACTCACGTCCACCTCCCCTAGAATTTGAACAAATACCAATCAAACCTATTATTTCTAAAAATACTAGTCATATTCATATCTTGGTCGATCAATTCAAACACTTATAATTCTTTTTTTTAATGTAAATATTTATTAAATTTTACCCATGTGAAAACTAAAAAATACCATTTAATATTTATAACGAGCTAGTTAATCACTCCAGAATCTTGGTTTATTGATTTATGACACATTTTGTCTTAGTTTTAACTTGAACATAATTTATTGAATTTTTATTGCACATTTGATGACTTGCATCACATCATGAAATTGTCTCCAATACAAAAAAGAATCCTAAATTAATTTTTAATGCTTTCATCTATCCTGCTATAATAAATAATGTATTAGGATAGCATTTACATTATGTTTAGCTAGCAATGAGTTATAGTATTTATTTATGAAAATTTTGAAATATTGAAGGGATTATTACTAATATAATGTATCTAAGAACTTAAGGACTTAATCGGCGTTTTTGCAATCCTTATGGGAATCTATGTGATTCACCCAAAAAACTGTTACTTTTCTTGCGCGAAAACAAATTACGTCCGTATTTATTTATATAATAAGGAATTTTTTTTAGACGACACAGAGGTGGAGAGAGTTTTGCTAGTACTACACCACTCTGCCCCCCCAAGTCTTTGATTGTAACAATCACGCTATCGAAATTTCTCCAGGTCTGTTCGTTTTCTGCTTCCCCCAAACCCTAGGATCATATTAGGGTTTACATGTTTTCGTATTTTGTTTATTTGCCATTGTCAATTTTGCATTGAATTTCGACCCTTCATGCTATGAGGTTTGTTTGTCGGGACAATAATTGATCGAATTCCGTTCTTGTTTCTTTTTTTTTTTTGGAAGGGGAAAAGCAATGATTTTTTCCGCTGCAATTTTATTATTCAGTTTCACCGCTTGTTGTTTCTTGGTTAAGCAATTTCCTGGAATTTTCTGTTCGGTTTCTTCACGAAGTATGAGATATTGAACGGATAAAATTTGGAATTTTTCGTGTTTCTTGTTCGTCATATTTTACCGGCATGTCTTCTTTTCTTGTCTTTTGTAATGATCAAAGCTAATTTTATTTGTAATTTTTGAGCGATTGGACCTTAATTGCTCTTTTGATAAAAGTGTCCCTTTTCCGGCGCTTCTGTTTTGCTTCCCGAATCTGATTGTCCTTTTGCTCACAGGCGATTGTTCTTCTGTAGGATTTATTGATTGCAGTTGTTGATGATGGGATTCAAGAAAGTGTACAACGTGTTGCTGGAGATTTTCCCTGAGGTATAACATAACTTTACACTATAATCACGCATTGTTTTATTAGGCTCTGCATATGCTACATGAATTTTTAAATATTTTATTTGTTGTTGGGTTAAAGGGTTTTGCATGAGATATCTATGTATTGTTAGATTGAAGGCTTAGAATCCCTTGTTGGTTCGTTCTGTAAATATTACCGGGACTGAAAATTCTGATCTCAACTCTTTATTTGCAGGTTGATTCTAGAGCTCTTAGGGCTGTGGCTATTGAGCACCAGAAAGATGCTGATGCGGCTGTTGAGGTTGTCTTAACTGAGGTCATTCCTTTCTTGGCAGAAAGGTCTGCTATCAGCGTTTCATCCAGCAAGAATATGGTGACTGCCCAACCACCTAAGGGTAATGGTATAGAATATATTTTACTTGCTTTCTGTTTTGTAATTGAATTAGAGTTGTGGATTATGTGTTTCAACCTTTATATTTATTGGCTTGGCTGATGTTGGTGCTTAATGGTTGCAGCAACTACAGTCTTTGCTGATGAACCACCTTCTACGTCCAATGCCTTCTCTGTTGATAATGTGAAATACCAAGAGGAAGAGCAGCATGTTCCACTACATGCTGCCTCTGCTGACCAACAAACCTTTCATGATGCGAAGGACGACCTTGATGAACTAGGCCAGGAGCGTAGACTCAGTGATAACCTAGATAAAGAATGTGATGAGAGAAGTGGGAATCTTGATTCTGGTGATAATATAAACTCTTGCTCCTCATCTGCTGTATTGATACATGAGAATGGTGCCATTGCGGACAACGATGAAGTAACTGGAGATGCTGCATGTGTAGAATCTGCTGATGAAGTGTCTCAAGCACGGGAGTCTATAGATGGTTGTGATGTGCTTTCTCAGCTTAATGTGAAGCCTTTGGAAGATGAAAATGTGAACCCCAGTCAGTTGTTAGATTACTGTCTGGATGCTAAGGCCATTCGCGCTGAAAATTTTGAAGAAGAAAACAGTTTGTTGAAAGATGAGCATTCTCTATTGATTTCTGAACCTTCTGACTTACCGATATCTGATTTGAACAAAGAATTTGATGGTCCAGTGGATTCTATGCTCACAACAGAGTCCTCTATTGAATTGGTTGATGTCGTAAGTGATTCTGGGTTGAACACAGTGGTTACCCGATCTGGCCAAATATGTAATATTGATCTTCTTGAGGATATCATTGCAGATGCAAGGAACAATAAGGTATGCTAATTGTAACTATGCATTGTTGTTTGTTTTTTATATTTTTTTTTATGTACCGGTATCTTATAGTGGTTTCAGTATCTTAGTGACTAAGTGACCTATGATACTTAGTCTGAAGGTACCAATCAAGTGTTTTCCTGGTGTAATCAATAGGATCTTACAAACAAAGACAGCATCTTGGTTAGCAGACAGTATGTACAATGCCATGTTCTCATATGTTTTGTGTTGCTGATTTCGTTGTTTACTTAGAATTCCGTTGCTTTTGCAATCAAAGTGTAGCTCGGATGCTAATTTATGCCAAGAGGTTGGACTTTGTAGTTGCTCATTTGAATCCTTTAAAATTTCAACAACTTCGCTTCACTTCACTTCACTTCACTTCATACCTTACTGCATTAATCAGCCTAATACTTTCATCACTTCGTGGAAGTTAGCTTTGAGCTAAGTATTACTTTTGAACTCTTGTTTACATGCACTCCAGCGAAAATATAGTGGATTGTAGTTCATGGAGAGGTTTGCCTGACAATCCAATTATTTGATTTAGCAGAAAACCTTGCTTTCGGCTGTGGAGATTGTACTTGACCTGATGAAGGATGTGGAAGCCCAAGAGAAAGCTGCAGAAAAAGCTAAAGAAGATGCTGCCAACAGTGGCGTAGACATTTTCAAGAGGGTGGAAGATCTCAAACAAATGCTTCAACATGCAAAAGAAGCAAACGACATGGTTTTTTTCCCTTGTTATTGATTCTAGTGGGCATATTCAAATCAATGTGATATACTATTCTGTTAAAACTCATAATCACTTTTCTCATTTGCTGCAGCATGCAGGAGAAGTATATGGTGAGAAGGCTATACTAGCCACAGAAGTGAAAGAGCTTCAGACCCGTCTGCTCTGCATATCCGACGAAAGGGACAGAAGTCTTAAGATATTTGATGAGGTAAGGCACAGTCTAATTGTTAAATATACCAGCTGTACCTCATTAGAAGTGCTCAATATGTTTCCGTATGGGCTTTATTAGTTCAATGGTTTGCGATATTCAGAGAAAGTCAATACCTTGTCACATTATCATTGGTGTTTTATCTGGCCACTTTCGGGGTCGACTTGTATGCTAGTTATTCGCTTGTCTAGTAGTTTGAGACGCCTTTTTGCGTGTGTTAATTATGATGGTTAACCATTTCCGTGTATATGTTTGTCTACGTGTACTTTGAATGGGTTATAAATGTACATCATAGTATTTTGAGAAGTTCTTCAAGTTCTTCTCTTGTGTCTGTTTGAGATGTGAGTGATCATACTCCTGTGGTGTTTGCGAGGCATGGATGTTAAGAAGTTACGTCGGTCTTTTTTTCTGTGTTGCACACATTTATATGGGTTATTGTTCATGCTCATAATTCCGCCATTTGACAATCAATTTTCTTTTCTGCAGATTCGCCAGAATTTGGAGGAGCGACTAGATGAAGCTGAGAATGTGATAAAGGTTGCGGAGAAAGAGAAACTTGAAAGGGAGGCTGCAGCCTTGACAGCCCTAAAAGATCAGGAAGTTATTATGGAGAAGGTGGTGCAAGAAGCTAATCTCTTGAAGGAAGAAGCTGAAGCAAATGCCAAGGTATGGTTAATTTCCTTACTAGGGCGGCATACATGAGGTTATTTTGGGTTGGGGGCTTGTTCATTGCTTTGATGTTCATAATTGATCTTCTTTCATTTTACAGCTGCGAGAGTTTCTCATGGACCGTGGCAGAGTTGTTGATGAACTGCAGTAAGTCTCCTTTCTATATATATATTGACATGAGTGATGCGCAACTATTATTATATGCATCAACTATTATCCCTAAGTTTAGTATGCTTAATAGAAGTGAAAGTTCAGAGGTTCTGGATTCTTATAAACAAACATAACATATCACCAAGCTTAGAAACTCTAGTTACTGATGCATTTTGACCATTTGTCCCATACTCATCTGGGAACAATAGCTGAATAATTTTCTGTCACAACCTTTGCAGAGGAGAAATATCTGTTATATGCACAGATATGAGATTGTTAAAAGAGAAGATTGATGAGCGTGTTCCACTCAGCAAGTCTGTCACTTCTAGGTTCATCCAGCTAGGCTCTGTTTTAGCTTCTTCCTCTAGCTCTGGTGGCAATAGCGTGACCTCTAGCACTGCTGCAAATAGCGTGATATCTAGCTTTGGTGCGAATAGTGTGTTATCTCGCTCCGCTGCAAATAGTGTGATGTCTGGAGAACAGGCTGAACCAGTCACTAACCACGTTGATTTATCAGAAACACTCAAGAATATGGATGACAACTCCAGTTTAGATGGTCAATTTGTGGGAGAGGATGAAACAGCCGACGTTTTTAAGGATGTCGACAAGGAATTTAGCGGTGACGGGTGGGAGATTTTTGATAGCCTCGATACTTACATGTAAAAATTTGGGCAGATTGTGGGAATAATGTGGAGGATAGAACCTGATCATTGTATAGTACCAGGTTTCTTTAGTTCTAAATTTCCTGCTTCAAACTGAAATAAGTTTCTGGAGGTGAATCTGGATTTATTCGTCTTAGTTCTCTGGTTCTTTTTAATGATCCTGGTTTGGAATTACAAACCTCATCTTTTGCCTTCTGGATTATAGACAGTGTACAGTTTATGTAAATAGTGCTCAATACGCCAATATAACGTAACTATTTCCGTTAGGAGGAACCATTCCATGCATTAACATTATTGATTTGGTAGGTGCAAATGCTCCAGATTACAGTTTGATCAGGGTTTTTTTTTTTTTTTTCCAGAGCTTAAATCAAATAGTTAGACAGTCTATAATGTACTAAAAAAGCTCAATCTTTCATAGGATTTAATGAAAATGAAACTAGTCATCATAATCAGCCTATCAAAATTTACAACTTGCCTCCTTCCCACTTCTCTTTCTGCATCTACATTTTTTTAGTACAAAACGTTCATATTAGTGATGATGATTAAAGTATGCAAAATATCGATCTCTTTCTGCTGAAATCAATCTTGCCAGCAAAGGAGGAGGACCGTACATCTCCAGATGATATAAAGTCGTGCCCTCTGTTCTCTGATTGGCTTTGAACACCTTCCGATGGACCTGAATTTAGAAGAGCCACTCCTGAAGGAAGAAGACAGGTGACTGGCCGCCATAAAAAATTACTTCTAAACTTTCTTCTGATGAGTTAGTTGATTGAATTCTAATGAGGGCTATCTGGAGAGCAAATTAAAGAGGGATGAAGATGATTTAATGTGGAGAGAAAATGCAAAACTGCGAGGCTGAAAGGCGGGGTGATTTCCTTGGCTTATATAGAAGGCAACATGAATTACTAAAAAAAAATGTGGTCAATAACAAATGGGTTGGTGCTGAATTTGGTGGCCCTATAGCTCAATGGTGGTGGTGGGAATAGAGTTGAAAGACCACTTGAAATTGAAGAAAATGGGGTTCCAATGGACAAACACAATTTGACAGCAGTCCACCATTGTTGTCCCCTGTCCAACCTCCAGCGATATTGACAAGCTATTATCTTCTTCCTGTTCATGCCCACCATTGTCGACACACTTGTAATCTTCTTCTTTCAGTCCCTGTCTCCTTCCTTACATCAAACGTGTATGTGTAAAAGGTTTTAGTTTTGAATGGAATCAAAGGACACAGAACCCTTTAACATTTTTAGTCCCAGAATTTGATTTAATGTTTTATGGGGTCCCTGAGAATGAATGAATGCAGAGGGACAAATAGTAAGTTTTAACAAAAAAATATCAGGGATATGGGGACAGGGGAAGCAAAAAGGTGAACAAGTCCCAATGGCCAACTTTCGACATTTCCATGAAAGATGCAGGGAACAAGAGGGGATGTCAAGAAGCCGTATTTTACGATTTGTTAAATTTAAAATCAAATGGTTGAATAGATTACATTAATCTTCTTCGGGATCCTTCTTTGTACCTACGTACCTTGTTAGATGCTACTATGTATCAGCAGTAATTAGCTGAAGTTTTCGGGGTTTGTCCAAAAAGCAAATCCTGCCCATAATTCTCGCAAGTTTCGAAATGAACTCTTTTCCGTCCCAAAATAAGAGTTTCGGTAGTTGTATTGAACTAGTTATACTAAAAGTTGTAGTAATATGGTGATTGTAAAGAACTCACTTCCACATCCTCGGTGAGAAAAATCTTGCTGCAAAACTAATTAAACTAATTGACATCTCAACAACAAAAGAAATTATTATTAACAAAAAGCCTTAATCGCCATTATTAGAACAAGTCATTATCATCAACTTTTAATGATTCAGTCAGGGGTCACCGCAGGCGGACGTGCGTCATTGCTCATAAAAACTGTTTAGAGACTAACAAATGTGACAAAGTCAGTCAGTCATATCGAACCTAACAATGGCTAATAAAAGGCGGTGTCTGCTAAATGATCCCAGTCAATCTCTTCAACACTTGCCGGTGGTGGTGGCCTCTCTCTCTATTATGATTTTCTCTTTTTTTCTTTTCCAAATCAATTTCAACTTTATAAGTCATTCCACGTACTACTCCACCCACCATAATCTTCATCTTCCCTTAGGATCCTACCATTTTTTCTTTTCTTTCTCTTGTCTTCTTTTTCTAGGTTTAGGGCCTATGATAAGCTACATTACAGGAAGATGCTCGAATCACCCTATTTGAGATAGATATGTATGACTTGGTCTTCAAGCCTAGTCATTCTTCAATCGCAGGGGACAATAATCAATCCCTTCAGGGACATCCGATAAAAAAAAAATAATAATAATAATAATCGGGTTGTATTTCGAGTTTGCAATAATCCTTTTGTTTGTTTTCCTTTTTAGTTAGTTTTTTCATAATTAAATAATAATAACTGTTCCATCCCAACATACTTTTTTACATTTTCAATACACTTTTTTACATTCTCAATACAAAAATACCTGAAAACACACACTGAAAAAACAAAACAAACATAATATATTAGCTCTATGAGATGCATACACCTTGTTTTTCTAAGTTTTGATGTATTTGATACGTTACAAATTCATAGATTATTTTTCGAGTTACAAATATAGGGTTATCTTTATTGTTGTATTTCATGTCACAAATTGTGACATGTGGGATTATACATACAAACTCTTGAATGAAACTTCCAAATGATGAGTGGGAGAGGAGGACATTTGTGCCTTCGACCCACACAGAGGGGAAGGAGGACCAAAGGGAGTTTTGGTCCACCAAAATTAATTTCATTTAAGATAGTACGTAGTAGACCCAAGGCTCACGTGCTCAATCATCCCCAGATGCTGTGTTAAAGAAGAGCATCTGAAGCTTCATAAACCTTATCTAAAACCTGTACTTTGCCCCTTTGCACTAATAATACCAATTCGGTGGTCGCCCAACACGGACCATAACAACCCTTTTAATTTGTTTGAGATCAATTCATTATAAGCATATGCATGAACGAAGAAGATGATGGGCCATCATCAGATAGGGAAGAAAAAAAAATCAAGGTCCTTTAATCTCAGTCACAATGTAGCAGTATATTCACTCTGATCTTTAATACATGACATTTTGATTTGTCCTAAGTTTCATATAATATACATTTTTAACTAACAAAATTTTAAAAATATATTTTCATATTCAATATGTTCTCTTGATTATTATGAAATATTTGTAAAATTTTTTTTATCAATTAAAAATACGTACTAAGTAAAATCTTAGACAAATCAAAATACCTTATACTAAGGGCCGGGAGTATCTTTTTCAAATTTGAAAACGAAAATGAAATAAAAAGTTTTCGTCTTGCTGACGGTCTTTTTATGGTCATGTGACCTTTCGAGAAACAAGTGCCGGTCACCAATAAGCATAATTGAGATCGAGTAACAACCTAAGAGTCATATCTGATACACAATGTTTAATCATCCTCCGAGGCTTTGATTTTAGTTACAGCACTAGAAGTAGGGTTAAGGCCGCGAGTTAAAATGCTGCTGATTGGTAGTGATCTAGAATTTTATTTTATTTTTAATAATCTTAATGTCTTGAATATGTTTCTTGCTTGGTTAATGAGCTTCCTTCAGTCTTTCTATAAAAAGAATTTTTGATTTTTTTTTTACGGAAGTATAAAATGCGGTCAAAGTGTTTTATTTTATCATTTTATACTTACAAGTTTAAGAGTAGTTTAGGGTTTCTTTCTTTGTTTTTTTTTTAATTGCGAATCTCTAGTTATTACTACTATGACATTTATACTACTGTATTATATATGTTTATACGAGTTTGATGGGAAAAAAAAAGAAATGAAAATGAAGCTTGATGGCAGCGATATAAACAAGTTAATTAGATGACATCGAGATAATAAAGATTATATATATATATATATGGATGGCCATGGATGGCAGAGGATGGAAATCCTTATGATCCTACCGAAAATATATACCCTTCGTCCCAAAATTATTGTATAGTTTAGTTGAACTAAAAATAAAAACTCAAAGTGGATAATAATTATGGGACTGTGGGAGTATATAGATGTGTGAATGAGGGTGGATTTATATTGAAGTTTTTTGTGTGTGAAGACAAAAATTCGATGAGAGGTTGAAGCCTATATATAAGTAGTATGTGGGTACAAAAAGGAAAAGAAATGGCATGTTGTAATTAAAAGAAATCTTTATTAGGATATAAAATTATAAAAATTAAAAAGGAAAGAAAAATATATTGAAATTAAAATACTAGTCGTATATAAAAGGGCCCAAGAAGACTTTTATATCAGTTAGCCCGCATATAAAATAGGAAGGCGGGAGTCGGTGTAAGGAACTACGGTATATAAGCAAACCCGAAAACTCGAATCAACCCACCCCTAAAATTGAGATTTTTTGTTTGTAGCCAATTTCAGATCCTTTCTTTAATGATTTCTATATCATTTTCCGAAGCGAAAAATGCGGGGATCAATATCAAGTAGAAAAAAAATAAAAAATAAAAAATAAAAAATCAAGCACTACCTAGTACCAACCACAAAATCTCAGTCACATTATAGCAATTTTTTTTTATTAAAAAAAAAAATTGCAAAAAATGGAGAAACTGAAAGAAATGTTGTTCACGTCTTGCTGATTCGTTTTACTAATGACTAACGATGACCATAATTCATCACCGGGGAACTACGTACTGCAGTTCGCAGAGCATAACTGAGATCGAGCAACATTGGCCTGAGAGTTCACAAAACTTACAGCGGTAGAAGGATAAAGGCCGAGAGTTAAACCTGCTAGAAGCAATAAGCACATCGATTCTCAAGGAAAAATTAAAACTACATTATGCCCTTCATCCTTGTATCTACTAAGGGTAACAGAAAGCTGGGTAGCGTTAATCATGTTTACGTCAAGTGACCAACTGTTACCTTAAAATCCCATAAAAGTGCGTGATGGATTTCATTTTGTTATGACTCCCTCTGTTTTGGGACCCTGAAATTTGAAGCAACAAAGACGGCACCACTCCACTCTGCGACCACCAAAGGTTACACAACTCTCGTTCTCTCGAAACATTCCCAAAGACCATTATCAACCCACAGCTCAACTTGAATGAATGGCCAACCCAGCATAGGTTGCATTCTATTTCAGTTGCCAGGTATTCAGAACTTTTTCCAAAAATATAATGACCGGCAAAAGGAAGACGGGGAAAAAAACCTATTTGTATTTCTATCTTCAAAGCTATCATCCATCACCCTAATTAACTTTTCTCAACCGATATCCCAAAAGAACCCTAATAACATTCATCATCTACAACAACCCAAAAACACATAACACTTGTGTAAAGAGAAAAAATCAACCCCAATTCATTCATTACCAGTACAAAGTCTACTGATAGATTAACACGTTTGGAGCCAACAAAGACTAGCATTCACCCTGAAATTCTTCTTCATATGTAAGAGCTGCTTCCTCTTTGATTGCTCGTTGATCTAAAGTTCAGGGTTTTCATAATTCCCCCAACGCTTTCTTTATATCCACCTGCACCAGAAAATGTAAAGTGGATAAGTGTCAAACAAATCGTGCGAATATATTGGGACAGAACCACAAATTACAACCATAACAATTGTAGTAATATGGATACAACCCCCTTCCTACTACTATTGAAACAGTTTTTACCACGCCTTGTAACTCCCGAGGCAACTGTTTGTTCTGTACTAATAGAACCTATAATGCTACTGATACTTCAATAATAGACTGGCCTAAGAATTGGATTCCAGGAAGAGAATCAAAGGATCAATCACCATAATACAGGTCCACTTAACAGTTCTTTTCCTTACATTGTGGCAGGCAACAAAAACCACATTATCCAGAAATGAAAGGTAAAAGCCCTGTTCGGCTTTCAACGATGGGAAGCACAATCCAATGATAGTACTATCAAAACAAAAGTTTTAGATTGATGGACCCCATACTTATTTTGCCAAACACAGAGTCAATAGAAAGAGCCATGTTAACATACACTAAAACCACAATCTTCGGATTTGTCGTAAATCATAATAAGTTATAACAGCTAATCCATTGAGATAACATTCCTGGGCAAGAAAGCTTTAGTCGGAAAAAAGTAACACTAGCCATGAATAGCCAAAAAAATTTAACAGCGTATACATATCATCATTAATATGAAAATGCATGCGGTACCCCCTTATGCCACTCTAATGGTAGAGCCTTCAACAGGCTCGAGATGCAATGACATATCCTATGTGACCTCCTTGGGCCAATCACAAGGACAAAGAAAAATTACAACAAGATAACTGTTAGCGAAAAAAAAATCCCATTCACAGGGATTATGTAGCAGAAACGAGACTTAGAATTACCAAAACAACTTCACTAGCCTAAAGGAATAGTTGAAGCAAGTTTAGACACTATCTTAACCAAATAAAGTCTTAACACATACCAAAAAGCTACAATAATGCATAGAACAACATTCCGATATAAAACGTTAATGTCTCCATACCTCAATTGCTGATGGTGAAGTTGTGGTGCCAAAACGACAAATGACTCGACCTTCCTTGTCTACTAAGAACTTGGTGAAGTTCCACTTAATGCTTGACCCCAACCAACTACCAGTATTAGCTTTCAGGAACTTATAGACCGGAGCTGCATTTGAACCATTTACACGGACCTAAATAGACAATAAGATATCAGTAAAATGACCAAAAATTGCACTAGTAAATACCAACACACCAAAAACAGTTGGTTCCTTTCTTTCGTCAAGTGTAATTCTGAAAGAGCATTCTTCTAGCACTGATACATAGATAAATCCACAAATCTATTTATAATCCACTAGCACATTTAAACACAAGAACAATCTATTGCAGCACAAACATTCTAAAACCTAGATTAAATGAATAAATAACAATTACAGACTTCTATTATAAACTCTTTAGCTGCAGATGCACTGAGAAATAAGCCCAAATCCACGTTAAAAATCACATTCCAAACCTAAAAAGAAAACTAGAAAGCCTGCGACATATAACAAGCATACCTTTTGAAAGATGGGGTATTCGGCTTTAAATCTAGTGCAAGCAAACTGCTCAGCCTCCTCGCTAGTTCCAGGTTCTTGCTTCAAGAATTGATTGCAAGGAAACGCCAAGATTTCAAAACCTAGATTACACGTATATTATTGACCAAATTCATAAAGAACGATCCAAAAGGCACAGGATACAAGAACAAGTTAAAAACAGAATCAAGACACCTTAAAAAAAACAGTGAAAAAGACTATACCTTTATCCTTGTATTTGGTGTAAAGGTCGGTCAACTCAGTGTAGTTTGAGTTTGTGAATCCACTGCCACAAAAAAAAAAAAAAAAAAAAGGGAGAGAGAGAGAGAGAGAGAGACAACGTACAAAGAACCGTTAAAAGCAGCGCATCAAGAAAAGAAAATTCCAGCATATCATACCCTAAACAATAATAAATTAAGCAAAACCCAGTAAAAGGAAATAGAATTCCACCAAGAAAAGGAAAAAGAAACCTAGTTTGTTACTTCAAGGGAAGAAGAAATGAAGAAACGAAATTGTATATTACCACTTGGAAGCAACATTAACGACTAGAAGCACTTTCCCCTTGTATATGCTGAGGTCCACATCGTTACCTTTGCTATCCTAACAACACACAACCACAACAAAAAGGAAAAAGCTCAGAACTTTAATACAATGATCTCTATTAATGTATAAAAAAAAGAGAGACAGGATCAAGACGAGAAGATTGAAGGGGTTTTACCTTGACAGTGAATTCGTGAATGGATTTCTCAGTTACAGACGGAGAATTACCCATCTCTTCTCTTCTCCTGCTTGATAAAGAGTGATAAATCTAGGTATAATTCTAGGAAGATAATTTCGGATAACGAACGGCTTGGCGGATAGATGCCGGAGAGCTACAGGACAATATGAACAAAAGGAGGTGTCGGTTTTAAACTGTATTTTCGGATATGTGAAATACAACAGGTTGGAAGTTTCTGTACAAATAGAAATGTTCTTGTGTTTGAATTGATGTTTGAGGTTTTAATCTGTACATAAATGTCAAATGAAACTAGGCATGTCCACGGTTCCGGTCCTAACCAAAACCGAACCAACACCTAACCCACAGTTACAGTTTCATAACCAGAACCCTAATTGACGGTTTTAAAAACCATAACCGAATTACATTATGAAAATTTAGTTATGGTTCTAGTGTTTAGAAAATTGAGAATTGGTGATTCTAACCGACGGTTCTAACCGGTGGTTTTAACCGTACTAAACCGTTATTTAATACTAATTTTATAAAAAAAAAATTAAAAATTGTAAATACATGTACGTGTTTCACATATCTCGTATATAATTCTGTAAACAATGATTAATTATTATTTTTAATGAAAAGAATAAGTTGATCTAAAGATAAGATATACTGCCATTGATAATTAATACTACATTGTAGGTTAACAAGTGTTTCCTAAAATTTTTTTATACATTTGTAATTTAATTTAATTCTTTATGTTCTATAGGATATTTCACTTAAAAAAGTGTCTTAATAATTTAAAATTATAAAAGTCTTTATAAAATTGTATGAAAACTGACCACCAAATAAAATTTAAATGGAAATTTAAACTTTTAATTTCAAAACTCAACATAAAACTATAATGAAAAACCGTCACATGTTAGAACTAAAACCGAATCGTAACCAAACCGAAACCTGCGGTTCCAAAACCAGAACCGAAATCGCAATCTCAAAGTTCGGTTTCGGTTCCCATCATCGTGGTTTTTGAACAGCCCGGTTTCGGTTCTGGAACCGTGGACATGCCTAAATGACACACAGGGCATAAATTCTTATTTCCATGGCCGTTCTTATTTCCATGGCCGCAATGCCAAGGACAAGCAATATATTTCGTAATAAGAAAATTCCATAAGAATGAATCTTAAACATTGTAGTGTTTTGTTAAAAAAATAAAAAAAGAAAGAAAAAAAGAAAGAAAATCTTTAACATGTATATATATATATTCCCCATACAATCATTAAGGCAAGAAAGACCGGAAGTAAAAGTTAATGACGAGAACCAAACAATAACACGGATGAAACATTTTGTGTAAAACCAACGACGAGAATCGAAAAACATTGATGATACATTTTTTATTATTTCGCACTAAAAGGGGCGACAAGTGGTTTAAAAAAAAAAAAAAAAAAACGTCTTAGCCCAGAGTCTCCAGCAGCTATCATTCTGACTCAGCTGGGCAAATTTGAGTATGTATGTACACAGACACATCATTTCCAGATTTGTACAGAAAACAAGCACTATTACAAGATCATGTCCTGAGAAAAGGCCGACCTATGTCCTATGCTAACTACTCTATTACAATTAACACTAATGCTAAACATAAGTTGCTACTTGGTCCCTCATTAAAAGAAAAGAAAATTCTATCGTAAGATTACACAAAAGTTGCAGCCTTCAAGGGAAGACGACAACGCCGCTGCTCTCTAGCTAGCTCGGTAACGTCCACAACATGCATGTGGAGGTGTTCATCAATTATTATTTACAGAATGGTATACCGGCTATGGCGTCACTTCCCCTTTATTGGCACAACACCTCTTCCGAAGCTGATACACACAAAAAAAGAAACCAGCCCAAAACTTGTCTCCTTCGTATTTAAACAAAGCCGCAGATAGAAAACACCTATAAAAAAATTAAAAAAAAAGGTAAAAAGTAGAGTCAGCTTCAGCATTCCAACAACAAAAAACCAACTCTAGATTAGTTGCTTTCGAACAGATTGCACAAAATATGGATTGTTTAAACAGATTGCATGGCAGTAACCATACCATTTGCTTCAAGCAAGTGGAAGCTCATCTTGGTCTCCAACAATTGGGACCTGAAATCAAACCCAACAAAATGACGATTATCAACTGCAGTACTTAACTAGTACAATGGTCATATTTATCTGTCATTAACAAAATACATCTGCAATGCAGATAGAACTACAAAGTATGAACAACATCAGCAAGATAACACCACCACATCAACCCCAAAAACTATGCCCCACTATATCAAGTGCTACAACCACTTTGACCCCACCAACAATCTTGAATCCACCCCAATGTGACTCTATGCTAGCAATTAATTATGGAAAACAGTAGCAGCATAAGAGATGAACACTACAGTCCATAACCGAAAGAAAGGAAGCATACCTCTGGCTGCCACAGGTATTGGACCTCCAGTTGGAGGTCTATGAGGCATTATCATCCTGTGATTCGTGGCTCCAGGAGGAAAACCCCAACGATTGCCATGTACTGACGGTTCACCGGGATGAGCACCATATGGAGCCGGTGTATAAGGCATTCTTGAACCATCAGGATACCGTGGCCCTGAAAGGAGATTATTGCCAGTTTTCAGCCAAACCCCAAATAAAAGTAGAGTGCATGTAAATACAAAGCAGAAAGCAGGCGAATAGGAATTTACCAGGAAAAGCAGGAGCCCTCCAGTGTTCTCCAGTATCACGTGGAGCCAATTTCATCCTATCAGCGTCCCGGTAGAAGTTACCATTTTCAGTGTTTGGAACATGGTATCTGGTAGAATGGGATGGAGGTGGTACATCTCTTCTTGATTGAACGCGGTGATCAGATTGTACGTAAGAAAACTGATTAGATGGAGCAGGATGAGGTGGACGTAAACGGAAACCTTTATTGTATGCACCATCTGACGGTGGAATGTTGTTCACAGCCCGAACTGGAGGGCTGGAGATGGGCCGATTATTAAAAGAACAGTGGGTCGGGTTGGCTAAATGATTAGGCACCTGGGATTGAAATTCAAGAGGACCAGCTCTAGAAGATTGAAGACCGTCGCTGATTTTAGGGTTGACTCCTGGAGCATGAGATTGCTGTGAAGAGGATTCCCGGAAGTCTTCTTCAATATTCTGCAAAAGCATATCCAATTTGAACATTAAAATTACTCAAGGTCAACTTAAATCTCAAGCGGAAAAAATGCAACATAACTATACAAGAAACAAAACTATATTGGCAATCACCTCATATGCATACCTGAGAATACACATAGGCCGGCCTGACAGTACTTGAAAGGCTATCAGGCATTTCAGGGGGAGGAAAAGATGCCTCTGGTGCCAGGAGTGGTGGCGGGGGAGGGGGTGGAGGAGGAGACTTGGGCAAAGGAGGAGAAACCGGAGGAATATCCATTGGCAAAGGAGGGGCAAAGGGAAGAGTGACAGCATTTCCAACTGAATGATACATGGTCGGCACACTGATTGTTGCCGCATTATCACTCGAGGAAATAACAGCCTCAGAAGATTGCGGAGCTACATCCTCCATTTCAAGCTCACCATCAACGTCCTCTAAGATATGCCGATGTTTCTCAACTGCAGATATAGGGTTCCTTTCTGCTTCAGTTTTCTCGTTGTCATGCTCAGGCGTAACAGCCTCAAAACCCTCTCCATCAGAATCAACTCCATCATCTTCATCTCTCAACATAGGTGGCATGCAGAACCCTGGAAGTTGAATGCTTGAGTTGCTGAAAAGAGGGAAGAACAGAAACTGATTTTAGAAGTGGTTTTCACATTACAAACTAAACGAGATACTTCGAACCCAGTTTGAGGCATAAATGCTAGATTTTTTTTCCCTTCATTCTCCATGCATCTATCATGGATAGAACAGCTTACCTTCCATATTCATCAACAAGCATACCCTCCATCTCTCTGATTGGATCATCAAATGCCCTTTCATTTCTTAGACGACGAGTTCGAGAACAAGATGAACCACAAAGCAAGTCAAGTTCCCGTATATGTTGCCGTACAATGGATTCTGGAAGAATCCTCCTTTCCTGCCAAACCCTCAAAACCTTCCAGTAGAAAACAACATGATGAGATGAATTCTTCAATATGCAAAAAGCCACAAAATGATAATTAATGGAAAAAGATTATCCACTTACTTTCAAGCATTGCCTCCGATTTTCCTGAGAATTACTTCCAGGAGGGGCAGCTGCTGACAACAATCGTGGCAATACTGCTAGAATTGCAGAAGGATATACACCTCCAGCATCACCTGAAATTCATGAATCTTAGCTCAACCAGGCAACATACAGCAAAATTTATAGACACCTTTGTCTACAAGGTACTGTACCTTTTAAGGATTTCGAGTACTGTGCAATAGAGTCAACTAGGAAAAACAAGTCCACTCTTCTGTGTAAGCTTGGCTCCCGTTCTAAACTGTGTGTAAGCATTTCCACCACCTACCATGTGAGAGAAGGATAAGTTTTATATGAACATCTGAGGAAGAAAATAACAAAAACAACTCACAATTAATGGTAATGTTTATCTTCAATGCATGCAAAATCGATCCAGTTCACTTCAAATAGTTCACCGTGTGCAAAGAGTTTCTCAATGTGAGAGCTGATCCAGCTAACGTACAGATACAACACCTCAAATCATTTAAAATATTTTAACACTATTAATTTGAAACATCTATTACAAGTTTTCTATAATATTTTTCTGATTTTATCAAAAAATAATTGAAGAGATCACTTCCCTATGATAGACACCGCACTATTCCTCTTGCGATTTCAAAAACTGTAAAAATAACAAGGAAAAACTCTGTAATCGCAACATACATTCCAATGGACACGTGACTTTAGGCTAACCCTTATTCCACTGAAGTAGGAGACTAAAGGAAAGGTGAAAAATATGCAGAGAAAAGGTGTCTATTCCAAAATGTTTTGTTCTCATACTTCTAATCTCTTCTGAACATGTATAATCGAATAAAAAAATTCTAACGCACAGATACAACACCTCAAATCATTTAAAATATTTTAACACTATTACTTTGGAACATCTATAACAAGTTTTCTATAATATTTTTCTGAATTTATCAAAAAGTAATTGAAGAGATCAATTCCCTATGATAGACACCGTACTATTCCTCTTGCGATTTCAAAAACTGTAAAATAACAATGAAAAACTCTGTAATCACATGACTACATACATTCCAATGGACACGTGAGCTAACCCTTATTCCACTGAAGTAGGAGACTAAAGGAAAGGCGAAAAAAGATGCAGAGAGAAGGTTTCTATTACAAAATGTTTCACATGTTCTCATACTTCTAATTTCTTCTGGCTTGTATAATCAAAAGAAAAAATTCTCCAGTTCCAGGTGATGCAGAACTTGGAAAAGATGTATTTCCTGTTAACTAAATTCAAGAATCACATGCTAAAAATGCATTCATGGTCACATAGATAACAATTAATTCAAATGACACAATATCAGGAGAGCAATGAAACAAACTTTGATTCATCAGATATTTCAAATGATGAAGAAATCATGCATACAAATGCATAGAAAAAAACAAAAGCAAAGGAGGGAAACTAAATGAAAATGGGACAATGAGAATAACAAAAACTTGTGTGGCAGCTGCGATGAATGAAGCTACATGGCACATTTGAATACAGAAAAAACATTAGCAATGCCCTGTCAGGGCAAAAGCAATTTGGCCTCCTCTCTTCACACTTAACATTAAAAGAAGATGTTTAATAAAGCTTCTTTCCTACTATAATCAACAAATTGCCACCATATTTTCTACAGAGGTAACTTCACTTTATAACTTACCCCTCAACAAGAAGCGCAGTAAAAGCTGCTGCTAGATGGACATGTCTCAAAAATCAATTATAAAAAGATTTGGTGGCAGGATTAGTAACTAACATCTCTGGGAGACTTCTAAGTGTATAAGAAGAAAACAACAAAATTAACATTTGAAATTAACATGTCCTTGTAAGAATTTGAAGCCCCAGAGAATTTAATACATTATGAAAAAGCGCGCGCCAGAATCAAAAGCCATCCATGCAACATTTCCATCAAAACCATAAAAATCTCTCTTCTACCAATTGCTATATACCAAACAAACCTCATCATCAATTAACTAAAACACACCAAAAAGATCCTTACAATCAGAAAATGTTAGTTAAGTAGGGTGATGATGAGTAAATCTCTTTCCACTACATCAATAGAAACATAAACCAAAGATAATGCAACTACATAAAGTATGGTGATGCTTAATACATCAAATTTTAGAATGGCCACTGAAAAAGCCTCAAAAATCATTATCCCAAAGAGATGACAGTTTTATCAAAAATTAAAAACAAAAAGATCACATTACCCAACACAACATAACCACAAAAAAAAAAAAAGCTCAGTAAATTTCTTTTATGAAGCTCAGTTACAGCTTCAATTTAAAATTCCATAGTAATTGTTCTTTGGGTAATTTTAGCCTAAAAAAATGGCAACTACAACAAAGAAACCTTAACCATAAAAAAAATTAATATTTCAAAGCAGAAATGGAAGGGTGCATGAGGAAAAGGTGTACCTTAGCAGCAACTCCACATTTTGCGCATTCCATAGCACTACGCGTTGCACGACCAATGCTTTCTTTTGTCCTCGTAAGTGTTCCCAGAAAGCCCTCAAAAGACATTAAAGCATCATGTGCTTCTTTATAATTCCATTTCCCGGCTGCTCTCTGGACATCACGATGGGAATGGGCAATTGGGCTACGGGAAGTATTTGAACTACTGGCAGAAGTTGACATATTTAAGGATGAAGTCTGTTGCTTTGCACAGGTAATGGTTTCTGAGTTATAGGTCGGAGATAGTGATGATTTTGTTTCAGGAGTTGTTTTATCTTCTACATGATCATTGGCAGCAGAATTGGAATGGGATTGATCTTGATCCTCGGTTACGTTGCTCATAACTTCAGCAGAAACGGGACATAAGGAAGCACTAGAGTCATCCATTGCAAGTCCAACTTCTCCCACATCTTTAGACCTACAATCTCAAACCATTTCAAAATGAATAAAAAAGAAAGAAACAGAAAAGGCAGTTAAAGCAAGAGCATTGTCCAGAGCTCAAAATGTTGGGTGGCAGGAACAATAACAGGTAATAATAAAAGAAGTAATCAGTTACGAAAAATAAAAGTTTGTGAACTCACATTTCATCGGTTGGCTTGTTCTCATCAGGTACAAGCTGACACGAATCAACAACCCTATCACATTCCTCAGTGGCACTATCAATTTCCATATCTGCGCTAGAATGCGGTGACTGCATGGTGAGATTGTCCCCTTCTAACTGATTTGTTTTATGGTCTACATTTTCAGAAGCCTTCAGCAATGTGGGACTTACAGTTTTGCAATCACCTGGCAACGGCAAGGCAAGATCAGGAGAACACGAACCACTGAGATGTGCCCCCTTAGGTGACAGGGATTCAGAGGATTGTAGAACCACAACATTGGCAATGTCATCATGAGATGGAGACTTCGACACACATTTATTATCAAGAGAGCCCACATTATCTTCACACGACTTTTGCCGCCCAATTCCATCACTAGAGCAAGTTGCTAGCTCAACAGAAGATGTCCTTTCTTCTGTGATTGATAGATCTAGCTTCACAAGACACTCAGAAGCTCCATCCGGAGGTTTATTATTATTACAATTATTTTCCTCCCGCATACCAGCTTTACGTTCATCACCTTTCTCTCTATCCAAAGATGACTTCAAGCAGTCATTAGAGGAGGGAGAACCAGATTTACTAGTAGTATCAACCTTTGGTGTTGATGGTACATCTGAAGTCGTTTGACGTTCTTCAGCCGCATTTGCTGACATGGCCTCCAGAGCTCGATGTAGACGCTTAGATGGGGGTAAAGCAGCTTCACCCTCTACTGAACTACCCAAGTGCTGATACTTTTTGACTTCCCATGCCTGAGGTTTGGCAGTGTGAAGTTTGTCAGATTGCAATAATTTCTCCAAGTCTTCTTTCACAGAAACCGGCTTCCTATCTGTAGAATCATCTCCCTCTCGATCAGAAGGTACATGGAACTGATCTGAAACACTAAAACAAACTTCCAGAGGCTTCTCCTCTGTGTCTAATGAAGCTTGAAGTTGTTCACAAGTTGATAATATCCTACCCAACCTAACTCTGGCTCTTTTCACCAACGGCAAATGCTCATCACCATCTTCCTTCGGCAATTTATCCGTTGATATTTCCTGATCACCAGGTGAGATTTGGTCCCTCTTGATGGCATCAGCATCAGAAGCTGTTTTTTCATCTGGTTTAGCAGAAATATCACAGCTAGGCCTTTTTCTGTTAGGCTTCCTTTTCCTTTTAGAAATGCCATTTGTTTGAAAATCCAATCTACGGCTCAGCTCAACATTCTTTTGACTATGCTCATTACTGGAGTCAGCAGTCACAGTTTTACAGTCAGAGTCCACGGTGCTTCCTTCATTCAAGCTAGGTGAATCAGAGCCTGCCGTCAAAATCCCAGAGTCATTCCCCTCATTACTAACATTTGATACCAAGTCGGGTGCATCCCTGTCATGCCCATACAGATCATCAGGTGATTTTCTGATCCTTTTGTTTCTCCTACCCGGTCCATCGCGCAGAATACTTGGCGCAACTGTCCCAGATCGAGTTGACCTAGTTTGAAGTTTATTTGTATCTGTCCTTGATGCACTTCTAGCCCGCCTAGCAGAGGGAGGCCGCCTACGGGTGAAACATTTCAGTGTCTCTGTTCTCTCGGAATTCTCTCTCGAAGAATCCACATTTTCTGAAGTCATTTCCGTCCCAATCAAACTAGATTTATCCTCATTATCCGGCCTAAATTGGTCTTTAAGACCATCTTTTCCATGCACCGTGGCAGAAGTTCCAGATTTATCGTTCATGTGATCTTCCACATCAGCACAATGAGTCTGTCCCTCGGGAGCATCACCTTCGCCAAAAGGTTTGGCTGATAACTCCGTTGAATTATTTTCAGTGACCAGTGTATGCCCATCTGTGGTGTTGGCATCATTCGATTGGTCCTGCTTTTTCATGTTATCATAGCTTGCAATAATCTCACGCACAGCACGAACAAAGTCAGCACCTTTCCCATGACGTTTACCAAGAAGAGATTGCTTCTTCTCTTCTGTGAAGGGTTCCACATCAGCAGGATTACAAAAAGCTCTGTGAGAGCACAAAATCAAGGGGGATTAAAAAATCGTTGACAAGACATAATCCAATAAAAAGCAACATTAGATTGTCACATCTACTTTTTATGTCCCACCAGATGAATAGAGGGTAATCCACACCAGGTCAATCCAACAAATATCAGTAACACATTACCAAAGGAAGCTGCCCATAATTATTGCACAGGCAGCTTATTTCAGAACAAAATAAGATAAAGGAACAAAAAATAAAAGATTCCACTCTCCACATTACTAAGCTAGCATGCTTTATGGAGTTAACACTCACATCTCCACATTCCACTTACACATTTCTACACTCAATTCATCGAGTTAATATGCATTTGAAGCGAGCTTATCACGCAAATTAAACTACAGCTCTAGGATGAGAAAAAAATGAGACAAGCGTTCACTGATAAATAACCAACCGAAAACCCCCAATCTATGAATCTCCCAAAAAATATTTTGATGAAAAGAAAATTATTTGTCCCTTGAAGATAACAATACTTCAACTTTGTTTGCTTTCTCCCAAAGTACTTCTTTGTCGCTTGCGAACTTGTCAAGCCACTCTTTTTATCATTCTTCTCTTCCCCACTAAACTTTGTTCCTAATAATTCAGACATAATTACTTCTATCACGGTAAAACCAGCAACTATAACCAACTCATACAAACCCAATCAGCATCACAGCCTCATTTTCTTCACGCAAATTGTATTCTCTTGCACTTGTAAATATAAAGCACAAATGAAACACAATATTCAAACATACATATTTATTACTACAACCAACTTTAACAACCTTCAATAACAGGAATCAGAAATGAAACATGCAATAACTCACTACCGAGCCTCATATTCTTAAAGTCATGTTACTGTAACTCTTAAGTTTTCCTGCAAATTTGTCATTATATTATCCTTTGGCCATACAGGGAAATATGGAGGATTTAAATGGAAAGGCTGATAAAGACCCTCAACTTAACACTCTTCACTATCCATCTTCCTAAAATGATTTAGAAGGTTATTTCAAACAAACTGAAAAAGGCACAAACACAGAGAAAAACTATGTGCACATCCATAACAGGGAAAAAACCTTAAGGATGCACTTGCACGTGCATTCCACAAGGCAGTTAAACTCTAACTTACATATTAAAGTTATGTTACTGAAACTCTTTAAGTTTTTCTTCAAGTTTGTCATTATATTATCCTTTGGCCATACAGGGAAATATGGAGGATTTAAATGGAAAGGCTAATAAAGACCCTCAACTTAACACTCTTCACTATCCATCTTCCTAAAATGATTTAGAAGATTATTTCAAACAAACCAAAAAAGGCACAAACATAGGAAAAACTATGTGCCCATCCATTACAGGCAAAAACCCCAAAGGATGCGCTGCACATGCTTTCCGCAAGGCCAGTTAAGCTCTAACATACTTGTAGAAGGCCACCAAATGGAAGCAATTCAGACACTCGTAAGACAAGTCATACATATGGCAGAGTTTTTCCTTCCATTTTTTATTCCTCCAGCTAAACCAAACAAACAAAAGGTACAATTTTAATCATTTATAACATTTCAGGCTATGTGCAAAGCCTACCAATAAGACTGTACAAACAAGCAAAATGTTCAGCATTTAACTACGAATGAATAGTCATTAAATTATAAGGAAATGCAAACAAAACACAGGAGCACTCACATCTGCTGAGTTCCAAAAAAGTGCACCAGTACTTTCTTCCAATCTGCAGAGTAACCCCACTTCTCTGGCTCACTCACCTACCACCAGAAACACAATGCTTAGTGACTGTTTCCCAAAAGATAAAATAGATATATGCTCGACTAGTTTTTTGAATTATAATGCGAAAAAATTTCCAGTATTCAACCAAATACAATAAAGGAAACTTTTCTCTAGTTAACAACCACCTGCTTTAATAATACTCAACTTCGATATGAAAGGCCAGTCGATAATAGAAGTCTAGAAACAATCACAACCATCCCATTACCACCACAATAACATGGATCAACATACCTATGTATTATTGAATAGACTTACTTTTAATATAAGACCATGTCCCTATATTTGCAATTCAATGTAGAAATGCGCAGAAATGGGATAAAATCCAAAGGTTAAGGATCTTCATTTCTTTCCATGGAAGAAGAGTTCAGGGTTTCTATTATCCTTCCCACTGTTTCACTTTATTCACCCCATGAGAAAAACATATTACTTAAGAAAGGAGAAACAACGGTGTAACAAGTGAAAGAAAAATAAATAAATAAAAATAAATTCACAGCTCACGATGAATCCATAAAATCGGGCTTGTTGCACCAAAAAAACAAAGCAATAGGCATACAAACACCTTTAGATTAAAATTAACAAACTCGGGGTTTACCACTCAGAATTTACAATGGTACAAAAATTCTCGGCAACTCCTAGGAAGCAGCAAATGTTTGAACTAGATCACCCAAAGCCTCCTTATCTACCTCAAACTAAAACTAAAAAACGCAATTGTATGCATCCCACTCCAGGCACGAGTTGAACTGGACTAGTTAGAAATCAGTAAACATAATATTGATAAACATTGCAAGCTTCTATGACCCTTACACCACTATACATCCAATTCAGCTTTACATGAAGAAATCAAAGTCTAATCAAGCAAACCATACATGCATCTATTCGACAATGAAAGCTCAAAAAATTCAACTATCAGCATCAGATCCGTACTCAACAACTTGAAATAACAAAAACCAAAAACATAGTAGAACCTAAGAAAGTATTGGAAATAACGGAAAATAAATACTTAACTGGCTAAGTGCGGAAAAAGTCAAAGACAACACCAAAAAGCTAGAACGAGTAGAGAAAAAGCAAACCCTAAAACATACCGTAGCTGGCCAGGCCGGAAACCCTTTAACTTTAGCAAGAACAAGATCACCAATCTTCCATTGTCGGCGCGCGGCGGCAGCCGCAGCGGCCTTACTGGCACCTTTTCTCCGACTCGGCGCCATAAACAGAACCCACTAAAAGAAAAACCAGCAGAGCAGCCAATTAAAGAACAGGCATGCGCTCCGGCTTCACCGAACCTAAAAAAAAAAAAACAACAACAACACCAAATTCAAAGCCAACGGCGATTAAAAACACCTAAATCGCCCACTTCTTTGTAAAAAAAGCAAGCGCTCCTCAACTCCGCAGGGTTTACAACACAGGATTTGATATTAATTGTTCCAGGCATTGAAAGATCATGCGGCGCCCAGGTAAAGAAAAAGCTTGCTAGCCACCAAAAAAAACTGCAAATTCAAGAAAGAAACACTAAACTTGAAACGAACGAGCTTGAACAAGAGTGCTGGGAATGAGAAAATTAGGGATTGTTCGTTCTTTAAAACCCTAAAACGCAATTTAGGGCGGGCGGAAGGGGAAGAGAAAAGGGAAGAGGCGTGAGGATTTTGTGGAAGAGAAGCCACACACTCACACAGGTGTAAAAATAATAGCAAAAAAATAAGAAAGGGGAAAGGGGAAAAAAAAAAATGATATTCGGAAGAGAAGTAGAGAGAAGAAAGAAGAGGGATGGGGTGGAAGTTGCTAAGTTGAGCCACCGATGTTTTTAGGTTTAAGGGAGTAGTTGACTAACGTGCGCTGCGTGCGGTGATTGATTTATTGTTACCGTGCTGAATCAATTATCTTTTACTACTCCTCTCTCCTATTCTTTTTTCCTTTCTTTGCTTAATAATGCTTATCTTCATATTTACTTTGATTATTAGAATTTTACTACCTCCGTCCCAAAAAAAAGTTAACATTGAGTTTTCAAATTTCTCAAAACTCAATGTGAACCTTAATGTGGATTATTTTTGTGGGATGGAGGGAGTATAATTTACTATAGTAATAAATGAAGGTTCTTAATTTGTTTTATGTCCTCACCCAGAAAAAATATATATTAATAATCATTGGTATGAATTTAAAATCTGGAAAAAAATCATCGAATGAAATTATTTTTATTCAATTTAATTAATAATAAGTATTCAGTTGAGATAGCCATAAAATTTTTCATATATTTGAAAATTTAACTTATCTCGTATATTGTAGTTGTTTTTATGTGATCCGAATTAAAAAAAAAAAAAAAGAGAGAGAGAGATACTAAAATCGGTAAATGTACTTTTTCGAGTATATTTGAAAATTGATAAATGTACTAAAATAAAGAGATACTACCTGCATTTTCTTCATCTTTAATGGCTAAGAACTTTTATTTATACACAAAATATAAATAGTAATAATTGACAAATTTTTTTATATAATAGAAAAGCTTGAGCTATGTTTGATTCCTTTTTTTAAACACATTATGTAGAATGTTTCGAAATCACTTTTTACCTATTTAAAGCAGTTACTAGTAAGAACATACGTCAGGCTGATATTAACTATTTTTCGCATAATTATATGCTCAATAGTTACTTTTTTTTTTTAAGAGAATCCTACAATGTTTAATTTCTAATCTCACATTGAAATTAGTTAATATTTAGGGGGAACAGACACACTCATGTCCCTAATTTTAAAGCTGAAATAAGGTAACAGTTATACATTACTACATATTCCCACTTATGAGCAATTATTATATCACCTCACCTCAATTACTCAATTAAACTAATGCATTCTCAAATGAAACTTCGATTGAATCTAAAAAAAAAAAAAATACTCCACCCGTCCCACAAAATAGTCCACATTAAATTTTTAAATTTATACTAAAAACAATACAAAACTCAAAACTCAATGTAGACTATTTTTGTGGGACGGAGGGAGTAAAAGATTATAAAACAAGTTTGTATATAAATATGACAAATTTTCTTTCACTCATTAATTTTCTCCACATAAATCATACTCGGAAAATGAGATTTTACTGCCATCAAAATTTACTGAAATTTTTTATGATACTACATTATTTTATCATAATTAAAATTTTTTTATAGTTAAATATCAATTTGTTAAGCCGTGTATTCGTATAATGGTTTGTATGAGAATCTAGATTTTTTAAAAAAATATATTTTTTGTTATAATATTTTTAAAATTTTTTACATGTTCAATACACTTTTTTACACAACCGCAATGAAAAACATTCAAACAGGGCCTTAATATTGCTTATTATTGATTTTATTTTAAGAAAAAAGTTTTGGGTTCAGAATGGGCTGTGGAAAGAACCTGGGCCAAATCACAGTACTAGTACAACAGGTTTAAGCAAAGTGATTGATGGATGGACACAAATTTTTTGTTTCCTAAACGTCCCGCTGTTAATCTTCTTTTAGGAAAGCCCATAGCTGACAAACATTTTAATAAGGTCCTGCCCTAACCTTTCCCAGTCAACCCAATTAGGAAACTGTAGCCACCACCGACTTCACCACCCTGCTTCGTCGTTAAATAAACTCCTCTCAAACAAATAGTGCTGCTTAAAACTTCCAAATTCGTAAATACTAGTAACACATACATAGCCACCACCAGATCAAGTCTACGCCTCCAATTCACCGATCGAGAATGAGTTCTCAATGCAGGGGCGGAGGGAGTGGCGGCAAAAATCCCAACGCAACAAATAATGTCTTTCCATCAGTGAAAACACCGCTTCAGTTCCTTATTAGTAAATTCTTTGGTTTACTCTGGTGGGTGGTAATTACACCAAAGGCGTCACATGCAATACTCTCGTCTACCTGTTCGCCGTTCTCCAATACATCGCTGCTGAGGTCAACTTTTCTTTTTATGTTGGTGGAAGAAAATGAGAATTCGGAGGTAAAAAAAAGATAAAAGTTTATACTGGTCGAATTCCACTTTTAAGTTTTAAGTACTCTTACACCTGTCAATTACAAAATCACCATGTTTCAAGTCCGACGTTCATTGTTTGGAAGGGAAAAAAAAAAAAGGTGAGCTCATTCATACTAGCTAGATAATAAAATTTCATTTTCTAATTGAAGAACAAAAGCAATGTGTTGGAACTTGGAATTGTATATCATACATGATGGAGCAAGCACGTCCAAAATATGTCTCATCAGTATAAATTCCACCCCCGAGCCTAACAAAATAATAATAATAATGATGATAATAATAATAATAATAATAATAATAATAATAATAATAATAATAATAATAATAATAATGCATGTTGATTGCTTTGTTGGAATTGTTCTTTAGAATTATGTTGGCAAACGGAACTTTGAGTTCCGATGGTTGCCGACATAAGATTTTGACCGGTTGAACTAAATCACAAAATAAGTACAAACCTTGAGACTAATTTCTAAAGTTTTTATAATTTGGGATGAGATTAATTATTTCAATTCTCCAAAGCTTTAGACTAAAAACCAAATTTTTCCTCAATTATGTATGATTTGGATTCTCCTAGAATATTGATTCTAAATAATCAACATCTTAACTCACCATTTTCCCTTCCCTTATTCTTCTGCTGGAGTTGCTGGAAAAGATATTATTAACACATTCCGATTATTAAGTTTAAAAAATTGCATAGAGATTTTGTGTTTAAGTACTTGACTAGCTGGTTGGTTCTCCAGTGTCAAGTTTGCGTTTTCATTTCGCTAATCTTTATGTTTTTGCAACAAGTATACCTCTAATAACAATTTCCCACGATATCATAAGAAGATGTCAATCATGTATGCTTAAATTAATTTGTTCTCTGTCTGAATAACTGATTTTCATTCTCTTGCGAGCGTACCAGCTTTCGTAGCCTTTGGAATCGCAATTAATCCAGAAATAAATGAAAATTTTAAAGTTGTTATCACTGCGATATTGTTACCAGCCATCAGTTTATTCTTCTTCTTTACTTCCCCCTCTCTCCCCCCCCCTCCCCCCCCCCCCCCTTTTTTTTTGAAAAAGGCCCTCAATTTTTTTATTATTCTGAGCAAAAGATCAATTACATGATGACAACATTTTTGGGCTTTATTAATTCTTTTCAACTTTTGTAGTTATTCTGGAATGAATCTTCTTCGAAATACAATTAAGCTTACATGTTGTGGATGGTTGTGCGTCTGCTTCCCCAACTTCTCTGTACCATTAAGTTCGATGAATGTCTCGAATGAATTGGTGTAACGAATTGTCACTTCCTCAAAGTCTATCAGATAAAATGTTAAAACATTTAAACTTCCCAGTGCTAATTGAGTGTATTAATGTCAATTTAGATACATGAGGGTCCTGAGGAATTTCACGAGGGTCCTGAGCAATTCGATGGATATATTTTTAAAAATAGTTTTTCAGTTCACGGCTATTTTTTTTGTCAAATATTGAAAGTCAATAACCAATTAGAGAGGGTCCTGAGAAATTCGATGGATATTATTTTAAAATATTTTTTCAGATCACAGCTATTTTTTTTTTGTCAAATATTGAAAGTCAATAACCAATTAGAGAGGGTTTTGAGAAATTCGATGGATATATTTTTAAAATAGTTTTTCAGATCACGGCTAATTTTTTTTTTTTTTGGTCAAATATTGAAAGTCAATAACCAATTAGAAAATTGAGTCCACGGTATAAAGTTTGATCCACAACAAAATTCACACACATTATGAAATACTCACGAAATGAATAATTAATAGCTCCTATCATAGCCCCTTCGTCGAAAGTCGAAACAATGGATAAACTCGAGGATAGTGACAACAATTTGTGCGAATGATGCGGTTACTAAATGACGGTTTCTCAAGTGAAATTCTTTCCTTTTTCTACATTCGTAGGTAGACGTAGAATTAATTATTTCCTACGATCTTTAATATTTGGTATTTTAATTTGTTATAAATTTTCACTTAGTACATTCTTTTAATTGAAAATAAAGGGTTAAAAATATATTTTTAAACATAGTGTTTTTTTAATTATTACGAAATATTTTTAAGATGTTATTTTTAATTGAAAGAACATAATAATTAAACCTATAACAAATTAAATAGAAGGAAGCGTCAACAAGATATGCTCCCAATCCCCATTATTAAGATAAAACTCAAAAACTCAAATGGTTCTTGATATTCTAGCTATCGTTGTACTTTACTACTTTCCTTATCAGCTCCCTATTCGAAAGCCTTGGCCGCCAAAAAAAAAAAAAAAAACACACAAATCAATATCACCTTCAATAATCGCCTCAATAGATTAACTTGTTTCGTAATCACCTTCGTTCTAAAAATAACAACCACAAAAAAAAGAAGAAATAAAACAAACTCAATTGTATATAGAAGGAATCGAGCCGTGCCCAAGTGGTTAAGGCGTTATACCTTTAACTGTGAGATTGAGGGTTTGATTCTTACCGCGAACGCGGGAAGCAGGCAGCAGAAAGATGAAGCAGGTAACTGACCAGCAGCCAACTTTAACATGCATGAGGCCTTCCATCATCAGCCACGGAGGACCACACACGTCAAGCAAGAGGCGCGCGCGAGTAGAGTCTCCCCCTAATAGTACTATCTCCTTTCCCAGTAGGCTCTATCCCCGTTGTAATAGTTTAGATACCTCCAAAGCACCATTAGGTGCGACCTAAAAAAAAAAGGGCACATTTTCCCTCCTT